GAAAACTGACTATAAAAGTCAAGTTTCAACATGTGCTGAACTACACTTTTGTTTTTCGTTATATTTTGGTTGGCCTAACGACTCCAGCATTAGGCATTTATATAACAATAAGCACATGTAATGTAATGAATTTTAACTTAAAGTAAACATTTCCGGTTTGTTAGGGGGGAAGATCCGGGGTAGAAAAGGCCTTCAGCAACCTATGTTTGCTGTGGCGACTATGCTTGTCGTTAAAGGCGACTAATGGGATCGGACTGACTGACTTGGTTGATGCATGTTATCGATCCCAATTGCGTGGATCGATGCTCATGATTTAAAGACTCGATTATTTACAGACCGCCGTCACATAGCTGGAACATTGCTCTGTGCGGCGTTAAACAACAAACAAACAAAATAAAAGGTGTTATGTTAAACCCGATGGTCAGCGGTGGCCAGTGCCACTTCCAGCAAGTATTGTTACAATGTTAACTTATGTTGCGGGAGAAACCTTGGTTTGATCAATGTTAACAAAACATTAGTAGCTTGACACGAGCTCGACACAGTTTCCAAAGTAAATAACGTTTAAGCCAGAGTCACGCTTTAGTATTACAATGGAAACTTCCTGAAAATTAGGAAAATCGATTTCTCGAGTTTTCCACAAAATGTTTTGCAGAACCAACCAAGAACTGATTAGTTCACAGTTAAATAACATGTTCTAATTCAACAATACCACCACGGCGTGTTCACGTTTAAACAAATGGTTCAAGCTGTAGTTATATATCCAGCAGGAAAATGAGGTCTTACAGTTATCATATTATGGATAGTGGTATTGATGCGATAGATCAGTTCGATAAACTTCCTATCACGATCCGATAAACATGCAAAAGATGTCACCAAGGGGATTGGTTGGCTTGTTGTTTAACGCCGCACTCAGCAATATTCAAGCTATATGATGGCGGTCTGTAAATAATCGAGTCTGGACCAGACAATCCAGTGATTGATATCATGAGCACATATCATCGCAGTTGGGATCAATGACATTCATTAACCGAGTCAGTGAGCCTGACCACCCGATCCCGTAAGTCGCCTCTTACGACAAGCACAGTCGCCTTTTACGGCAAGCATGGGTTACTGAAGACTAGTCTACCCCGGATATTCACGGTTCCACCAAGAGGAACTACTTTTAATCTCCATATATCAATTCAGTGTCTCCTTCCTCAATATACTACTGGCTAACGTTCCCAGTAAATTTAATTTAAGTTTAGCTCCGTATTGATTATTATGTAGACAAACATGCACAAACAAAATCATATCATATCATTGATACAGTGAGTAAATGAGTAAGTATAGTTTTACGCCACTTTGAGCAATATTCCAGCAATATCGCAGCGGGGTACACCAGACATATGCTTTACACGTTGTACCCATGTGGGGAATCGTCTTCGGTGTGACGAGCATACGCCTTACCCACCCTGCTACCCACCCTCCCGTATTAAGAATACAAATTGTATTATACGAGCTGCAAATTTGAATATGAATGCACAATATGTGTACTTACATTTTCTATGTCGCAAGACAGCTGGAACCTTTCGCCAAGTATGTAAGAACACAAGTTTATAAACCTGGTATTTAAAAAGTTAACAAAATCGCTGATTTTCACTTTACAGGAAGACTGTTTATATTTGGGCGTTTGTTTTACCCTTGATGGATATGGCATTCCGTGTCTTACCCATGTCAACGTGAATCCCAGAGTGTCCATCCCGCGTCAACCATGTGCTATTTTGTGATTTATCGAAGCTGATTGAAAACCTCATGGCTTTCCACAATCTAAAATTGCTGTGATTTTACTTTAAATAAAACCTTGGAATGAACATCAGACATGAGCTGTCAACAGTATTTGTACTAAGAGTAAATGTTGCAGTCGGGTGCATAAAATGACTGCATGTGCCACCGTCAACCTTTGTCGGGTAACGTGGTTGCATTAATGAATGGATATTTATTTGGTATTTTTAATCGACGTATTACGATTTCTTACATGATATTCGTGATGAATTTAACTTTTTTTTCTCATCATTACTTTCGGAATTAACTGCCTGAAGAGTAAAGCAAATAGTTTGATATGAGGTGTGTTAAATAGCATTAACTATAGCACTGCTTCAAAGTTATTCAATTTCCGCGGTGCAATTTTGACAGATTTTTGTTCTGGTGAGGTGAACTTGGGTTTAACGTTGCGTTTAAGATTGTTTGCACTAATATGGCGTGTGTGTGGTGTGTGTGTGTGTGTGTGTGTGTGTGTGTGCGTGTGTGTGTGTGTGTGTGTGTGTGTGTGTGTGTGTGTGTGTGTGTGTGTGTGTGTGTGTGCGCGTGAGTGCGTGACATAATTGATTAAAGTTGCAGAAGTTAAACATACAAACTCACTCACAAAGAATGTTTAACAACCAGCCATTTATTGCCTTATGATAATATATTATACATAGTGAGACTATGGGGACAAAAACAATTAAAGGAACAGTTGACGTCAAAAATATATGTTTTCTATTTTAATTTGGGTTGGTTGATTATCACTAAATACTTTAACAATATGTTCTCTTATGTCAGAAATACCATAAATTGCATAAAATTGTTAGAGTATCTCAGATCTTTAAAAATGTTAAACGAAAATGCATTTCTCTTTCCACTATTCCACTAATGCAAAAACGGCACAACCTGTGGGGTGAAGGGTATACTGTGTCTCCACATGTAGGGGGAGTCATCCACAACGTAATCCGGAAAGGTCACCGACAAGGCCTCAAATGACATAACCATTATATGTAAGCATCACAATATTAATTGTTTGCCCAAAGCTTCTTTTGTTGTTGTTGTTTAACGCAGCACTCAGCGATATCCAAGCTATATGACCGCGGTCTGTAAATAATCGAGTGAATCCAGTGATTGACGTCATGAGCATCGATCCATGCAAGTGGGATACGATGACATGCACGAACCACGTCAGCCAGCCTCACACACCGATCCCGGTTAGCCCAAAGCACTTGGCATAAGTGATATATGAAATAGTGGGACAGATACATGTACGGCCACTTTGTTAATTGAGGAATAAATCAGCCCAAACCATGCATCAGTCCTATCAACTTTTGACTTGGCTCTGCTGGGTCCATTTGTATGAACGTGGTGACTAAATATATAGTTACATGTCAAGTAAGGAAAGCTGTACACTGCTTCCAGTGATGTCCCGAAGCCTCGTCTGTGTACACACATGTTATATTAGGGGTACCAGTTCTGTAACATCTCTTCACAATCATCACTATATCTGATTTTGCATTGAGATGATATATTTGTAGGTACAAAACCACATATTTGTTTTATTTAAAACAATTTGCCTGAATCATTTTAAAAGAAAAACGCCTAGCAACAATGTAATTTTGTTGCCGACAGATCCTTTGTTTTCAAAGTATTCTTTAAAATAATATTTTGGGTCAAGTTATTATTTTCGATAAAATCCAAGCCCCCCACGCCCCTCGCAAGTTTATCAAATGGCCGGCCCTGATACTATTCGTATTTGTTGGACACGGGTGGCCCAGTCGTCTAAGGCGCCGCGATTCGCTATGCAGAGTTGCGCCCCTTGGGAAGGCCAGAAACCTATGATTGTGGGTTCGAATCCCGGTTCGCCCTGATTATGTTTCTACGTTTGTCAGCACCATACCCGTGCTCGTGGGTTTCACCGAAGTGGTAAACGTCTGAGACCTGCATCACTTCGGGCTTTCCTCCCACATTAAGCTGACACGCTACGATATAACTGGAATACTGTTAAAAGCGGCGTTAAACCTAACTCACTCACTCACTCTTGAAGTGAAACACAACACTAGTCTCTGAGAAAATGGCATCACAAGTCAGTATCTCGTCTGTAGGGTGTAGTTCTGAGTTCGTGTATGTGATGCCTGCATTCGATCACTGAATACGCAGAGTGTTGTTGCACTGTTGTTTTTTACGTGTATTTGTACGCGAGTAACTCAACACGGATTGGGTAATGTTAATATGGTGATGTATGTTGCGTAATTAACTTAGAAGCTTATGTGAATCTCCGAAACGATGTACAAATACTAATAGTGAGTGAGTTGGGTTTGACGCTGCTTTTATCAGTATTCAAGTTATATCATGGCGTGTCAGAACACTTGACACTTTAATTTCAACCTTGATGATCAGTTTTGCCAAGTTTCATCTTTTTAATATGTCTCAAATTATGTTTACAGTGTTTGGACCAAAAAGGTTTCTCATATATCTATCCATGCTGACATTTCGTTTGCGGTTCAGTATATATGTACACCCACCAGTCCTATCCCACAACACAGAATATAACTGAACATTACACACTTGCGAAGGCATGAAACAAACACTTGTCATGCAGTGAAATCAGAAATAAAAGTCAGGTCCATTTGCTGTAAAATCCTACCTAATATTACAAGCAAAACATTAGCTTTAAATCGTAATGGTTCAAAGCTCGACAATAGTCTTGTATTTACTTTGCTCTGTAGTCAGTCTAACGTCTCACATAACTGTAGGGACTTACCCCGAACATGATGAACCAATGCCTGCCTGTCAATTGATCACAACGATTAGTCCTCCCGTCCATTAGATAGGAGATCCGCCGATTAAAAGGCTGACAGTTCCCTGTGTAGTCATGCTTCTACTACCTGCCTGTACTCATATTTCCAGTTTCATAAGACGGACATGTCTACTCTGAATTGCCAGGTATTATTCACAGAAATATCACATACATTTGAATGACCCAAACCCTGCCTTTTCACACATTTCATTTATCCTCGTATTAGCATTATGCTAACACGCGAAGTGATGCTAAATTCGTACGTTAGAAGTTGTGTGAATTATGACAGACAAGGACCTGGCACGAAGTCCTGCATTCCTCAATGACATGACAAACATAAAAATTACGGACGCCTTTGTTTAAAGGATTTATGTAGGGTATATTTTTACCGGATACCAAATATTTAAGTCAGCCTGCGTTCAGATCGAGTCGGCAGTTTACTGAGATTTGACAGCATGTACAACTGACGGTGAGTACAGCTTAAAATTATTCGTATGTTTGTGTTGCTGTGTAAAACTCCAATCGTCATTTTGCCATTCAGCTTCTTTACGGGGATGCACGGGGGGCCCAGTCGTCTAAGGCGCCGCGATTCGCTGTGCAGAGGTGCGTCCCTTGGGCACGCCAGAAACCTATGATTGTGGGCTGGTTCGAATCCAGGTTCGCCCTGATTATGTTTCAAGGTTTGTCAGCACCATACCCCTGCTCATGGGTTTCACCGAAGTGTTAAACGACTGAAACCTGCATCACTTCGGTCTTTCCTCCCACATTAATTGGTTGGTTGGTTTGTTGTTTAACGCCGCACTCAGCAATATTCCATCTATATGACGGCGATCTGTAAATAATCGAGTCTGGACCAGACAATCCAGTGATTAATAATATGAGCATCGATCCACGCAATTGGGATCGATGACATGCATCAACCAAGTCAGTGAGCCTGACCACTCGATCCCGTTAGTCGCCTTTTGCGACAAGCATGTCGCCTTTTACGGCAAGCATGGGTTGCTGAAGACCTATTCTACCCCGGAATCTTCACGGGTACCTCCCACATTAAGCTGTTACACCGGGATAAAAGTGGAATACTGTTTAAAGCGGCGTTAAACCCAACACACTCACTTACTCTTCACGTGCACATGCATGCTGGTCCCCCTCCTGTACATGTAACCACAAGCCTGTGTTCATCATGAGCTTATCTCATGGTTCTCTACCTGTCGCCCGTCTATATATAAGTCGGTTCGCCCTGCCCCCCTTTGATACTGAATCTCTCCCTAAAACATTTATGATGTGAATATCAAGTTCTTTGTGTTTGGGGGTTAAAAAGAATAGACATGCCCGCTATACAAGGAAAATGAAGCGAATACTAAAGTGAAATATTGCCTGAAACCATTGAAAGTATAAACTGTTTGATAGGCATTCTGGAAGTTGGCATAAAAAGTAAGAAAAACGTACAACTTTATGGATGACAACTTCTGGTTTATTGCATATAGCGACGTGTTGGTGTAGATTCTTACACCGTTATCCAGCTTGATAACGGTGTAAGAATCAAACATCGAAACGTCGCAATACTTTCTTATTCATTGAAAGTATTACTGTGTACGACTTTCTCAAAAATGACACAAGGTTTTCATGTTGTCAAAGTAAACATTGTTGTCGTGACACATATCAACAGAGGAAGCATGAAATGCACAATCAGATTTTGACTACTGTGTGATTAGTCCCGGGTTAGAATTTGTCTTCAGGAACAGTGCTTGTTGTAAGAGGCGACTAACGGGATCGAGTGGTCAAACTTTCTGACTTGGTTGATGTATGTCATCGTATCCCAATTGCGTGGATCGATGCTCATGATGTCAATCACTATAGTGTCTGGTCCAGATTCGATTATGTACAGACCGCCGTCATATAGCTGGAATATTGCTGAGTGCGGCAGAAAACAACAAACAAACAAAACAAAACTATTGTAACATATACAGGCACATCTACTGATCCTTCGAATCCCAGTTTCGCCTCGATAATAATTTTCGTCGGTTTTTTCCCGTTTCACTAAATTGTTAAATAAATGCCTGCGATCTGAATAAGCTTTGACGTTCCTCACACATCAAGCTGACATGCTGTGATATAATTGAAACTGTCGGGTACATTTAACTAAACAATTACAGACGTGGTCAAAACGGTACTAGGCTGAAAACAGTCGCCGAAACAATGCAAAATCAAGATCCAAAACATATCTATGATACCCATATCAAATACAAAACATTTTTTGGTTTTGTTTAATTTTCAGAAACCATCAAACATGGGTTTGCACATGTGTACTTTGTTTGCCCAGCAGTGTACCTACCTCACTCGCCCACTTTAAAATATGAAACCGTATAGCCCGGTAATATTAGCCAAGATGTTAATATATCTGCACTCTTAGTGTTTCCATCTTAAGACCACTCGGTCAATTTTGACAGTCCCAAGATTTCTCTGCATTGAGCTCCATGGTTGTAACTCGTGTCTAACATTGCCTTCGCAGTTGCTGGAATCGTGTCATCATGCTATCCTTAGTCTTGGTTCTTTGTATAGCATGCCGTCCCGCGTTGACTTATTCGCAACCTGGCGGTATGTATAACTTTCATTCAGGTTTTACGTGCAGGCAAATATCCGTTTTGTCATGTCTTGTGGAGAGGTTTTATTTTGGTGTTTTGTTTTGATTGCTTGTTTGTTTCTTTCTTTGTTGTGTAACGCCACACTCTGATCAGCAGGGTGCAAGCCAACTCGGATGGTCAGGTCAACTGTGAACAAACATTGGAACATAAATCCGGGTCTTTGATTTATTTGTTTGTTTGTTGTTTAACGCCGCACTCAGCGATATACTAGCTACATGACGGCGGCCTGTAAATAATCGACTCTGTACCAGACAATCAAGGCATTGATATCCTGAGCATCGATCTACGCAATTGAGATCGATGACATGCATTAACCAAGTCAGCGAGCCTGACCACTCGATCCCGTTAGTCGCCTCTTACGACAAGCATAGTCGCCTTTTACGGCAAGCATGGGTTGCTGATCACTGAAGACCTATGTTTTGTTTTGAAGGCTCAAATCAAGTATATATTTGTTCTACGAACATTTAGCGCTTGTCAATCTGTTTCAATGCAGCAGGGAGTATGCATTTTAGTTAGACCTCAAACAGATAATCAGGCCTAACAGTTATATTCGCAGAATAACATTCAATTTGTCATTATTATTTGCCACCTCATCCCAAGTAAAATTTTCAGACAAACATATTTTCTATGACATAATGTCTCTTTGGAGATAATATATCTCAATGTCGTCAAGACCCGTGAAGATCCGGGGTAGAATAGGTCTTCAGCAACCTATGCTTGCCGTGAAAGACAACTATGCTTGTCGTAAGAGGCGACTTACGGGATCGGGTGGTCAGGCTCGCTGACTTGGTTGATGTATGTCATCGCATCCGAATTGCGTGGGGCCCGTGAAGATTCCGGGGTAGAATAGGTCTTCAGCAACCCATACTTGCCGTAAAAGGCGACTAACGGGATCGGGTGATCAGGCTCGCTGACTTGGTTGATGCATGTCATTGATCCCATTTGCGTGGATCGATGCTCATGATATCAATCACTGGACTGTCTGGTCCAGACTCCATTATTTACGGACCGCCGTCATATAACTGGAATATTGCAGAGCGCGGCGTTAAACAACAAACCAAAAACAAACCAACCAACCAATGATCGATGCTCATGATGTCAATCACTGGATTGTCTGGTCCAGATTCGATTATGTACAGGCCGCCGTCATATAGCTGGAATATTGCTGAGTGCGGCGTTACACAAGAAAAAACCTACTGATCCAAAACATATGTTTAACTCGTATAATGTACAGCAGATACATGTTGACGTAGAAAATCTGAATTACGAGGCTCTTTCCTTCAGCGCCTGCGGCAGTCACTACTGCTTTTCCGCTCGTTTGCTCAAACGGCGGAATGCTTGATGCGAATACAAATCGGTGTCAATGCTCTGGTGGATACAGTGGAGAACGGTGTGAAAGTAAGTGTATATATGGCAGCGTTGGGTAAGCATTAGCTGCCAAGTCGTTGTATCTGATGAGACCCATGGAGGCCTAACGATACAGTTGTTACAATGGCGGAGCAAGCCATGCGTACCCTTTTCGCGAATACCTGGTGTCGTTACTGATTGTCAGTGATCCATTTATATAATTTCCTTCACTATTTTGCCTTTTTGTTTGTTTGTTTGTTTGTTGTTTAACTCCGCACTTAGCAATATTCAGGCTATATGACGGCGGTCTGTAAATAATCGAGTCTGGACCAGACAATCCAGTTATTGATATCATGAGCATTGATCTACGCAATTGAGATCGATGACATGCATCAACCAAGTTAGCGGGCCTGACCACCCGATCCCGTTAGTCGCCTTTAACGACAAGCATAGTCGCCTTTTACGGCAAGCATGGGTTGCTGATCATGATGACCTATGTTTTGTTTTAAAGGCTCAAAGCAAGTATATATTTGTTCTACGAACATTTAGCGCTTGTCAATCAGATTCTATGCAGCATATAAACTACTTGTCAATAAGTTTCTACGCAGCATGCCCGTGAAGATCCGGGATGGAATAGGTCTTCAGCAACCCATGCTTGTCGAAAAAGGCGACTATGCTTGTTGTAAGATGCAACTAACGGGATCGGGTGGTCAGGCTCGCTGACTTGGTTGATGCATGTCATCGTAGCCCACATTGCGAGGATCGATGTTCATGATGTAAATCACTGGATTATCTGGTCCAGACTCGATTATTTACAGACTGCTGTCATATAGCTGGAATATATCTGAGTGCGGCGTAAAACAACAAACCAAACCAATTTCTATGCAGCAGGGAGTATGCATTTTTAGTTAGACCTCAAACAGATGATCAGGCCTCACAGTTATATTCGCAGAATAACATTCAATTTGTCATTATTATTGCCACCTCATACCCAGTCAAATCTTCAGACGAACATGATTTCTGTGCATGACATATTGTCAATTTGGAGATAATATAGCACAATATCGTCAAGACCCGTGAAGATCCGGGGTAGAATAGGTCTTCAGCAACCCATGATTGCCGTTAAAGACGACTATGCTTGTACGTCGTAAAAGGCGACTAACGGGATCGGGTGGTCAGGCTCGCTGACTTGGTTGATGCATGTCATTGATCCCATTTGCGTGGATCAATGCTCATGATATCAATCACTGGATTGCTGGTCCATACTCGATTATGCACAGGCCACCGTAAAAAAACTTGAATATTGCTGAGTGTGGCGTTAAACAACAAACAAACAAACAACTGATCCAAAACATATGTTTAACTCGGTTAATGTACAGCAGATACATGTTGACATAGAAAATCTGAATAACGATCGAGGCTCTTTCCTTCTGCAGATTATGTGGCAATCACTGCTGCTCCTCCGTTCGTTTGCTTAAACGGCGGAGTGCGTATCGTGAATACAAATCGGTGTCAATGCTCTGGTGGATACAGTGGAGAACGGTGTGAAAGTAAGTGTATATATGGCAGCGTTGGGTAAGCATTAGCTGCCAAGTCGTTGTTTCTGATGAGACCCATGGAGGCCTAACGATACAGTTGTTACAATGGCGGAGCAAGCCATGCGTACCCTTTTCGCGAATACCTGGTGTCGTTACTGATTGTCAGTGATCCATTCATATAATTTCCTTCACTATTTTGCCTTTTTGTTTGTTTCTTTGTTTGTTTTTAAGGCCACCCTCAGCAATATTCCAGCTATATGACGGCGGTCTGTAAATAATCGAGTCCGGACCAGACAATCCAGTGATTGACAACATGAGCATCGATCTTCGCAATTGGTTGTTTAACGCCGCACTCAGCAATATTCCAGCTACATGACGGCGGTCTGTAAATCATCGAGTCTGAACCAGACAATCCAGTGATTAATAGCATGAGCATGGATCCACGCAATTGGGATCGAGGACATGCATCAACCAAGTCAGCGAGCCTGACCACCCGATCCCGTTCGTCGCCTTTTACGGCAAGCATGGGTTGCTGAAGACCTATTCTACCCCGAATCTTCACGGGCCTGATTGATATCATGAGCATCGATCTACGTAAGAGGCGACTGACAGGATCGGGTGGTCAGGTTCGCTGACTTGATTGATGCATGTCATCATATCCTAATTGCGTAGATTGATATCATGAGCATCGATCTACGCAAATTGGAAAAGATGACATGCATCAACCAAGTCAGCGAACCTGACCACCCGATCCCGTTAGTCGCCTCTTACAAACGTGAAGATTCCGGGGTAGAATTGGTCTTCAGCAACCCATGCTTGCCGTAATAGGCGACTATGCTTGTCGTAAAAGGCGACTAACGGGATCGGGTGGTCAGGCTCGCTGACTTGGTTGGTACATGTCATCGATCCCAATTGCGTGGATCGATGCTCATGATGTCAATCACTGGATTGTCTGGTCCAGACTCGATTATTTTACAGACCGCCGTCATATAGCTGGAATATTACTGAGTGCGGCGTTAAACAATAAACAAACAAAACAAACAAATCTTACGACAAGCATGGGTTGCTGAAGACCTATCTCCCGGATCTTCACGGGTCATTTTACCTTTTGCGTCAATCGAATCTGCGTGGGCAGTAATCGAGGCCGATTACGTTTGACAGTTATTATTAACAGAGTACCGATTTTAACCATTTTGTCGAGAGGAAATTTGATGATGTTATTAAACTGCATTGTGTTAGGTGATGTGTCGAGTAAATGATTTAAGAGATATCAGTGTTTTGGGGTCTATTTTCATCGAAACATACATTCGTGGACAATGAGTGCATAGTTATCAAGTTATTTCTTAAGAGAACTGAAAGAAGTGATTTTCGTAAAAACCGTGAGTATGGTATAAGGCCGTTATAAGCGATATCCCAACATTATCACGACAGGGGGCACCAGTGGGAACAATGTTATAGTTGTGGGTTTGAGACGGGAACAATGTTATAGTTGTGGGTTTGAGACGGGAACAATGTTATAGTTGTGGGTTTGAGACGGGAACAATGTTATAGTTGTGGGTTTGAGACGGGAACAATGATATAGTTGTGGGTTTGAGACGGGAACAATGTTATAGTTGTGGGTTTGAGACGGGAACAATGTTATAGTTGTGAGTTTGAGACGGGAACAATGTTATAGTTGTGGGTTTGAGACGGGAACAATGTTATAGTTGTGAGTTTGAGACGGGAACAATGTTATTGTTGTGGGTTTGAGACGGGAACAATGTTATTGTTGTGGGTTTGAGACGGGAACAATGTTATAGTTGTGGGTTTGAGACGGGAACAATGTTATTGTTGTGGGTTTGAGACGGGAACAATGTTATAGTTGTGGGTTTGAGAGGGGAACAATGTTATTGTTGTGGGTTTGAGACGGGAACAATGATATAGTTGTGGGTTTGAGACGGGAACAATGTTATAGTTGTGAGTTTGAGACGGGAACAATGTTATAGTTGTTGGTTTGAGACGGGAACAATGATATAGTTGTTGGTTTGAGAGGGGAACAATGTTATTGTTGTGGGTTTGAGACGGGAACAGTGTTATAGTTGTGGGTTTGAGACGGGAACAATGTTATAGTTGTGGGTTTGAGACGGGAACAATGTTATTGTTGTGGGTTTGAGACGGGAACAATGTTATAGTTGTGGGTTTGAGACGGGAACAATGTTATTGTTGTGGGTTTGAGACGGGAACAATGTTATTGTTGATGGTTTGAGACGGGAACAATGATATAGTTGTGGGTTTGAGACGGGAACAATGTTATTGTTGTGGGTTTGAGACGGGAACAATGTTATAGTTGTGAGTTTGAGACGGGAACAATGTTATAGTTGTGGGTTTGAGACGGGAACAATGTTATAGTTGTGGGTTTGAGACGGGAACAATGTTATAGTTGTGAGTTTGAGACGGGAACAATGTTATAGTTGTTGGTTTGAGACGGGAACAATGATATAGTTGTGGGTTTGAGAGGGGAACAATGTTATTGTTGTGGGTTTGAGACGGGAACAGTGTTATAGTTGTGAGTTTGAGACGGGAACAATGTTATAGTTGTGGGTTTGAGACGGGAACAATGTTATAGTTGTGAGTTTGAGACGGGAACAATGTTATAGTTGTGGGTTTGAGACGGGAACAATGTTATTGTTGTGGGTTTGAGACGGGAACAATGTTATAGTTGTGGGTTTGAGACGGGAACAATGTTATTGTTGTGGGTTTGAGAGGGGAACAATGTTATAGTATTGGGTTTGAGACGGGAACAATGTTATAGTTGTGGGTTTTAGACCGGGGCCCACCCGACTTTTTTTAAGAACAAGTTCAGCCCCTGGCAAGATGATTGTCAACGGTCCAATTGTTAATACCGTTTTTGTGGGAAGGAAAAAAATATGTATAAAATGAGTCGAGGTTCCAAATCAGGGTCATGAGGATATTATTTATGTGTAAAACGATCCACGCAATTGGGATTGATGACATGCATCAACCAAGTCAGCGAGCCTGACCACCCGATCCCGTTAGTCGCCTTTTACGACAAGCATAGTCACCTTTTACGGCAAGTATGGGTTGCTGAAGACCTATTCTATTCTAACCCGGAATCTGCACGGGTATTTTTGTGGTGAATATTTGTAAGTGTGTCACACCTCTTTTTCAGAATGCATTCAATGTCACAATGCTGCTGAGTGTTCAAAAGACACCAAGAACAATATCATATGTTCCTGTTACCCCCCAACCAGCGGAGACCGCTGTGACGGTAAGTTATTTACACTGGCCTGTTGTGTGTTAAGTCTTAACAGCTTCCTTGTTTATTGCTTTCCGTCTCCAAGCAACGTTCTAGCTTTGACCGTTGCTTGTAAATTATCGAATTTGGAACAGAGGAAAGCTGTGATGGATATTTAATTTTTCAAAAAATGTAATGGATGTGGTCAGTCTGTTAAAACAAAGAGTATCCCCACTTAGAGTGAGTGAGTGAGTATGGTTTTACGCCGCTTTTAGCAGTATTCCAGCAATATCACGGCGGGAGTCACCAGAAATGGGCTTCACACATTGTACCCATGTCGGGAATCGAACCCGGGTCTTCGGCGTGACGAGCGAACGCTTTAACCACTGGGCTACCCGACCGCCCCTTCCCCACTTAGACATAGTCAGATACTCAAATATGTAAGTTTCTGGATTTTCTGGTTGACCGTATCTTTGTCAACTTTGGGTTTTGGTTTGGTTGGCTTGTTGTTTAACGCCGCACTCAGCAATATTCCACCTGTATGACGGCGGTCTGAAAATAATCGAGTCTGGACCAGACAATCCAGTGATTAATATCATGAGCATCGATCCACGCAATTTGGGATCGATGACATGCATCAACCAAGTCAGCGAGCCTGACCACCCGATCCCGTTAGTCGCCTTTTACGACAAGCATGGGTTGCTGAAGACCTATTCTACCCCGGAATCTTCACGGGTCATTTGGTTTGGTTTGGTTTGTTGTTTAACGCCGCACTCAGCTATATGACGGCAGTCTGTAAATAATCGAATCAGGACCAGACAATACAGTGATTTATATCATGAGCATCGATCCACGCAATTAGGATCGATGACATGCATCAACCGAGTCAGCGAGCCTGTCGTGACCACCCGATCCCGTTAGTCGCCTTTTACGACAAGCATAGTCACCTTTTACGGCAAGCATGGGTTGCTGAAGATCTCATCTACCACGGATCTTCACGGGTCGTTAGTGACATGATAGTCACGGGAGTTTCCCATTACGTTATGTATTAACATCTTGGTAAATAGTCACACGAGGTACGTCAGTGGTATCTCTATTTTATAATAATTTAACGAGGATATAACTTATATTTCTCACTGGATGGGATGTTACCCTAGAATCCCCACTGGGTGGACGGGTTGAGTTGGGAGCACATCAATCATTCTGACGAGGACAGTGCATACATTATTATATAACATTTTTAAGTATTTAGATCTTTTAACCCTGTGTAGGAATTTTGTTCTTTTTCAAGCTGCCACAACTCAGGTTAAGCGGTATTCATTAATAAAATGAAGAAATCGAGCGATACTCAAAGGCTGGAAGACTTAAAATAACACTTGACCTAACCATAGCTACGTCTCGATAGTATACCTAAGGGAGCCTTTTGGGGCCATTTGTTTTTCTATTTTTTTCTTGAAATTTCAAGATACATAGTTAGTTGAAATTTCAAGACAATCATCTTGAAATTCCAAGATGATAACTTGAAATTTCCGCTTGGTATCTTGAAATTTCAAGATACATAAGTTGAAAATTCAAGATACATAAGTTGAAATTTCAAGATAGTATCGAAAAAACCCTAAAAAAACAAACAAATGGCCCTAAAAGGTTTCCGTATATACCTTTTTTGAAAACCAGTGTTATTACAACCAGTACAAGATCATAATTGAATCTCTCAAAACAATGACTTAATGGTAGAAAAGCCCGTTAGGGTATAAACAGTACAATGATGAAAGCTTCGTTGGGGATTAAACAGTGCTTGGAATGAGCGCTCTGTGGCTACCTATATTAGGCGATGGGCTAACCGGTTGTATTCAATGTGTAAGCCTATAACAGCTCTTTGAAACAATTCTTGATATATTACAGGAACCACAACAAGCTCAATCTCAAACAACATTGCCAGAAATAGGAAAGCGTTCCATTGCAGAAGCGGCGAGAATGGGACAAATTATGGCGACGATACCATCTGGACTGGCGATGTCTGCTATGATCTTCATGTGAATAATGTTATCATTATCGACCTCGGTGGACAGTATCAAGTGCAGACAGTGCATCTTAAGAAACATGGCCATCAGAATGGTAAGCTATTCTCATAGTTAGATTCTAATAGGCCGTGTTATATTATCTCTTGAAGTTTGCACTTAATCATGCCCACATCTTTCAAGTGTAGGAGTAGTTGTCAGTAATATGTACGTACGCCCAATGATGTTTCCATTAATATGGGCTGCGGGGTAGCCTAGTGGTTAAAGCGCCGAAGGACCGGGCTTGATTTCCCACAAGGGTAAAATGTGTGAAGCATTTCTGGCGTCCCCTGTTGGAATATTGCTAAAAAAGGCGTAAAACCGAACTCACTCACATATATTAATGTTTACTACTCCCAGTGGCCAAAAGCACCGTTATCAAGCCTTGTCGCGTACGTTGAGATCCTTTCGCCACACATGTTTTGAATCATTGTAATTACGAACTAGCCAAATTGGATGATTCTTAGGTGACATAAGTTACCATCATGTCTTAGAAACTTCTGCAATGTTGCTGTGGAACTGTTCATGGCAACAGAATGATTATGTTGTATTCTGTGTCCTGGTAGGTCAAAACTTGAGCCTTTTATGTATAAAATGAAATATAATCAAATTATAATACGTTTTCGTTAATAATTTATGTAATGACTCAATTAGTATTTAATATATCCTTACACGTACATATGTTATGCTCTCTGCCTCATGGCATTCATTTACCTTACACGTACATATGTTTATGCTCTCTGCCTCGTGGCATTCATTCACCTTACACGTACATATGTTATGCTCTCTGCCTCATGGCATTCATTCACCTTACACGTACATATGTTATGCTCTCTGCCTCGTGGCATTCATTCACCTCACATGTACATATATTATGCTCTCTGCCTAATGGTATTCATTCACCTTACATGTACATATACTATGCTCTCTGCCTAATGGTATTCATTCACCTCACAGGTACATATACTATGCTCTCTGCCTCATGGCATTCATTCACCTGATGAAGGAGTGGGCATATACTCCGAAACGTTGTGTCCCTCATAATAAAGAAGTTGACATCCATATATTCTCTTCCTTATATGTATCACTTCTAAATGCCTTTCAAAGACCCGGGATTCCGGGGTAGATAGGTCTTCAGAAACCCATACTTGCCGTAAAAGGCGATTATGCTTGTCGTAAAAGGCGACTAACGGAATCGGGTGGTCAGGCTCGCTGACTTGTTTGATACATGTCATCGATCCCAATTGCGTGGATCGATGCTCATGCTGTCAATCACTGGATTGTGTGGTCCAAACTCGATTATTTACAGACCTCCGTCATATAGCTGGAATATTGCTGAGTGCGGTGTTAAACAACAAACAAACAAACAAATCAAAGACCCTGATTTATGTTCCAATGTTTGTTCACAGTTAACCTGACCATCCGAGTTGGCTTGCACCCTGCTGATCAGTGTGCCGTCATGAGAGGGATAAACTGCACGGCATACAACAGACACTGGCCAAACGGAACTGAGAAAGCCTTCCTTTGCAATAAGACGCAAAGTAAGCCAGGACGATACATTGTCATTGAGAACAACGTGCAGGCAAAATCAATCTTCTGTATCGTGAACGTGGAAGGGATGGCTGCATCTGTTTCAAAACGCACAGGTAAACATTTTGTGGAACGTTATTATCAACACAAGTTAAATTGCTCCAACGATGCAGCAACAAACTGATATGTATTCAACCAAATACCCAAAAGTTTGCAGGAATTTGACTGAATGTTGGTTAATAAAAAGTGGCTCAATCGTTTATTTCTCTGATCTTATGAAAACTCGACTGAAAGCAGATTCCGACTACATCATAAGTATGTTTTTAGGAATAATATCAAATTGTCATGATACCATGTGTTTGCGAAAAAGGTACGAGTGCCCTGTCCTTCCGGTGGCACCGTCACAAATACATGCAAAGGCAAGCAAAATAAAGTTTTTTAGTACGGAATCAGGATGCACTTGTCAGGCAGGCCAATGAAGCGTCGGGTAAGAAAGAAAATCTCACACATTTTCATTCCTATTGAGCAGACGATAATGGGAAAATGAATATAACTAGATATTTTACAATAAAGTGTGTAAATATAAAAACGCCATAGAAATCGGTTTTGATTATCTGCGCGATTTTAGGCCAAAGATTAGTGACGTAAATTATACGATTGGATCACTTAAAGTCAGGGATAACACCAGGAGTTCGCGAAATGGGTAAGTATATCCTGATCCAATGGTAGCACCCGCCACCCGTGCGGTTTGTATGAAAAGGTAAGTGTATGTTGCCTAACGCCGCACTCAGCAATACTGCGGCCACACGACGGCGGCCTGTAAACAGCATGGACCAGACTATCAAATGATTTGGAGTCTGGACCAGACAATCCATGGCCAGTAACGCGTTGACTGATTTTATTGAAACTAAAATTTACATATATATATATATATATATATATATATATATATATATATATATATATACATATATATTAACTTTTGATTACTTCTTCAGCGAATACACAGTTTGGGAAATACAATTGTAAAATTTTAATTAAAAATTAAAAAATCAAAATCTTTAGATTATTTTCATCTGCAAAGAAAAGGGTAGTTTTGAGTTATGTCCTTCAGTAGATTGATAATATCATAAAAACTGATTACATGATAACAGCTACCTTTTCAAATCTTTTACTGCAGCCATCTACACAAACGCAAACGCGATCTCACATTTCACGGCTGTCCCATCGTTCTCCACCATAAACACACAGACCAGGTTGGCATGCGCAGTATCCTGTCTCCAAGAACCCAAATGTCTGAACTTCCAGTGGACCGACCCAACCTGCTCTCTCTACGGCGGAACTACCTGGCTAGGGCATAACAACAGAGACGTATATCGGTTGCAAAATTTCCATCAGACTTGACATTAAAACGTCAATATCAGAGGCTTGTGCTGCGGAATGAAAAGGAGTTACAATGATAAGCTGACTGATTTCAAAAGGTTTTAACGTTTTTAAGGAAACCCCACGAGAATAACTCGTACCATAGTGATATAAAGTATATGGATTTGAATTTTTTAAGTTCCCTTCTCTCTTGGAGTGAGTAAGTTACATGTAACGTCACATCGGCAATATTTCTGCCATACCGTGACGAGAACCTGGACATAATAAATATACAAATAATAATATTTATATTGCATAAAAACCTGTCAGCGATGAACAGTATAATAACTAGAGCATCACAGTTTCGATATTAAAACAAGTTGTGAACATTTAAAAAAATACATTTTCAATCAACAATACAATATAGAAATGGGCTTAGATCACCAGCAACCAAAGTTAGGCAACCTTACAGGGGACCATGGGGACGTACGATACTTCTGCTTCCCCAGCAGGATTTACACCATCCCTTCAGCTGCTGCTGGGGGTACGCAATTAAGCCATTAGTTAAAATAAACAAATATACTACGTTAAACATTGAGGTATGAATAAATGTACTTTGAATGATGTGGTCTTACATATCCTCTCAGGGGGACAATAATTTAACGCTACGTCAACCCCCTTTGAGGATACAGCCACGTCACAAGTTATACATTACCAATATCAAATATAGCTATCTACACAATTCAAAATGTCAGTAAGTTCAATTTCTTTTTAGAAAAAATAAATGAAATGAGAATTGATACTACTAAAAGGATCCTTAATTGATGAGTTGAAATATTTATCCCTTGTGAAGAAAACCTCTCTCCTGGAACATAATGTATGGGGGACCGGTCACTTCATATTCTGGGCGGAGTGATCACGGGGGATGTGTGGATGTCCTTAAAATATATTTTGAGAATATGTATAATGTCCCCTGCATATTCTGTATCATTTGAGTTTTATCATTAAAATATGCACTGCAACTGAGATTTTGTCGTTTAATAATGTTGTTGTCATTTTATTACAGCACAATACATTATCAATTGGTCGATTATTTGCTTTTCTCATTCACTACAAGCGATTTATACTTGTGTTGATTCATTTACAAATATTATTGATTGCCAATGTGTTTTTTAAAAATATTAGTTGAACTGATTTTGAATATGCCAATGGTGAGCCCATATCTTATATATGATTATACTTGATCACCTAGAGACCAATGGAGATATTTTCAAGTGTATTCAAAGATATTATTCCCCTTCCAGTTGTCCTGGTCATAAGCATTAGGCTTGTGTACTCAATAAGGGACCTCCTGGGGTAAAATAGGTCTTCAGCAATCCATGCTTGCCGTAAAAGGCGACTATGCTTGTCGTGAAAGGCGACTAACTGGATCGGGTGGTCAGGCTCGATCCCAATTGCGTGGATCGATGCTCAGCAATATTCCAGCTATATGACGGCGGTCTGTAAATAATCGAGTCTGGACCAGACAACCCAGTGATTGATATCATGAGCATCGATCCACGCAATTTGGATCGATGACATGCATCAACCAAGTCAGCGAGCCTGACCACCCGATCCCGTTAGTCACCTTTTACGGCAAGCATGGGTTGCTGAAGACCTATTCTACCCCGGAATCTTCACGGGCATGCGTCGTATTCATATAGACGTCGCAGATATGCGCACCAACAATAATGTCTGCTCTTGACTTGCTTAAATACCAGAAGGATAACATTCATTAACCTAAAGACATTAAATGTGTAACTGGCCATCAATTTTAAGAAATGTTTGTTTTCCGAAAGAAATGAAAAAGTTTCTTTAAGGTAAGATAAGACTTTATTATCTCAAGGGAAAATTATTTCACAGTTGATTAGCACTAAAAATGAAAATATATGATATTAAAAAATGTACATAAGAAAATAGGAAACTTACTAATATAACCACGAGTAAAAGCACGCAGACAATAAGAAAATTAAACACTATCACAGTGACAAGGAATGGTATTTTAAAATTTATGAACTGTTAAAAGGTATCAAACGGATAAACATTCTAAAGACTAATACTTGCTGGTAGGAACGATTTCCGGGCCCTGTTTGTTTTCAGCATCGGCATGCGCAGTCGGCGCCCAGAAGGTAGAAACTGATATTCGGAATGAAGTATATGACTGCTGTCATTTAGTATCTTACGCACCTTTTTCGCAATATGCTGCTCATAAATTTCGCCGATGTGTTGAAATTGGGTACCTGATATTTTGCTTGCTGTATTTAAAAATGTTAGGTACTGTAGATTTATTTTGAAACAGACTTGCTCCCACACCAGCAGTTAACATTAAAAACTAAAATGCTTCGAATAAATGTTCTACAAAACGGAGAGAGTATTGTATTATCAAGTTTAAAATACTTAACACGCCGTAGGAAATACAATCGCCTTTTTATATATATGCTCCGTGTTAGCATTCCAAGTGAGTTTTGAATCAATATTGGTGCCGAGATACTCATATTGTTCAACAACATCAATAGTTTCGTTATCAATAACAACACGCAAAATTTCGGCTTTTTTTCTGAAATCTATAATAATATCCTTTGTCTTTTCAACATTTAGAGTAAGAAAATTAATCTTGCACCAATTGGTCAAATTTTGAAATTAATTGGGATCGATAATCAATAATTATTTCAGATTTCTTTATGAATCCGGCCAGCGCTGCGTCATCTGCAAAGTTAACGGTTAGACAATTGTTAAAATGACTGATACAGTCATTTGTGTATAAAATAAATAAACACAGGAGAGAGCACACAACCTTGGGGGCACGCGTAGATATAAAGGTCACAAATGATTTGATACCATTTACAGTCACAAACTGTTTACAAGAAAAGGTTCTATCCATTTAATAATTGTTGAATTAACAGACATGTCACATAATTTTTGCGCAAGCAGATGAGGCTCAATGGTATTAAAAGCAGAGGAAAAGTCAACAAACAGGATTTGTACAAATGAATTGGAAATTTCAAGATGTTTGTATATATTGTCGACAGTGTAAGCGTGGTATCCCCTACTCCTCTGCCGGCAAACTGAAGAGGGTTAAGTAAATGTTCTGTCTGTCTAATACGTAAATTCTTTACAATACGTTCGAGGCATTTCATAGGTATGGATGTTAAAGCAACGGGTCGGTCATCGTTATTAACAGGATTTGGAATTTGTCCCTGTCATCTAACACCTGTGGGACAGGATACGCTTATCTTTTCGCGAACACCTAGTATCATCACTATGTGATAGTGATTCATAAACACAAGCTCATGATATTGTTGGAATCGTACAAACGACTCTGCTTTTAGCAGAGATTGTTATGGCGTTTGTGTCGCTTTTATGTACATGTACATTCTTCTTGTGAAATCTGTGTGGAACCACAACCCCAAAACACTTCTCGTCTGACAGTTAGACATCCGACGGTATTATTCCAATTGCACTTAGTCATGGGTTCTCTGATTTTGGAATAATGTAAGATTTAATATAAACAAACAAACAGACAAATAATATCAGATATCAATAATATCATAAACTACGGCCTGTTTGAGGGATAATCTAAGAACTAATCATAATATCTTGACTTATAAGATGTACAAAAAAATACTTTTGCATATACCTGTACATGCATTGCTACTCGTTCGTTTCAGTATGAGCCAAAGGTACTCGGTAAGGAATATAATGTATTTGCAGGATACCCTTTATTTCAAATACAAGCAAATCTCATTTGCCTTTCTGTCACTCTTCAACGTCGATGTTTTTCATATCCTTCAGCGTTGCCTTTGCCTTTCTCTGAATGTTTTCCACCTCGTGAGACTTCAGATTATCGGCAACATTCACGAATGGGTTGGCTGGGTCAATCACTGCAGGTGGGTCACTACAATCAAACGATGTTCGATCAGAGAGCAGCTCAAAAGTTCACTGTCGGAAAAATATGTATCTGATAAAATTGTTTGTAATATTGTTCTGGTTTAGATTATTGGCCAATGAAACAATACATAATACCCAGAAGCTTAAGCTTTTTATCAGTCATACGAATATGTTTTTTTAATAAATTACAATAAATAAATTATGTATATAAAAAACTGTTTGAAACTCACTCTGAAATGCAAGACTAACTGTACTCTGAAATACAATAACGGTACTCTGAAATACAAGACTCACGGCACTCTGAAATTCAGGACGAACGATACTCTGAAAAACAGGACTAACGATACTTACGGAAGACTCGTGTAATCAGACACACGGTGTTTTGAAAGCGATGTCATCTTCATCGACCCAACACAGCTAAGTTCTTCCATGACTTTCCTGAATCCTGTCCTGATATCAAAGGTTGCTTGCAATTGCTTCCCCCATTCTTCCCACAGTCCAATGACAATCAGCTCGACGCAGTACGATCGAATATCGACAGCTTCAATCTAAAAGAAACCATTAGAGTACTGTTTCACACCAGGTACGTTCAAGGTGAGATTCATGATATATAGATGCGGTGAACTATTTAGGCTTCAAGTGAGCTTAGTGTGGCTTGGCGTGTAACGTAATATGTTATTTGACAGGACTGCGCGATCACAATGTAATGATCTTCTATGAATACCGTTATGTAACAATAAGCTTGTGCAGTAAAGTTTCTGAGATGAAAAGTATTCATTTCGATAACATTTCGTCAAATCTAGACCCTGTTTTGTTTGACATTTCACAATTGGATTTCATCTTTCCTTTTGTGAACAGAGACTCAGTAATATTTGATTTTACGGAGCTAGACATTATTTTTGAATATCAGGGCCTTCCGTTAGGTCAGTGGGGAGAAGACTAGAGTACATGCAAATACTGGTTGACGATGAACATCGTCAACTATCTGAAGAGCTATTATTTTCATTTTACCTCTTTCCAGTATTTCACAAGACGAATCAGCTCCTTCACTTGTGGTGGTCTGTGTTTCACAAAAGCGATCTGATCTTGTGTGAGGCATGCTGAATAGAGATGCCGGGTTGTTGGGGAATCTTTCATCTCCAGAAAAATACTTCTCCGGTCTAGTAGAAAGAGCATAGAAAGAATATTAGACGCTAGAATGATTGTTGATTGTTTATATAAGGGTAACGCTATTTTTCAGGGCATTATCATTTGCAGAAGCCCGAGGTCTTCCATTAACTGCCCGACTTAGAGGGGCAGTTGATAAGATCGAGGGCTTCTGCAAATGATAATGCCCTGACAAATAGCGTTACCGTTATTATAGCTAAAATGGATGGAATTTTTTATCAAATAAATAGAAAGAACAATATCGGGTTGGAAACATTTACTGCAATCAACACGAATGTCACTGACCCACTTTTACAAATATGGAAACGTCATAGAACAAACCAGATGACATCACTATTGAACGTGACGTCACCTATCCTATCCTATGACGTCACCTAACAAAGGGCGTGATAATGGCCCGTCGTCAAGCAATATGAGGGCATTATCAAGTTACAGTGGCCCGCTCACTTCTGATAACATGCGGCGGCTTACGGATAATTCTATCCATTTTAGCTATAAAAGCAGATCAACATTCATAATATTGTGAAACGGTATGTACTTTGAATCAGACATTTAAGTGTATACATGCACATATACGTGGAATAAATGTAAACATTGTTTGTGAACAAATGAATTTCACACGATGGCCATTTGAAAGACACTACTCTCCTTTCGGTAGGAATACATATTGAGTATCCAGGTGACTGATAGTTAATCAATGTGGCCATGATTCAAGAAACAGATGTTTTCAGCTTTTACTCGTAGTTCTTATACCTCTGGTCTCATATCAAATATCATATCATATCCAGCTACATCACGGAATCGAAGATGCCGAGGACGTTTCCAACCATTGACCCCACTGATATCTTGGTTTCTTCATAGTTTCAATCAATTAATGTTTGTTGTTCACTCTTTTCAAGTATAAGATATCACATCATAAATATTTAAAGTTAAATATACAGTATGCGCGAGACTATTCTTGACAGTACTAGTACATGGCGTCACGATTGTGCCCTTAAATTATGAAAGGTTCAAAGAAAGACATGTCTGTTGGCATACCTTGTCTTAGATCCACCGCTGGGAGAAGATCAACATCAATCAATTCTTCTCCTTCGTGCCCAGTAATTTTGAACTGAACTGAACGATGTGACTTCCGGGTGAAGATAGTTTTCTTTGCCCACGTTATGTCGTCATGAACTATATGCTCTTCTAACTTAGCGAGTATACTGTCTATATGTTTGTCCATCTCTGCCACCGATTCAAAGTTGTTGATGAAGGCAACCAGATCAACGTCAAACGTATCCTTGATACTAGTGCCCTTTTCCAGAGAACCTCCCTTGAAAAATAGAACACAGATCAAGTGTTACATGATACGGACGGACACACACATCTTGTCCACAATATACCAGCTGTATCAGATAAAGTTATTGATACGTCCAACAACTTTGGTGTACGATGGAACACAGACAAGTAACTGTGCCTGACCACACGATTCTCATGCATATTCGACTCCTACGACAAGCATGAAGTTTTGGGAACCTTTTGTCACCTTGAATCTCTACACGTACGCTGTAAAAGACATATCATTTAATTGCATTTTAGACTTAGACGGGGCACAGGATTCTACGTGCTGAAGACGTACTGATATGACTGATACTGTTTAATAACGCAGCGATTAAGAGCTCACATATTGTCATTAAACTATAATAATGTATAAGGTATTCACTTACTTTCACAAATTTGCCAATGATGTACTTGGTGTTGTGTTGCATGAACAGCATGAGCTTCTCTACAGCCTCGTTGCATCTTTTCATCTTTTCTTGATTGGGATGGATATCAATTACCAAGCCATGGAAACCACCACAACGACGCAATTCGGAAATAAATCCGTTTCTACTTGTGGACGAAATTCCATGACACATCCTGGTATGGTTTGCACGGCCAGTGTCAAGGAAAAATACCCGCTTGCATTCTGTGCACTTATAATTCCTATGCTGTGCTTTCATATGAGACCTTATTTGTTTCACACCATGAAAACTGTAGCCACAGTAGAAGCATTCCTCACATTTTTGTACCTCATGGCTGTATATGCCATGGTCATTGCAGAACGTCTTACTGCAAACTCGACACGTTAAACTCATCCTGTGTAAACAATAGAAGATGCAGATAATATGTATATCAAATATGTCATCAATATCATGTCATCACATCAATGTAGTCATCAATTCAAAGATTTGCATAGTAATGAATAGCAAAGTACGTGTACTTATACTAGCTCTTACGCCAATGACTATTTGAGCCCGATTGATTGCGAATTTCCTCAACGTAGCTGAAGAGTGTTTTATAAGATGTCTGGGCGACTAATTAATCTTGGTAAGGTGTGTGGATTGGTTTTAATGACAGTCTCGGAGAGAAATGGGTACCGTTATGTGACAGTATGGACTTGGAATGCACAAACAATAACTTTTAGGAATTTTAATCCAATGCCCATAAAGAAAATATGTCATCAACACATGACAAAGACAAGAACCAGTTAATGAAACACTGGCCAAAAGAAGAAAAAGGATAAATAACTCTACTAGGACAGATATTAGTTACTAAATCTTCCCTCTTCCCTAGTTCATATATTTTCTGCCCCACCTTACTCCCTATAAGTATTAGAAAAATCCATTTTGACTTGTTTGGAGGATGATAGACATTAGGTAATGCATTAATATGTTAAAAATATCCCAAGTTTGCTGATCCGTATCAGAATCATGTTTACGAGAACATAAAAAAGTACCTCATACTTTCACTGTCGGAAGAACATTGGGGAGATATACATACCGTGCCGAATTGAATTCAGTTTCAAATGTTACATTTAGCGCGTGTTGGATCTGCAGGTATTCCAACTGTGCATTGAAAGCGCTGTATATGCATTGTTTACATTAAACAGTACATTGCAGTGATGACAGGCATTTAAAAAAAGACTGTGTTGCTTAGCGGACACCTCTGAAGCAACTGTAGCAAGCCATTCAAGTTTTTGTTCCACGTCGTACGTTAAACGTTATGACGTTACACTGCCCAAGCATTTCGATATAGGAAAGCGCTAAATTATAAACTATCTGCTGTCCATAAGACTTTATACACATTCTGGGTCGCTTTATGTCATTTTGTCGGCATACTTTTCATGTAGTAGTTACCGTAACACTTCCCTCAGAGTATCCCTGTATCCAGATTGCCACTTAACACACATCTCAATAGCACAAGCCCGAATTCACTTCACAAAGGCAGTTCATTAAGTTCAGTTATTGAAACATATTAAACAAATACAAAACAATGTTTTGATGGAACATTTTACGTATACTATTACTATTTTTCAAATGTTGAATCTGCCTAGCAAATAAGATTTTTCTGCGTCCCGCCTACCATCCTGCTGAGTCCGGAATACCCTCCGAATAGACCCCCGAATCCCGCGTACCAGAAAGGGGGTGTCCGCCTCACACCTGCCTGTCGAATTTCGTATCAAGTAGGTATACCGCTGAATGCGGCGTTAAAGAACTTAGAAGTAAAACAAGTGGCTGGACGTTATCTACCATGTGTCGTGTTCCGTTTGCACGATGTGAGTTTGCCTCCATATCAACACACGCAATACACCTACCGGTCCTTACTACAGCGGGTCCTTGTTAACATGGACGTTGATTTGAGTCGTAGTTCCATGGTAATTACATGGTAGTTTTTCCTTCAAACGTAAATCACGTTATCTGGTGGAGTCAACAGTGCTGCGTCAGATACCCATTGAAGGATAGTGTGCTGAGGAGCCGTCATTGCTATTTTTTTACAAAGCCTGGTTTTTCCTTTGACGTCAATTCGCATTCAGCATAATATTGCGAGGCTTTATATGCATTTAGCAAAGCTTGTTCAATGTCGTACCTACTGATTTAAAAAGGGAAGCGAAATGGGGTTTAACGTCGCGTTCAGGATTAATTCACTCGTTCGGACTTGTGCCGGTTTTATAGTGCAGTTGGGCTGTGATATTTTTAGAGATAGGGTATGTTTTGGTTCACTGCTTCAAAACACACAATTTTCCTCTCTGGAAAGAGGAGCCGGACAGTATTGTTATTCCTTTTCACAACGCAGTCACGCCATCCACACAATTTATTGACCGGTAATACCCGAGGGCCCCGCATGTCATTGCCTGTTAGTTCAACGTATACCAACCCGTGAAGATCCGGGTTAGAATAGGTCTTCAGTAAACAATGCTTGCTATAACAGGCGACTATGCTTGTCGTATGAGGCGACTAACGGGATCGGGTGGTCAGGCTCGCTGACTTTGTTGATGCATGTCATCGTAATCCAATTTCGTAGATTGATGCTCATGATGTCAGTCACTGGAATGTCTGGTCCAGACTAGATTATTTACAGACCGCCGTCATATAGCTGGAATATTGCTGAGTGCGGCGTTAAACAACAAAAACAACAACTAACATATACTGTGTGTGTGTTTGTGGGTTAATCACGTTGTTAATGATTCCCATTTCCTAATATCCACTAACTACAACTGATACTGACATACTGCTAGTCCAGGCTCCATTCTTCGAATGTTAATAGATTCGCCGGTCGCAGTAATTTGTTTCATATTACCTGTCATACCTAAAAGCGTCGACCTCCCTAGAGAAGAAACATATCCTATATCATGTGTGTAACTCCTTATGGTAATATTACGAAAAGATAACACTAATAGTTACATAAACTACAGGGAAAATGAAAGTATACACCCATGTCTGATGCTTCCTAAACACTTTTTTTGAAATGTTGAATCTGCGTACCAAAAACGATTTCCTGCGTTCCGCGCACCACACTGCTAAGTCCGGAATACCCTCCGAACAGACCCCCGAATCCCGCGTACCAGAGGGGGGTGTTAGACTCACAATTGTCTGTCGTTACTACACCGGGTCCTTGTTAACATTGAAGTCGATTTGAGGCATATATCCTTGGAAATGACAAAGTAGATTTTCCGCGAAAAGGTTCTTACCTGGTTGCTTCAACAGCGCTCCGTTATCAGATTCTCATAGAATGATAGTGTGTGGTGGAGATGTCATTTCTATTTTTAGAAAGCCTGGTTTTTCCTTTGACGTCAATTCGCATTCAGCATGAAATTGCGAGGCTTTATGTCGGGATCAAGGTTGATACATTTAGCATAGCTTGTTCAATGTCGTACCGACTGATTTAAAAAGGGAATCGAAATGGGGTTTAACGTCGCTTTCAGGATTAATTCACTCATATCGTGGCATGCATACACGTGTGGTATGAAGTTGTACTCGTCCGGACTTGTGCCAGTTTTATAGTGCAGTTAGGCTGTGATATTTATAGAGACAGGATATGTTTTGGTTCACTGCTTCAAAACACACAATTTTCCTCTCTGGGAAGAGGAGACGGACAATAGTGCTTCGTTATTAGAATCCCATTAGAACACTGGTTTTCACGTCATTTCTATTTTAAGCAAAACTGGTTTTCACGTTTACGTCATTTCTATTTTCACCTACATTGTGTTCGCCTGGACCTCATGTCATGTTCATCAGAGAATTGCGAGCCTTCATGTATCGATCGAGGTAGATACGTTTGTTGGAGCTTGTGCAATGTCGTGCTGAGTGTAACAGGTGGGAAGTACACATTTACAATACGTGAGGTGGGGTTGAACGTCTCGTTGTAAATATTTCACTCTTAATGCCTACAGTGTATACTTATCGGTGTTTAGTTGACCATTCTGTTTCACAAGAATCGAGGGATATATTTTTTTTATGAACCTCTTTCAACCAAATGCCAAGCGAAATATGTAGTCAACTGTGTTATTGATGTTGTAATACCGAAACCAGGTACAGATAGACCAAGTATGTGAGGCCTCACATTGTGCAGAGTTGCGTCTCTTGGCCGTAACATGATTCGCTGATTGCGACTACTATCCTTGTTTGTCAGCGTTGTACCCGCGCTCATGTCGTCCGCTATTTTTAACAGCTATTATATTTTACTGCACCATTTCTGTCGTTATCTGCATGTGGTAATAGTATCGTGAGATAAAAAAAATCCCTATACCAAGATTGTAAATAAAAGCGACCAAGGTAATTTCCATGTATTCATCATGAGAAATATCTACTAAAAGCATAGTCCATCTTTCTAAACAAGAGACATCAGAAAGATGACATATCCCCCCGGCAGCTGTCTGTAAAGAAACTACAAGTAAATGTGCAATTCTGTATGTAATGAGTCAAGAGTTGAATGTTCTTTAAGAAGCATACATTGTTTACCAACAAAAGATCCACCATGGTCGCATCCATATGAAATGGAAAGTAAAACGTGTGTTTCTGTGTTTGTTTTTATGCAAACAAATGGCAAATTACAAGAAACAATAACTAAACAAGCGTATAGTCAACGAAGTAATTTATATCCCCCGCCCATTTTAACACGTTATGGTCCAAAAACCAGGTAACTGACCCAACATTTCTCTTAGCCCACGTCAAAATAGCTGCAATGGAAATTCTAAAATAAACATTTCTAAAACCCCTTAATATCAAATGGCACCAGTTCAGTATGTACTTTATATATAGACATGCAATCTTTGGCAAGGAAATATTTAACAGTTTATTTGTTATACTCCATAAGTGAACCCACCCTATATGAAAACTTAAATCCAACTTGTTGCCATGGAAACGTAAAAAAAATAAAAATGTATAAAATTCCTAAATAGCAAAAGGCACCAGTTCAGTATGTGCCTGGTAGACATGCAAAGTTTTGTAAGAAAGTATTTAACAGTTTTTGAGTAACGCTCCGGAAACGAACACCACCATTATAGAACCTAAGTCCAACTTGTTGCCATGTAAACGTTAAAATAAACATTTCTAAAATTCATAAATAGCAAAAGGCACCAGTTAAGCATGAGTCTGATAGACATGCAAAGTTTTGTTAGAAAGTTTTGAATGGGTTTTGAGTTATGCTCCGGAAACGAACTCTACCCTATAGAACCTAAGTCCAACTGGTTGCCATGGAAACGTAAAAAAATAAAAATGTATAAAATTCCTAAATAGCAAAAGGCACCAGTTCATTATGTGCCTGGTAGATATGCAAAGTTTTGTAAGAAAGTATTTACCGGTTTTTGAGTTACGCTCCGGAAACGAACACCACCCTTATAGAACCTAGGACCAACTTGTTACCATGGAAACGTAAAAAATAAACATTTCTTAAATTCCTAAATAGCAAAAGGCACAACTTCAGTATGTGACTGATAGATATGCCAAGTTTCGATCAAATACACTGAATAGTTTTCGAGTTCTGCCCCGGAAAAGGAAATGATAACGGACGGATAGACGGACGGACGTACAGATGGACGGACAGACTGGCTGATCGCTATATCCCCCCGCATTATATGCCAGGGGGACAAAAGCTATTGAGAACAAGTTAGTTTTGATCTTGCAACGACATTAACACAATCTCTTCGGGTTTACCACGTTGTCAACACGACTAAACCGCAACAGGAATGGCACGGAATTTTGGGGCGTTTGATTGGTATTCGCAGCCTAAACAACACAGTGCTTATCGCACCAACATATCACACCAGCAGCTGACTGTTGATTTCCGGAACAGAAGGTATGTGGTTGGGTTGGCTTAGCTTGTACGCAGACGAAAGCGAAGGGAAGCGAAGGGAAGAGGAGGACCGACGCCGCGGTCAAGTCCAGCGCAAGGTTTGGGTGAGGACTTGGCTTCTACGACACCTTGCTGCAGGAGCTGGCACCAGAGGACATGACGGTGTTCCAGGATTTCCCGCGGATGGACCCGGGGTTGTTCCTGGAGCTGCCGGATCAGATCGGCTCAAGGACAGAGAGGCAGGTGACCTTCATGAGGGAACCTTTGGGGCCAGCTCTACGCCTGGCCATCACTCACCTTGAGTCCTGGTTCAGGATGGGCAACAACACCGGATGATGGTTTGGGCGTGTATTATGCTGAGGAGTGGGATGACAATGCCGAGATAATCATCGCCCTGCTCCTCCCCGACCTCCTCTGCCTCCTAATGTTCCTCCTCCTCCTGGTCCCTACCCTTCCCCCTGAGACTCGTCCTGACGGACTGTAGCTGGTACTCGGCTGGGTCCTGGTCCTGGCTCTGTGTGGTAGTGATGTGATTCATCTCTACAAACTGGGACTGGGCATTGTGTACATAACAGGCTTCTCCAGTCTACACCCCAATCTACTCAACTGTACAAACACCACCTCATCCATTTGTATATGCTTGTCAACCATACTCATCCGTTACACCGAAACATCACTACTAATTGTACAAAAAGCTGTTCATCCATATCTCTTATCCTTACATCAGTCAATCTCTTCATCTAAACATAAACGACAACGTCTCTTAATGTGCACACGTTTACTTCATTAATACCGAAGCAAGAATGACTTTTCAACCGTCACAATCATAACGCCCCTCTTTCAAAGGTTACAGTAACATACACATGCTAAATAAAGAATGCCCACACTAACAATCAGTACGAGGAAGCACACGCGATTACTGTTATCATTACGTGACAAACTCCACTCACAGCCGTCACCCCACATACGACATGCTAGGTCATAGTTGTTTCTATCTGAACGTAGCGGTGTTAGATGTTGTTTTTTATGCAAAACATAGATCCATTTTCTAATTTGAGTATATGTTACTTATCAGTTATTTTGTGCTATGAGTATATTTCATGTGAACAATAAAGACTTATCTTGTCTCAAAGAGCCACCTATAGATGGGCTGGATCGTTGGGAGAAACATTCCAACCGCATGACCATTAAGTGGGGTCTCCCTACTTGCAAAAAATACATTTCGTGGTGGTAGACTGGTGATAACCCTGGAACATTAAGCGGGTTTTTTAATCAACGATTATTCACCTCAACATTTAAAACAGAATAGGTTTATCTTCTAAATGAATTGTAAACACAATACTAAAGAAACGAAACAGTCTCACCCTGTATCTTTTTCTGTGTTAAGATATCGGGCCCGAGTCGATTGAAAGTGCACAGTGCAAAGCTGTAAGTTCTATATTTAGGATCACTGGTTTTTTTCGTGTGCGGTCATGTCGATTGTCTAATCTGGGTGTTCTATCTAGTCCGTTGTATGGTTCACAGTAAAACGACATCAAATCTCTCTTCTTTTTTGTTTTGTTTGTTTGTTTGATGTTTAACGCTGCACTCAGCAATATTACAGCAATATTATTAGCAGATATATAAATAATCGACTCTGGACAAGACAATCCATTGAATGACATCATGAGCATCGATTCACGGAATTGGGGTACAATGACATGCATCAACCAAGTCATCGAGCCTGACCACCCGATCTCGTTAGTCGCTTCTTACGACAAGCATGGGTTCCTAAAAAACAATTCCAACCCGGATCTTTACGGATCCCGGATGACGTGTATCACGTGATCTACGTGCGACCGCAACGCCATGGTTCAGGCAAGAAGTCGGTATCCCCATGGACACCAATTCCCCTTCTTGCTCATCTGTTTCTTTATGCATTTGAATCAGAATTTCTGCTTGGATTGGCAAAGTCAAAAACAAGGTAATTTAGCTAAGACGTTTAACTTAAGCTTCAGGTATATAGATGATCTGATATCAAATATCTAATTTCGTTCCACTGATTTACCCACTTGAACTAGAAATAAAGGAGATCAGTTCTTCATCTGTGTAATTTTTAGATTTGTGCATGAAGATTCAGAGTGACGAAATACTCTACAAGACAGTTGGACAAGAGGGATGACCATAATTTTCCAACAGACAACTTTCCCTTTATGTCGAGCAATATTTCTGCAGCTCCAGTGCTTCGTGTCTACATTTCACAACTTTGAGGTACAATCGAACATGCTTTTTCTACCACGATTCCAAAGGGCGTCACACAACTCTTGCTCAGAAGTTATTTCATCAAGGTTTTAACATGCAAGGCCTCAGTATAGCTTTCAAAAGGTTTTAAGGTAGACACGTGGAGGACATTTCCAATTTTTTGGCGCATCAGTGGCAATTATCTATCTTAACTTGTAACGTATGTTTCTGTGTTTTTTCAGATGAACAATTGACTTGTCTTTGCATGTGTTTGTGGCGTATGCCACCGGTGGGCCAGGGTACGCTCACGTCTTCGCAAACACCTAGCCTGGTATCATTACTATTTGATAGTGATTCATAAACACATACTCATGATGTAGTCGGAATCGTACAATCGACCCTGTTTCGGGCAGAGATTTCTTATGAATATGGAATTGGTTTTTTCGCTTTTATTACTATCTCATGTTGACGTTGGTACTCTACGGGATATTTTTATATCAATAACAGAGGTCCGTATGTAAGTCCATAACGTTAATACTGAGTGTTTTCACGTCCAGACGTTCAGCTCTTTGCACTCGGTTCCCCGCTCCAACTGCCAAACTATCGCTGTTTCAGGTTTCCATATTCCTCATATGGATATACGTCCAGATCTCGTCCACAATCCCAATGTCCGATGCAGTGGTCGTCAGAAAGGTCTTACTCTTGACCGGATAAGACTACAGTTTGAAGTTGCAGACTTAAAATTTCATGGGTATGACCGACTTTCCGCATGCCCTTAAATTGCAACGATCGAAAAGCCGACCATGGCATGCGTTGGGAATTGAAACAGTTTTGTATTTCAAGGCTGTTTTACCAAGTTTGAATTACCGGGTTAGGGTTTGTGCCAGACTTTTCACCAAGTGTCAATTTTTCGGTTTTGGTTTGTGCCGTTTAGGATTTTGGCCACTATTTTGGAAAGCACGTTTTGTTTGAAAGTTGATAGCTGTGGTTATTGACAAACGTCGACTTTTTGTGGGTATTTAAGGCACCAACATGTTGTGAGTATGAACGAAGAATGCTTTGTTTGTAGCCAATATATTTTTTTCTGCAGCCTTCATGTTGTAAAACGGTAAATTTTGTATATTTTAGGCGAACGATTTCGATCGTTGCAACTGCTTAAAATCCGGAAAATCCAACAAAAATATCTATACTATGTAAACAATGCTGTCTGCATTATGGAGTAACAATATGGTATTTTCATGCTATTTTCACATTCATGTATTATTTCTTTTGTAGATTAATTCAATTTGGTTTGAACTATATACTTATAAGGCTTTGTTCATTTTATTACAGCTTATACCAGTCAATGTACCAGTCTCAGTCATTCAGTCAAAGTCAACTTTGTTAACCAGTGAACATTATGACGGTCGGTCTAGATCTGTCGGTCAAGTTTGTACAGTCAGGACAGTCGGTCACCAACAATATATAGTCAATGTTGAACTGGTCAGCCAAACAGTTTGAATGATGATTTGGAGTAATGTGAAATTTGTGACATTTGTCCTTCTGTCTGGGGTCAGTCGGAATTGTGACATGGTTCGAAAAATGTGCTTAACAGCTGCGGTTGTTGAATAAATGACTGGGTACAGAAACATTCCCTTAATTTCATTCCCTACAATAACAGCATGCTTGAACTGTGGCCTCGTTGCACCCCACATGGGGTGTTTGATCTTTGGAGAAGGGGGAGGAACATTAAGGCTATTGCCTAGCGCAAGGACCACCAGGTGCACACCGCATGCAAAACACTGCATATTGCATGTGATATACAGAATACTGCATGTGATATGCAGTATATTGCGTGTGATATATTCTATAATGCGTGTGATACTGCTGTTCAAAGAGGTGATACGCCGAACTCATGCAGTCATTCCAGTGAAGTCGAATGCAGTTAGGAGAATGGAAGATCAGTACAATAGTTTATTTAAAAACATAATTATGTATGTAGTCTATTCATGTTTTGTGTTATGAATAATTATTATATGCCCTAAAAAGTAGAAACAGCGACATGTAGCTCTAATGAATAAGCTACCATGGACACATTGATTTTTCTTTGATGTTTATCGCCACAATAACAGCAATATTCCAGCTCCAGAAATGAATACGAATGATCGTAACTAGACAAACCAATGACTGGGGTCATGAGTAACGACCCATGCCTTAGATGTCTCATGACCAACAACTAACAAAGTCATGACCACTCGATCCATCTATATAGGTTATAAATCAAAATAAAACTGACATGTAAGTTGCCGGTTCAGAATCTTCTATTGTCTTAGGTAAGTATGAAAGCCAAAAGCCTAAAGTCGCCATAACATTTCAAAAATAGAAATATACAAATAAAATACACCACTGAATAAAATACAATTCAATTAGAAAAAGAGATTAGGAATTATTAGCATGACGATTTCAAAATATAAATCTACAATATCACTATGCAAATACATGATAACTGCATGTCTATTTATAATAAACCCATTCATGTTACACGTTAGGTTACATGAACGAACGTCAAGCCCACACCACACTGTGTATTTACATCATAACAGAGTATGAAAATATAATGTCTTAATATGTGTACAATAGAGCTAGAACCCAATGGACACACCAGTGGACAAAAGGCTCGCGCCACAACATAAACTCATTTTAACATTCTGTTGAAGAAACCCTAAAAAAGGAAACATGCACGTCCAGTGACAAAATGAATTAATATTCAAATGTCCTTCGTCTACTTCAAGGCTTTAATCGTGTTTCTGGCTTTCTCCTTGATTTTGTCAACTTTCCGGATCCTGTCAGCAGTGTTCTTGTATGGGTTTGCTGGGTCCATTATAATGACTTTGTCGTTTCTGTAACGATTGATAATGATGATGCTGATGCAGCTTTAGTCATGTTGGCATTCAGAACAAGACAAGCAAAGCCACTAGATAACTCAACTGTACTGTATATTTGTGTTCATGTGTCAGCGCGCCAAGGTTGAACATAAAATATTTTCGAAAATAGTACCTAACAATTTATTTTGGAATGACAATGTTATATCGGTCAAAGGGATCAAATATACTCACGGGAGTCCTCCGTACTTTGAGACATCGTAACATTCAGGACACTCTATGACCATGGTGTCAATAGCAGCGATCTTTTGGAGGACATATGTGAATCCTGCTTTCAGATCAAAGTTTTCCAGTTTCCCCGGTGTTTCGCATTCCTTGATGACAATCAGTTCGATAGAGTAGGATACCAGCTCATCAACATCTTCTGTCTGTTAAACAACACAAAGTAAAGTATAGATCAACATATCTGGTAATTTCAAGAATAAAATAATTTTGAATATGATGCATTGTGAATACACTGTTTATTAAGATAAAATGCAAACAAAATCATATTGTATCGTGTCCCACAAAGAGCTGTATGAAGAATGCAGTGGAAAATAGACCTTCCTGAATATTATTTCCCCTCAAATGTGTCCATTCATGGTTCAGCTAATAACAGTGTCAGCAACACTCAGGTTCTGAACTCACACTTGGTAAAATACGTTTATAATTCTACATACACGTTTCCAGTGTTTGACTAGTCTAATGAGGTCCTTTACTCTTGGGGGACGCGTTTTGACGAACTCTGTCTGTAGTGGCCCCAGGCATACGGACATAAAACTCCGTTCGTGTTCCCCCATTGTTTCCATTTGACGGTAAACACTCCTCTCTGATCCTGTAAAGGTACAAACATTGAAATAAACATTCGGTCAATAAGTTAAGTGTTTCATGTCCATTTTCTCAATAAAACATAGCACCGTGTACACATATACGACATAAGTGAGTTCCTGTTTCTCAATATTACATGTGTTGCCGAGAATAAAAAAACAGAAATCAACACGCACGCACGCACGCACACAACCTACATTCCCCGAATATCGTATGATTAAGCTCTACCTGCACGAAGTACATCCACAGCAGGGAGAAGATCCACATCGTGAAGTTCATCATCAGGATGGCACTTCAGTTGGAACTGGATGCTGTGACTGGTAAACCTAGTAAACTTAATCTTTTTAGCCCAGTTAGCGTCATGGAGAAGATGTTCTTTAAGGTCCGCCAACACAGTTTTCATGTTTCTCTGCAGATCCTTTATGCTCTTGTAGTCGTTCAGGAACACAGCTATGTCGATATCGTTCTTCTTTTTTATGCTGGTTCCTTTTCCCATTGAGCCTCCCTGAGGTCAGACAGATAATGCATCACTTATTAATTGAATTAATTGACAGCATATGACAAGAAAGTGTAGTTGCAATAAGTAGGATGATAATTATGGGCGATTTTCCAAAGCACAAGTCTCCACGCCAAGGAGGGATTTACATAAGGCACTATTGCAGATCAATGGGAAAAGGAAGTGTACAACCCATTCAGCATGTTATGCACTAAACTGTGTTGATACTAGTCCATTCTACCCCCCGGTACCCAATTGTCAGGGATTGATATTGTGAGCAACGGGGTCACCCGATCCATACAGTCGCATAGTTTGCTTTGGACCTATTCAAATCATGGATACCCTGCAGGGGGAACAACCATAAATAAAATAAAATAATGTTTTAGTCTAATCTTTTTAAGTGAAATGGAAATCTATTCTTATAAAAATCGTAATTCCATAGAATGTTTGATTATCATTGTCTCAAATTTACAGAGCCTTGAATACTGAATACTGTTACCGCCGACTCCAGCTGCAGACCCGATGCTGTTGTTTGAGAATTGGTATCGGGTTCTCACCTTGACCACTTTGGCAACATCATAAGACGTGTTGTGCTGAAGAAACCGCATCAGATAATCAACGATCTCGTTGCATTTTGTCAGGTGACTCTGAGCGGGGTAAACTTCTTGTTTCAAGAAGGTTTCGAAGGTCGGGTACTTCTCCACCTCTGTTACAAAGGTTGATTGAGACTGGTTATTCCTTAAATATATGACTGACGCGACCGGCTGAATCGTCCTTTTTGATTTGGGTTTACGTTTCCTTTGCTTCTTGACATGGGATGACATCTCCATGTGTTGCTGCAGAGACCGAGCAAGGAAGAAGCCCCTGGTACATAATGTACAATTGTGAATCTTATGAGTACGCATGTGTTGTTTTGCGCCATCTCTGGATGAGGGGATACTTCCACAGTGGTGACATTTATGAAGCGTGTTCAAATGATGTTGATAAAGATCGTTGTCACTTGCAAATGACCGATTGCACTCAGTGCACGTTGTAGCCATTGTCGAATTCTGAAAATCAAATGGAGAAATGAAACGTAATGAGGTTTTTATGTCGTACTTGAAAATCCACTTCCGGAGTCAAAAGATTCGAGTCAAGCTGAGTCATATTACTTGTTTAGAATGCACGTTCAGAATCACAGAAGTGTCGATCCAACGCGAGAGTTGCATGCGGAGAGTCGAATGTCATACCAGGCTGGTATATTATATATTGATGAATGCGGCGTTAAAGAACTAAGAAGTAAAACAAATGACTGGGCGTTATCTACCATGTGTCGTGTTCTGCTTGCAGGATGTGAGTTTACTTCCGTATCCGTCTTAACTACAGCGGGTCCTTGTTAACATGGACGTTGATTTGAGTTGTATTTTCATGGAAATTACATGGTAGTATTTCGGCGAAACGGTCACGTTATCTGGTGGAGTCAACAGTGCTCCGTCAGATACCCATTGAAAGATAGTGTGGTGAGGAGCCGTCATTGCTATTTTTACAAAGCCTGGTTTTTCCTTTGACGTCAATTCGAATTCAGCATGAAATTGCGAGGCTTTATATACATTTAGCAAAGCTTGTTCAATGTCGTACCTACTGATTTAAAAAGGGAAGCGAAATGGGGTTTAACGTCGCATTCAGGATTAATTCACTCATATCGTGGCATGCATACACGTGTGGCATGCATATACAATGTGTGTGTGTTTGTGGGTTAATCACATTGTTAATGATTCCCATTTCCTAAAATCCACTAACTACAACTGATACTGAGATATTGCCAGTCCAGGCTCCATTCTTCGAATATAAATAGATTCGCCGGTCGCAGTAATTTGTTTCATATTACCTGTCCAACGTAATAACGTCGACCTCCCTAGAGAAGAAACATATCCTTTATCATGTGTGTAACTCCTTATGGTAATATTACGAAAAGATGACACTAATAGTTACATATACTACAGGGGGAAAAAAAGTATACACCCATGTCTGATGGTTCCTAAACACCTTTTTTAAATGTTGAATCTGCGTACCAAAATCGATTTTTCTGCGTTCCGCGCACCACACTGCTAAGTCCGGAATACCCTCCGAATAGACCCCCGAATCCCGCGTACCAGAAGGGGGTGTCAGACTCACACTTGCCTGACGTTACTACACCGGGTCCTTGTTAACATTGAAGTCGATTTGAGGCATATATCCTTGGAAATGATAAAGTAGACTTTCGGCAAAAAAGTTCTTACCTGGTGGCTTCAACAGTGCTCCGTTATCAGATTCTCATAGAATGATAGTGTGTGATGGAGATATCATTTCTATTTTTACAAAGCCTGGTTTTTCCTTTGACGTCAATTCGCATTCAGCATGGAATTGCGAGGCTTTATGTCGGGATCAAAGTTGATACATTTAGCATAGCTTGTTCAATGTCGTACCGACTGATTTAAAAAGGGAAGTGAAATGGGGTGTAACGTCGCTTTCAGGATTAGTTCACTCATATCGTGGTATGCATACACGTGTGGTTTGCAGTTGTACTCGTCCGGACTTGTGCCAGTTTTAAAGTGTAGTTAGGCTGTGATATTTATAGAGACAGGATATGTTTTGGTTCACTGCTTCGAAGCACGCAATTTTCCTCTCTGGGAAGAGGAGCCGGACAATGTTGTTATTTCTTTTCACAACGCAGTCATGCCATCCACACATTTATTGTTCGGTAATACTCGCATGTCATTGCCTGTTAGTTTACCGTATACCAACCCGTGAAGATCCGGGGTAGAACAGGTCTTCAGCAAACCATGCCTGCTATAACAGGCAACTATGCTTGTCGTATGAGGCGACTAACGGGATCGGGTGGTCAGGCTCGCATACTTGGTTGATGCATGTCATCGTATTCCAATTTCGTAGAGTGATGCTTATGATGTCAATCACTGGATTGCCTGGTCCGGACACGATTATTTACAGTCCTTCGTGATATAGCTGGAATATTGCTGAGTGCTGACACCACATCCTTTCAACACCCCACCCGTAATACATAACACAACACCATTCAGGGGCTGTTCGCCAGTTGCCATTTTTATCGACCATCATACAACGGCGTACCACAACAAACAAACCTATCACGAAAGACAATTTCTGTGTATTTGTTAATGTCAAAGGTTGCACATTGTGAGTTTGCTTACCTGTCGTCACTTCACTTCCTTGTTAACATAGCCTTTGATTTGAGTCATATTTACTGGGAAAATACAAAGTAGGTCTTTCCGCGAAGCGGTCAGGTGTGTTATTTCTATTTTAAGCCTGGTGTTCCTTTTGACGTCAATTCGAATTCAGCACAGACTTGTGAGGCTTGATATATTGAAAACAAGTTATCTTGTTATTACGCATGTACATACACATATAATATACAGCTGAGAGGTGAAGTGCAATAAGGTTTAACGTCACGTTAAGGATTAATTCACTCATATAGTGACATTCATACACGTGTGGAATTCAGTTGTACTCGTCCGGACTTGTGACAGTTTTATAGTGTTTGGCTGTTTTACTGGTCCGGACTGTTTTACTGGTCAGTTTTATAGTACATTTGGGCTGAACAATGAAGAACGAGGCGTGGTCTATTTCACGATAAAACATTGTTCTATCATGACTTTATTTCTAGGAAGATACGAACATACACTCGTAACTTGATGACGTCGTAATTTGGAAGACGTTATTTTTTTAGAAGGATATGTCTGGTGAGTTGTTGTCGATAGATGTAGCTGGGCTACGAGGTAAACGCAATACCCAAACGATCACACCCAACAGGAGGATAGATATGATACTCGGCATTGGGAGAAAAGGTATAGATAATCGACGTGACAATTGTGAGAATATCCGTGAAATACCAAACTTAATCCCCCTGTACAATAAATGGACCTACATTGACGAGGTCGGATTGTATTCAGGGAGTCATAGCTTATAAATACGACCCGTGAAAATTCCGGGGTAGAATAGGTCTTCAGCAACCCATGCTTGCCGCAAAAGGTGACTATACTTGTCGTATGAGGCGACTAACGGGATCGGGTGGTCAGGCTCGCTGACTTGGTTGATGCATGTCATCGTATTCCAATTGCGTGGATCGATGCTCATGTTATTACTCACTGGATTGTCTGGACCAGACTCGATTATTTACAGACCGCCGTCATATTGCTGGAATATTGCTGAGAGAGGTGTTAAACAACAAAAACAAAAACAACTTATGAATACGGGAATATATTGTTAAAGCTTGTACAAGCTCCTTAAGGAGAGTCCACAATATAGATGATATGTCATATAAGTCAGGCGGTCGGGTAGCCTAGTAGTTAAAGCGTTCCATCGTCACGCCGAAGACCCGGGTTCGATTCCCGACATGGGTACGATGTGTGAAGCCCATATCTGGTGTCCCCCGCCGTGATTTTGTTGGAATATTTCTAAAAACGGCGTAAAACCATACTCACTCACTCATATAAGTCATGGTTTATTCGCCCTGAAGTATGTACATATTAATAACTAGGAGCTGACTTTGGTAACACTAACAATTAGACAGTGAGGATGTCCATCTGCGGTTGATGGTATGATTAAAGCAGATTGGAGTACACGATATTGATATATTACTACGCCAAGTTCCAACCATCGAACGTGTATATATTCGCCGCACGGAGAAATTATTGTGTGTCACCTGTCATACGCAAAGACCTCGCAAGAAATCAAACATATCCTCTTACAATTTAACTGTATCCTTTATCAAGTGAGAAACTCCTCGTGGTAATATCGCGAAAAGATATCACCAGTAATTACATAAACTGACGGGTAAAAGAACGTATACACCCTGTCTGATGGTTGCTAAAATGTAACAAAACAAGAGATGGTTATGGGACAGTGATAGGGTATAGACAACCTTGCAGTGTTAATAATTTCTTGTCTGATCCAGTTTTCGGGTGTGTACTTTCTTTTGTCCGGCAGTGTATTTGTCCACATTGCTTGTTAACGCATATGTGTTCTTACAATTATACCTATAATAATTTGAATTACCTCATACACATCGTAAGTGACTGAGTTAATATTTAACGTCGCATCGGCATAATTGCAGCCATTTATATAATTAACGACCAAACGTCTTCAACGTGATTTAGACGTGATCATCTTCTTCAGACGTAATCCATATATATCCGTACAAAGAGAGTGAGTGAGTGAGTGAGTATGGTTTTACGCCGCTTTTAGCAATATTCCAGCAATATCACGGCGGGGGACACCAGAAATGGGCTTCACACATTGTACCCATGTCGGGAATCGAACCCGGGTCTTCGGCGTGACGAGCGAACGCTTTAACCACTAGGGTACAAAGAGAGAGATATTGCCGGGTCCAGCAATTGTACCATCAAATCCCTGTCTCAAAGATGATCCATAATCCTTAATACAATCAAGGAAGGACTTTCATTATATTTAGAAAGTATTTGAGACTAATGGAATTAATACCACGTGCATTCTAAAAAACTTTAGCCGTCTCAAAAAGAACGAAGCTCAATTGTCTCAAAACATTTGATTTGTCCACTTTGTGCGTCACTATTTCACACGACTTCACTGTTTGATCCAAGGGACATTTGTCACTATATTGTTGTAAGCATAGATTTAAAGTAAACTACGGTTATAACGAAATAAAAGGGACCACTAATTTTATTTCGTTCTAACCGTGGTTTGTAAATAGGCACATATACAGGCTATATACAGCAAATGGACGGGATCCCAAATAGTTCGTAAAATCAGCTCGGTATAAGCGTGTTCGTTATAAACGTAGTTACATCTCTACAAAGATTCAGGTCAATTGGTCAAGAATGAAAGTTTACTGGGAAAACAATATGTGAAATGTTGGCCCTCCTCAGAGACAACATATATGTGAAATATGGGGATACAACATTTAGGAAAGAAGTAGGCATCCCCATGGGCACCAATTGTGTTCCCCTTCTTGCTAATCTGTTTCTTTATGCACACGAGTCTGCGGGGGAATTTCTGCGGGGATTGGCAGGATCAAAACAAGAGAATGTGCCAAATAACTTCAGCTTCAGTACGGTGGCCCATAAGGGACATGGAGTCTGTTTTTCCATATTTTGATATTTCACTTACTTTTATCGTAACCTTTTGCAAATTAACACGATTTGTCTTACAAATATGTGATAAATCATGTGTAAAGAAGATATTGAATCGCTGAAAAGTGAAACGAAAAGGTAAAAAATGAAAATGAAAATGTCAAAAACAAAAACGAAAATGTCAAAGGCCAAACCCTTTAATCCAATATGCTTGCCGTTCCACGACATGTGGCGTCATGGGACGTCGAGGTGTAAATGATCCGTTACAGATGCCACGTGCCAAATTAAGCGATTAGATTCGGAAATAATTACTGCTGAAGGTGTCTGTATTTAACAAATTTAGGGTTACAATCAAGTGTATTCTTTCTACAAATATTTCAGAAAGCATCAAAAGTTGTTTGATCAGTGTTACAACATTTAAGGCCTCAGTGACCCGTGAAGATCCGGGGTAGAATAGGTCTTTCGCAACCCATGCTTCCCGTAAAATCCGACGATGCTTGTCGTAAGAGGCGACTAACGTGATAGGGTGGTCAGGCTCGCTGACTTGGTTGTTGCATGTCATCGTATCCCAATTGCGTGGATCGATGCTCAAGATGTCAATCACTGGATGGTCTGGTCGACTCGATTATTTACAGACCGCCGTCCTCCAGGTCTCCAGATATAAACCCAGTGGAACATGCATTGGGTGCACTGGATCAACCACTGCGAGCACGTCAGCAACATTCACAGAACCTCCGACAGTTGGCACAAGCACTGCAGGCAGAAAGGGTGAACATTCCCCAGGCCACACTTCGAGATCTGATTGCTTCCATGAGACGACGATGCCAATCCGTTTTGGACTCTGATGGTGGCCCAACACGATATTACGAACAGATGACCTTCACCTTGAAAATGTACCGTACTTTTGGGCATTATATATGGAACCATCAATTATTACAGACGTTTTCATATTGAAATTGGAATGTCTTTAAACATTGCACGACATTTATGTCCATTAGAATGGACATTGCTTCATTCTGAATGATGACATTAACATATACTATGCATACCTTTTTTATTCCAGGACTACTTACTCACCTTGCTAACTACATATCACAAGAACATTATACTCATCTTCAATATTTAATGTTTGTGACTGAACAGAATATATAATTATTTATAACTGCTGGCGTCTGCCAGATATTGAACAAGGCCAATTCTGAACTTAAAAATGGTCAGTGTATGTATATAAGCAAGTTATAACTCACTTCAGCAGTAGGTACGTGTGTCTCAGAATTGATATCTACAAGGGTGATTAGGAATGGATTGGATCTTTGATTGTCATCACAACTTCAATGATTCGAGAACATAACAACAAATATGACGCAACAGCACAACATACCTGATGTAAAGAATATGTGTACATTTTATCATTATTTCGTATTCATTAAAAATGAATGTTTATGTTCTGAATGCATCAATTTACTTAATATGTACGACAAACAGTACCGATGAAAGAAAGCTTGTGTTTTCCTTCCACATAGCCTGGAACCTGAGGTCTACACATCCATGTCATCTGTGTCACAGTTAGTGGTTATAACGTTGTTGCTGAAGACCCGGGGTCGATTCCCACGTTGGTAAACGTTTACTAACATAAGTGAAGCCCATGTTTTGGTGTCTGCCGCCGATATATGGTTTGAATATTGTTAGAAACTCCATTCACAGCGAGGATTGGAACCTGAGCATTCTTGACTTCAGCAGCTCAGGACGTTGGCGACAGAAAACCATTCAACATGTTTAACCTATTCCTCGCCGATATTGACTCTACATGAACACTCAAACACTGGGACGATCAACGCCTGCAACTCTTTGATCACTGTCCTCAGGCGACTAGTGAGTTAATATTTTACGCCGCTTCAGCAATGTTTCAGCCACATTGCGACCTTTGTCATGACACGAAACAGTCGTGTTCATCATCTGTAACAAACTGCATTTCAAAAATACACAATCAGTTTGATTAATGAATTATAAATGTTGAATTGATTGTGATTATTTTTTGAAATTGTGCCCATTCTACTTTTAAATTGTATTCGAAAATCGTATACAACCGTGACCTCTTTAATCCGGACACCCCGCATACCGAACGTCAATCTCGTGTTTTTATCCAATAACTATTAAGACCATGTTAAAGGACACTGTTCAGTCCGGAAACAGAGGGTCCCTTGTGCATCAAAACCAGTTAGGTTCTTCTTTCAACATATCTGTCAGCCTTGTATTGAAGGGTTCATAAAACTTGTCCAGTAACGCTTTTGTCTTTGCCAACATTGGTAGTGATTTTTTTCGAACTTTGCCTATGTTCCTGGTGGTTGCGTTTGCTATGTGCTGAATGTCCGGCCGGCTCAACGGTGCTGTAAAGCAGAAGACAACATAGCTTTTACATGTGTTTCGGTGATTTGGTATCCATCGTTTCACACCTGTTTCAGTTACACCACGGCGTGCCAGCTTCATGTGGAGAAAAGAGTGAGTGGGTGAGTTGGGTTTAACGCCGCTTTTAACAGTATTCCAGTTATACCACGGCGTGTCAGCTTAATGTGGGAGGAAAGCCCGAAGTGATGCAGGTCTCAGACGTTTACCACTTCGGTGAAACCCACGAGCATGGGTATGGTGCTGACAAACCTAGAAACATAATTGGGGCGAACCGGGATTCGAACCCACAATTATAGGTTTCTGGCGTGCCCAGGGGACGCAACTCTGCACAGCGAATCGCGGCGCCTTAGACGACTGGACCACCCGTGCCCTCTCTGGAGAAAAGAGCAAACATGACGCAGATCATAAACGTTTCTGACTTCGGTGAAGCCCACGGGATGGTTCATAATATTATAGTGACAAACCACGGATTATAATCAGGGCGATTCTCGAATTCGAATCAACGATTAACGGATTCTGCCATGTATACGGGATTCACCTGTCTGCTGTGGATTGTGGCGAGAATTTGAAGAAAGCAACACTGACAGACTCACTTAATTCATAATTCTGATCAAATTGACAGAAAACGGGTATTGAATAAAAGATAACAGTTGTACTTTTTGTTTGTCGGAGACACTTTGATATTTTCCACAAATATCATTCACATTCACCACTTTCATTGGACACTGTATGACTATATGGTCATGTTTCTACAACATATTCTTAATCCAGGTGATAGTGTACTCTCGTATGTAGAGTGTTTGGGGCATCTTAATCTATATTTACACCAACACTTCTGTATCCGTCTTTGTTCCTCATTTCTACATAAAGCATGCATTAATTACATTTTAGCAGACCAATTACAGTCTATATGTTGTTTGTTTATTTGTCGTTTAACGCCGTACTCAGCAATATTCCAGCTATATGACGGCGGTCTGAAAATAATCGAGTCTGGGCCAGACAATCCAGTGATTGTCATCATGAGCATCGATCCACGCAATTGGGATACGATGACATGCATCAACCAAGTCAGCGAGCCTGACAACCCGATCCCGTTAGTCGCCTCTTAGGACAAAGCATTGTCGCCTTTTACTGCAAGCATGGGTTGCTGAAGGCCTATTCTACCCCGGATCTTCACGGGTCTCAATCTATATGCACGTACGACATTAAAATGAGAATGTTCTTTCCCATAACCATGAATATCAGACGTTTAACATAATGATGTGTCATCTACATATACGCCAGAAAAACATTACATATTTCACCATACTCATTAAAATCAGATATTAGTTCTCGCTATCGCTAAACAAAGATCTGAGGACATCCCATTACGTGTCACGTCAGAACAACCTTTCATCCGACCAATCAAAGCGTCGCGTACCAGATCATGAAAGTGACAGTCGGAATATGTTTTCTTATCATGCAACCTCGAAAATGTTAACACGGTGTATTCCGAACGACAGTTGCGGCCCGTACGACTGCATTCGTCACCACTCGCCCCTTTCCGTAAACGGAGGAGGCGTTGCACATTACGTGGGATTCACTACCATACAATTTCGATCAATTAGACATTCCGGAATGTTCGTTTGTTCGGTTTTCCAAATTTTAATCGAGAACTGTGTCAACATATTTTTCAATGGAAGTCGCCAGGTTGAAACTGAAGCTGCTGTCTAATTGGCTGATGTCGACTTCTTGATAATTTCAGTGGTCGGTCAAAGATCGCGAAAGATCGTTCTGGCGTGACCCGTAATGGTATATCCTCAGAACTTTGTTCAGCCGCAGCGGGAACGTTGATCTGATTTTAATGATATTGATTTTTCACACGTGTGTGAATCTAAATATTCAAATGTTTACTTACAGACTCCTAAAAATCTAAACATTTCTTCAAGCGTCGATTCTGGTTCCTTCGAGTAGTTTTCAAGAAATGACACATATACCTGTTTCCTTGGAAACGTCTGGAACCAATCTTCAAGGTACACGGAATACAACCCCATTCCGACTTTCATCTGAGAAGGAAATGAAATACATTGACTGAAGCTGAATGATGTATAGACGCACAGTATTGGTTTACACTGTATCACACTGTATCATGATACACATGAAGGTTACCTTCTCATGGTGGTACACTCACTGGTCTAGTGGTAGAGCGTCCGCCCGGAGAGCGGAAGGTCCGGGGTTCGATCCCCAGCCGCGTCATACCAAAAGACTTTAAAAGATGGTACTTGTTGTTACCCTGTCTGGCGCTCGGCATGAAGGGGCTAAAACAAGGACCGTTCGGCTCGGAGTCAGTATACTGTGTCTGAGTGGGGTATTCATGTTAAACTGCGGCATGGTACCTCAGTGTGCTAGCACTATAAATCGGCATCAGTTCGGACTAGTACAAGCAGCCACACACACACGTACACGTACATGCACGTCGCTATATAAGTGCAATAATCTTGGACGCGACGTTAAACCCCATTTCACCTCACCTCACTTCTCATAGTGGTACATGCGGGTACACGGGTTTGTAAAGGATAAACCTGTTACATGTCAAACAATTACACTGACGTCAAATGAATATTTACATACTGATAACGTGGTATGGCGTATTGTTAAATTTAAATACCTTTCCTTTCATAAATATACATATATTTAAATTGTAAATTTGAATTTGGTTTATTTTGATAAATTCAACAGAACAGTACAGAATTGAATTATATGACCAGTTGATAGGACGGTAGTATAAACATGTTTCTAAGTTAGTTGACGGTGAATATTCTTAAGAAAAGATTTGTAGATGTATAAAGGCAGTGGTTTGGGCTATTTAGGGGGTCTGGGCACATTGGTGGCCTAATTACATGTATTGGTGCACCAGAAACCTGTCACGCCAAGATTTAAGATTTGCCTTGATTATGTTTCTTGGTTTTTCAGTAACGTATCCGTGCTCGTAGGTTTCACCGAAGTGGTAAACGTCGTCAAGCGGTAATATAACAGGAATACTGTTCAAAACGAAGTCAAAGCAAATTCACTCACTCATGGATTTAACCCTTCAGGGATAGACTTTTACCACCTGGTCATTAACCTACTGTCGGTATTATTAGTTGCCATTGTAATATAAGGTAGTGTTGCTGGTTTGTTGTTTAACGCCGCACTCAGCAATATTCCAGCTATATGATGGCGGTCTGTAAATAATCGAGTCTGGACCAGACAATCCAGTGATCAATATCATGAGCATCGATCCACGCAATTGGGATCGATGACATGCATCAACCAAGTCAGCGAGCCTGACCACCCGATCCCGTTAGGCGCCTTTTACGACAAGCATAGTCACCTTTTACGGCAAGCATGGGTTGCTGAAGACCTATGTAATATAAGAAGGAGTAATTGAAAATATAATATATGATAAAATCAACTGGGGGGTACGGTTTCCTGTAATATAAGGAGAAGCAAAGGAAACCGGACCTCCCAGTTGATTTTATCATATCTTATATTTTCAATTGAAAATAGCTAAAGTTAGCCATATCCAAGAAATGAAGTGTATTGCCGCGAAGTAAGCACTCAAAGCATACTTCTGCGTGGCTCTATTTTTTAAAATATATTTTGAATTAAAACTTTTAAAAATTAAGAAAAGTAAATAATAATACACAACTGCTGATTAGTATCTTAGACATCTTATCTTTGAAAATCAATAAATTTGCTTTTTTCGGCTCACATGTCCAACATTTCATAGATGGTAGGGATCATGTTGCTGCATATTCATTTCTTATCCTAGCCTTCATTGGACCAAAATATTTTAACATAATTTGTTTGTGGGTTCGAATCTCGGTTCGTCCCGTTTGTAAGCACAATATCCGCGCCCGTGGACCTGAATCACTTCGGGTGTTCCTCACACATTAAGTTGACACGCTGTGATGTAACTGGAATACTGTTAGAAGCGTTAAACCCAACTCACTCACTCGTGTCATATTTCCATACGTCATTAATATGAGGTTATCTCTTGATTGAACAAGGGTGGGGTGGTAGCCTAGTGGTTAAAGCGTTCGCTCGTCACGCCGAAAACCCGGGTTCGATTACCGATATGGTTACAATGTGCGAAGCCCATTTCTGGTGTCCCCCCGCCGTGATATTGCCGGAATATTGCTAAAAGCGGCGTAAAACCATATTCACTCACTCATTTGATTGAACACCTGGATGAACCGTAGTAATATATATAAATAGATAGGGTAGTATTCAGAACTTACCGAAGGTACGTTTCAAAGTTGTCTGGTATACATAAAAGTAATAAAATGAAATTAAAAAAATTGGTTTATGGCTGTTTGATGAAATACAATGGATACGTATTAACTAGATGTGATAATAATATGTGTTTTGTTTAGTTCGCCTATCGAAAGTACCGTATTGATAGTCTGTCGTCGTAACTATTCCCAGTTAAACTTAAAAGTTGTCATAGATTCAATTCCACTGGCTCGATAACAAAAACATTTTATCGATTGGCACACCAACAAGTGAAAGACACTTACATCACTCATCCCCGACAACGTATTATCGTAAGCACATCGTCGTACACTGTGTCGCTTGAAGCAGTCGGTGTACATCTTGGTTTCCCGCACAACACTTTCATGAAAGGCTTCTGGTGTTCCGTCGCCAAGAAAATAGCAGTAACTGGAATATAGCCTGGAAAAGAAGATAATATTAGCCAAAGGTTTTGTTAGGTTTGTTTGTTGTTTAATGCCGCACTCAGAGATATTCAAGCTATATTATGAGTGAGGTATGTAAATAATCAAGTCTGTGCCAGACAATCCAACGAATGAGCATCGATTGGGATACGATCACATCATACATGAACCTAGTCAGCGAGCCTGGCCACCGATCTCGTTATGCGCCTTTAACGACAAGCATAGTCGCCTTTTAAGACAAGCATGGTTTGCTTTGTTATATGTTCATGTAAAAATATTCTGACTCATGTCAAATACTTAAACATGTATCATACATGTTAACATGTGAACATAAACATCAATCTGTTTACTTTAGTATTTTTGTAGTAATGAGAACAGGCTGGGGACTAGCTCTCCCCTCGGCCATAAACTTTGTTGTTTTAGATAGTTTTTGTGATTTGTGCATGTACAGTAAACTACGGTTATAACGAACTCAAAGGGACCACTAGTTTTAGTTCGTTATAACCGTTGTTGGTTATGATTAACAGCAAGAATTACGTTCAATGCCGTCGGGCTACGATGATACGCAATCAGCCATGACACCTGGCCAGACCATCCGATCACCATCTTATGCGCCTATTACGACCAGCATAGGGTACAGGAACCTACTCCGACCACGGTGAGGTGAGGTGAAATAGGGTTTAACGTCGCGTCCAAGATTATTGCTCTTATATAGCGACGTGTGCGTGCGTGCGTGTCCGCTTGTACTAGTCCGGACTGATGCCGATTTATAGTGCAAGCACACTGAGATACCATGCCACTGTTTAACATGAATACCCCACTCAGACACAGATTACTGACTCCGAGCCGACCAGTCCTTGTTTTAGCTCCTAAATGCCGAGCGCCAGACAGGGTAACAACACATACCATCGTTTAACGTATTTTGGTATGACGCGGCCGGGATTCAACCCCGGGCCTTCCGCTCTCCGGCGGACGCTTTACCACTAGACCACGGAGGCGGCCTCCGACCCCGGAATCCAAAGAGAAACATGTAGGGACGTAGACAGTAGACGGATACTAACCTAGATACTGGTTCCCTCAGTGTCAGTATTATTTTGGCCTCTGGAATCATATGTCGTAGATAATGGGCATTGATGATCCTTGGTTCTTCGCAGTTCTCATTACCAACATATTCCTGCCAGTGCTGGTTGTCCGCAAAGGTAGAAGGCGAGTGATCGCCTGAAACGAATATGGACCATCTATTAGTGATAGGACGACACACCGATGCATCGGTGTATGACGATTTTTTACTTCTCGATCCAAGTATCGATCACAGTCGCACACTAAGTGGAAAATAATGATTCTTACCTTCAATGCTTGCTTTAATAACTCTTATACCAAACACTAAATAGCAGTTAAAATAAGTTGTGAAAACGTAAATAGTTTCATCCATTGTGCCATACTTGACATTGCACACTGTAAATCGTCAGTGTGCCAGGTATTTGTCCACCGTGTCCATGCAAAAGATGGCTTACCACAGTTAAGAGCACATGCAAGTATCATGATTCGTATCTGATCGTGAGCAGGTATTGCTAGAGCTATCGGTTCGCACAGTTGGTGATTCGTCCCAGCTCTATCATCTTATTATCATGGTAATTTAAAAACTATTTGATTTTATTTAGTATCTATGTGACAGTCAACGCTTATGACAACCAGTGACTGTGACAGTCAAAGCTTATGACAACCAGTGACTGTGTGACAGTCAACACATATGACAACCAGTGACTGTGTGACAGTCAACACATATGACAACCAGTGACTGTGACAGTCAACACATATGACAACCAGTGACTGTGTGACAGTCAACACATATGACAACCAGTGACTGTGACAGTCAACACATATGACAACCAGAGTCTGTGACAGTCAACACATATGACAACCAGTGACTGTGACAATCAACACATATGACAACCAGTGACTGTGTGACAGTCAACGCTTATGACAACCAGTCACTGTGTGACAGTCAACGCTCATAACAACCAGAGTCGATGACAGTCAACGCTTATGACAACCAGTGACTGTGTGACTGTCAACGCGTATGACAACCAGAGTCTGTGACAGTCAACGATCATGACAACCAGGGTCTGTGACAGTCAACGCGTATGACAACCAGTGACAGTCAACGCGTATGACAACCAGAGTCTGTGACAGTCAACGATCATGACAACCAGGGTCTGTGACAGTCAACGCGTATGACTGTGACAGTCAACGCGTATGACAACCAGTGAATGTGATAGTCAACGCGTATGACAACCAGAGTCTGTGACAGTCAACGCTGATGACAACCAGTGACTGTGACAGTCAACGCGTATGACAACCAGTGACTGTGACAGTCAACGCGTATGACAACCAGTGACTGTGACAGTCAACGCGTATGACAACCGGTGACTGTGACAGTCAACGCGTATGACAACCAGAGTCTGTGACAGTCAACGCTTATAAAAACCAGTGACTGTGACAGTCAACGCGTATGACAACCAGAGTCTGTGACAGTCAACGCGTATGACAACCAGAGTCTGTGACAGTCAACGCTTATGACAACCAGTGACTGTGTGACAATCAACGCGTATGACAACCAGTGACTGTGACAGTCAGTGACTGTGTGACAGTCAACGCTTATGACAACCAGTGACTGTCTGACTGTCAACGCGTTTGACAACCAGAGTCAGTGACAGTCAACGCGTATGACAACCAGAGTCTGTGACAGTCAACGCTTATGACAACCAGTGACTGTGGGACAGTCAACGCGTATGACAACCAGTGACTGTGACAGTCAACGCGTATGACAACCAGAGTCTGTGACAGTCAACGCTGATGACAACCAGTGACTGTGACAGTCAACGCGTATGACAACCAGTGACTGTGACAGTCAACGCCTATGACAACAAGAGTCTGTGACAGTCAATACTTATGACCACCAGTGACTGTGACAGTCAACACTTATGACAACCAGTGACTGTGTGACAGTCAACGCTCATGACAACCAGTGACTCACAGTGACATGACTCACACATAACAACCAAGCCTATGCTCAGTTTAGCAAGCTCGCTGTGTAATAACATCCGAGACAGTATTCTGGTGCCAGCATCTAAAGTAACTTGACCCGAGCAACCAACTGGCCACCAGCGACCTACCTATGATCATGGGATGGTAATCTATTATGTTGGAACTGAGATCCACCTTCCGTTCTACTTGATTGGTGCTGTTACGGAATCTCGAAGCATAATGATCAAACGTGACACCTGGAACACACAATGACATCAAGATGACATCATGATGACATGCAAGTCGACACAGAAGTACAAGTAACTGTCAAATTATTATTTTGGGGAATGCGTAAATATTAAACGCATTCATTGACCAACGTCGTGTGAGTCACAGGAATATATGGCTTGTGTAAATAATGTTTGGCAGATCCAGGTCACTCCTTCATGAAATGGATGACTTTTGTACAGTTCCTTGGAATGATGTCTGCTTTTCTATATACATTTGAGTATTAAATAGGTATTTTAAAACCATGATGATTTTTTTTAACTTTCCAATTGACAAATGAGGGCTATTAGTATACATTCTACTGAACTGGGCGCCCTTATTTACTACCGCGCCAAAGTCGCACTTCACTACTGGGGTATGTAGGGTAATTACCCACCCTCTCAACATTTTACACAACAACAACAACAACAACAACAACAACAACAACAACAATAATAATAATAATAATTTCCATGTGTGTGCAATTTATTTAGCAAATGGATAATACGTGCGCATTTACTGTTCCCCCTTATTTGGTACGTGCAACGACATGATCTATGACGACATAATACAGTCCATTGGCGGCACGCAACAAGGTTACAATGCAGTGACGTCATAGTTCTCAGAACGTTTCGGTGCTACTCACATTCACTTTTGCCTGTCGTAAATTTAAGAATTATTTCATGTTTTGTATGAGATATTACGCCGTATATTTGACTGTAGTTTAAGGTACTCTGCTGCACAGCTTCAGATGTGCGACAGAGAGACCTGTGGTTTGTTGTTAAAGGACCCCGAAAAAAAACACAGTTCGAGTTGCGCAGTGAAGCCAAATCCCACGGGCAAACATTCTTAACAGTGTCATCTCACACACTCTTTAGACCATATATAAATCCCTTGCAGTATTTCAAATTTCATAAAACTATACACTTACGAGGTCTGTATTTCGGCTGTGCGTCTATAAGCCTCTGCTCTGAAATTAAGAGATACACAATTCAATTTACATAAATATAATTCAGAACATATTCAATAGTATATTAAGAGATAAGGCAAATTTGTGATTATATCGATTTTGATCTGATCGATATCTATAGGGGAGAACCATGTGGTCCAAACTTCCCCTTATCACGCTGACAGCCCGGATACAATGTGCAAATCCCGTTCTCGAAGTCTCGTGGCTTGTTGTAGCGTGTGCTCACTGCTATATACTGCGCGAATCAGGTACTTATGTCTGTAGTACGAGTACTAACATAAGATTAGATTAGTGACGTGTTAATAGTCACTGATATGAATACTAGGATAGACGTGAACACACAATGCCATTTAGAAAGTTATCAATGTAACACATGTTATTTTTAGGATATCACTTTCTGAGTAAATTACAGATTCTCGTACTTTTGGGGGTTGAGTCCCGTCCGGGATTCGAACCCACACTGCCATGTGAGGCACCTAGTCGACTGCACACAAAGTTAGCGATCTAACCCATTCAGTCACCGAGGCTTCCACAAAAATGAAAGTCCGACAACTGGTAGTCTAGATCACGTACTTTGTGTACCCCTCTGACATGTGTAAATTGGCACGGCTCCCATGGCCATGACCCGGACGGCACTCAACCTACAAAAGAACTAGAGAATCTGTACTTTACTAAAAAGTGTTATCCCAATTATAACATTTGCTACTTTGATAGACCGACTCTTTGCAGTTTGTGTGACTGTGTGCTTTTAATGCCGCTTGCAACAGCATTTTCCTTACAAAACAGCGTGTCGGTTTAATGTGGTAGGAGTGAGTAAGTGAGTTGGGTTGAGTGTAACGCCGCTTTTAACAGTATTCCAGTTATATCACGGCGTGTCAGCTTGATGTGGGAGGAAAGCCCGAAGTGATGCAGGGTAGAAGTTCACCACTTTTTAAGTGAAACACGAGCACGGGTATTGTGCTGACAAACCTAGAAAACATAATCGGGGCGAACAGGGATTCGAACACACAATGATAGGTTTCTGGCGTACCCAGGGGACGCAGCTCTGCACAGCGAATCGCGGCGCCTTAGACGTCTGGGCCACCCGTGCCCCCTAATGTGGGAGGAAGGCCCAAAGTGACGGAGTTCGTAGAAGTTCACCACTTTAGTGAAACACGAGCAGGGGTATAGTGCTGATAAAGAAAGGGTCATAATCAGAGTAAAAACTGAGATTCGAACCCACGGTCAGCGGATCCTGGTATTCCTAAAGGAAGCACAAGACTGTGTCGTTAACTCCACCTGTTCAATAAGCGGTCATACTTACTAAATCGTCCCCTTGACAACCAGTGAACCGCTGAGTAGGCAGTTTTATCGGCTATATCGGGGTGCGCGGAGAGTTTACTGAAGAGGTCGGTGGTTCCACACTTCGGTTGTCCGACTATATAGAACACGGGGATGCAGCGGATTGATGATTGGATGTCATCCGGGAAGCTGTGCCCATACCAACACGGGTTGCGGAAGTTGCCGATGTACTCAGGTCGAGGCTGTAGCAGATTATGATCAAAGCATTGTATCCTTATGATCAAAGCATTGTATCCTTATAAACAAAGCATTGTATCCATATAATCAAAGCATTGTATCCTTATAAACAAAGCATTGTATCCATATGATCAAAGCATTGTATCCTTAAGATCAAAGCATTGTATCCTTAGGATCAAAGCATTGTATCCATATGATGAAAGCATTGTATCCTTAGGATCAAAGCATTGTATCCTAAGGATCAAAGCATTGTATCAATATGATCAAAGCATTGTATCCTAAGGATCAAAGCCTTGTATCCATATGATCAAAGCGTTGTATCCTTAGGATCAAAGCATTGTATCCATATGATCAAAGCATTGTTTCCTTATGACCAAAGCATTGTAACCTTAGGATCAAAGCATTGTATCCATATGATCAAAGCATTGTATCCTAAGGATCAAAGAATTGTATTATTATGATCAAAGCCTTGTATCCTAAGGATCAAAGCATTGTATCCATATGATCAAAGCATTGTATCCATATGATCAAAGCATTGTATCCTTATGATCAAAGCATTGTGAGTATCATTATTGATCAAACTTGATTATGTGATATGCTTGTTTATACGACCAATCGTGTGTTAATATGATTATAACCTTGTTAGTTTCATAATTATAAAATAATTCGTTATGTGATTACGACCAAACCATGGATATGTATTTTATTTCGGATTGTAACATTGTTAGAATAGTTATGATTAAAGCATTATGTATGTGGATGCGACCACATCAATGTTTATATGTGTATGTTCAAAGCATTATTCGTATGATGAGGATAAAAGCATTCGTTCTATAGTATAAGTATGATGAAATTATGGTTAGGTTGCTTTTAATAGAAACATTATCATTTTGATATAGTCACACCGTTAGTATGATAATAATGATGATAATAATAGCCATTTATAACTCGCATTACTCCACGCACAATCAGTGGCTGTGGCAAAGAGAAGGAACAGTATTGACGGTCTTTATCTTTGGAATGCTCGGTACATCTTGTGATTCAGCTCCAAGTGATGACTGATATGGGGTGGATTTTCAGCCATCTATGCTTGCCGAAAGAGGCGACTATGCTTGCCGAAAGAAGCGACTATGCTTGCCGAAAAAGGCGACTATGCTTGCCGAAAGAGGCGACAATGCTTGTCGAAAGAGGTGACTAACGGGATCGGGTGGTCAGGCTCGCTGACTTGGTTGATGCATGTCATTGTGTCCCATTTGCGTAGATTGGTCATGATGTCAATCACTGGATTGTCTGGTCCAAGTATTTACAGACCACCGTCATATAGCTGGAATGTTGCTGAGTGAGGTGTTAAACAACAACACAACAGCAACAACAACAAACGTGCACAGTACAATACAGAAAGGAAACGTCAAGCGAGGCGCCATGTTGTCATTCCCACCCTCACTCCTCCCTCAATGTCATCCTCGCGAACTCACCCTTTCCTTCCCTCCAAACTCAATTTTCTTTCCTTCCCTCCCTCCCTCACTCAATCGCCAGCACCCACCTACATACATTCCCTTATACTTACAAAACTGAGAATATCAAATCCTGGTTGGGTCTTCTCCCCTGGTCGCTCTGGTCCGGGACATATTGGTCTGACCATCGGGGTCTTCCTTCCAACCTTCGTACTGGACATCGTAGTGGACATCCACGCCAGGAGCGTCAATAACAGAGACAATAAAGCAATGCATATCCTTTTACGCCACTGGAATAGGAAAAAAATACTTCAGGTTTACATGTAACTAACAACGTGCGAAATGAGCGTGCGGGTCCACATTCGATTTTTCGTCGTCAAGTCTACATGGAAAGTAGCTCTGCGTTGGAAAATCTTGTTCAAACGACAATATAGCTGTTTTGTTTGAAAAATGGGTGCAGTTTGTGGTCACGAGTAGTATTGTTTGAAAACAAGTAAGCAGCCTCCCTCGGGTATGTGTTCATCTCCTACAGCTTCTGACAGTGGAGCCTCGTTAATGCTTATTGAAATATACTTCGTGTTTATCATGGATCGCTCTTACTAAAATTATACACGGCTTATAAAAGCGACAAAACCCGTTTCATCTCCATAAAAAAATCAATTGTATTATTCCGACAGTCTCGTGTTTTTACATTACTATTTAACGGTGAGCGTATCCTGCCCCACGACTTTCAGAAATCAAAGTTTGTTAATGCACCAGATTATGCACTATGTATTGTGTATCTGATTCACGTGGTTCGCCTCGGTCATGATACTTCTAGCTGCAGGTGTCATGACCGATTGAGGTGAAGTGGTGCCACATTTAAATCACGAATTACAGATTTGTAACCTACTGATAAAAAAATAACAAACTAAAATCTTCCCTCCGAACCCAGTAAGTTTTGAGACCGCCTTCATGGTCTAATGGTAGAGCGTCCGCCCGGAGAGCGGAAGGTCCGGGCTTCGATCCCCAGCCGCGTCATACCAAAAGACTTTAAAAGATGGTACTTGTTGTTACCCTGTCGCTCGGCATTTAGGGGCTTAAACAAGGACTGGTCGGCTCGGAGTCAGTATCCTGTGTCTGAGTGGGGTATTCATGTTAAACTGCGGCATGGTATCTCAGTGTGCTAGCACGATAAATCGGCAACAGTCCGGACTAGTACAAGCAGCCACACACACAAACACATACACGTGCATGCACGTCGCTATATAAGTGCAATAATCTTGGACGCGACGTTAAACCCCATTTCACCTCACCACCAGTAAGTTTTGAAATATTTCATGAGAAATAAGTTTTTTTTCGTATACTTGCCCAATCAAAAACGTTTCCAGTGAAGTCATATACACTGCCAAGCAAAAGAAAGTATACCCTTAAAAAAATACAAACGTTATCAAAACGTTAGTAGGCTGAAAACAGTCGCCGAAACACTGAAAATTAAGGTAAAAAACACGACCATGATTACCGTATCAAATACATCACGATGGGATAACCAAACCTTGTTTGTTTCAAATATGTGTACTTTCTTTTGCCCTGCAGTATAAATTAACGTATTTCAAGCTTACCCATTCATGGGTGTCCAGGGAGAAAATACACCACTTCTAAATACCCACGAAGGAGTACCAGCGATGTCAAGTATTGTTCCGTGAAATATATACACACGTTCCCATCAATAAACACCTGGAATTATTAATCCATATGTAGATTAAAATGTGTAATGTTAGATTTGTATAAGTGAGTGTGTTGGGTATAACGCCGCTATGAACACGATTCCTGTTCTGTTTAATGTTGGAGGAAGGCCCGGAGTGATGCGAGCCTTCGATGTTTACCACTTCGGTGATACCCACAAGCACGGGTGTGGTGCTGACAAACCTAGAAACATAATCGGGGCGAAGTGGGATTCAAACCCACGATCACAAGTTTCTGGCGTGCCCAAGGGACGCAACTCTGCACAACGAACTGCGGCGCCCAAGACGACTGGGCCAACCGTGCACGGATATTATGTATTTATTATTTCGGTCAGCACTACATATTAGGTCATTCAGAAAGTATTGTTTGATGCTATTTTATCTTTTTGTCGGACAATGTCCCCTCGCGGTACACAGGGAATAGCCTTCAAACAGTGTACCCATGTGTGGAGTCGAACTAGGACTTATGGTTAACGCTTTAACCATCAGGCTCTTCTACCACTCCGAAATGAAATCAACTATAGTACACAAATGTCAAAACATTTCTATATACATTCATAATTATGTAACCAACATATAACAATACCGATATCAATATTGAACACATGATATAAATATTGACACAGTTGAACAGCACACACATTCTCTTTAACGAGGCAATTTGTATTTATACATATATATAATCAATTTATATTTGCTAGATAAAGTTTAGTCTCAACGATAATTTGCTCAAACAGAGAAACTTCCTACTGTAATGGATGACAAATATTTAGTTTGTGGCTGGCCTTAGTTTGAAAGTGTGTCGATTTGCATGTTTCTACCTCATGAAAATCAGACTTTTACTCCGATACAGCACCTCGCTGAGTGAAGAACTGACGATACATCCCGCGTCATATGAACTCATAGCGAACTTTGACCGCCCAATCAAACTGAAGGATGCGTGGGTTCTTGAGCCAATCAGTGTTTAGTTTTCTTAGACATTTCAGCTTCGTTTCTTTACCAAAACAAAACAATCAAACAACACAAATAAACCCCCCATTGTGCATCCTTTCGTGTGTTGACGCAACAGCAGTGTGTATGAAATATGCACAATAACATAATAGGCATTCGTTTTATATCTTTGCATTCGGATCTCCATGATTATATTCAAATTTGAGATACAGAAATCAGATATGCTTGTCTGCATGATTCGCTCACAAATACCGAGAATTTAGAAGCTGATCAGAAAGTGCAGTGACGCAGCCTCCTATAGGAGAAAACGATCTTGTCATCGGTGGGGCAGGGTACGCCCACATTTTCGCAGACACCTGGTATCATCACTATTTGATGGTGATTCGTAAACACATGCTCATGATGTAGTCGGTATCGTGCAACGGCCTCTGCTTTTAGCAGAAATTTCTGTGGAAAGGTTTTTGTCATTTTGACATAATCAGCTTTTCCATTATTTAATTCCGATTATGACCCTTGGTTCGTCAGAAGTATCCTCAGCAGCATCCTCAAAGTAATGCCCGTCTACCACCCCAATTTTCTTTGTATTTACTTTGGACTAACCGTCGTACAACCGAAATACCGTTCAAGGCGTCGCTTCCTCAAGTCACTCGCTCACTTACCAACGGGGCGGTCGGGTAGCCTAGTGGGTAAAGCGTTCGCCCGTCACGCCGAAGACCCGGGTTCGATTCCCGACATGGGTACAATGTGTGAAGCCCATTTCTGGTGTCCCCCGCCGCGATATTGCTGGAATATTGCTAAAAGCGGCGTAAAACCATACTCACTCACTCACTCACTCACTCACTTACCAACCCATAGCACGTCTCTTTTACGTGTAATTTATCCTTGTTTCTGTACAAACGCTTGTGTGAATATCCGTTAAAACACCACAATCAATTTAGAAGTATACAGGGAGTTTAGTTCTGTTCAAAGTCACCTCTGTGAGGATTTCGGATTAGAGTGAGTGAGTGAGTTGGGTTTAACGCCGCTTTTAACAGTATTCCAGTTATATCGCAGCGTGTCAGCTAAATGTGGGAGGAAAGCCCGAAGTGATGCAGGTCTAAGACGTTTACCACTTCGGTGAAACCCACGAGCATGGGTATGGTGCTGACAAACCTAGAAACATAATTGGGGCGAACCGGGATTCGAGCCCACAATCACAGGTTTCTGGCGTGCCCAAGGGACGCAATTCTGCACAGCGAATCGCGGCGCCTTAGACGACTGGGCCACCCGTGCCCCCATTTCGGATTAGAAGGAGTCCCAGATGCTCGCCACGAAGGCCGACTAAACTGGGGATTGAGTGGCCGGGCCGTGTGGGAGTTATTGCGTTCCATCCCACTCCGATGACATGGCCCATTGCTTCTACTTTCTGTCACTGATTTGTCGGGAATCTTTACAGGCCTCTGATGGACCTGGGTCATGGCCGAATGCGGCATCAAACGGTATTCATTTATATATTGGCTTTCCTAAAACCAAAAGTGATGACTAAAATCGGAAGTTTATTACTGTAAATATTGCTGGTTTGTCCAACGGGATTAACACTGGGCCGAAAAAAGTTATTAATTTCTAGATGCAGCGATACCATACGATAAAGTCCCATCGACCGGGCCTTTCAGTATAGCGTTAAATGTTTGGGAGGCGTGTGCCTTACAGTGTATTCGATATAAGCAAACAGATGTTACCGTGCGTATTGTGTTTCCACACATGAAGGTTATTTGAAGAACGTATACGCCCGATCAATCCTCTCCAGAATAAGCCGAGAAACTACTGTCGGGCAAGCGGTCCTCTGACGTCTCTGACTGTTTTTCACTCGGATTCTCTCGACTCTTTCCGATACCTATATAATACTTCATGGACCACTAGCCTCCCTGGTACAATAGTTGGATATCTGTTGGTCTCCTAACACACGGGAGTCTATGTGTCCTTGGGTCAACATCTATCAGTCCACAACACTTTTAAAAAACGCATATAGTCCGTGGTACTAGCGTAGTGATATCACCATGCGCAAACCGCCAGAACCCGCCGCTTCGAGTTCATGAAAGCAGTATATTGCGCGCTTGACAATACGCACATGAGCACGCATAATCTGTCGTATCAAATACACTTTCAAGATGTACATCAGCGTCGTTTGGAGCGGACAGATGTCTTGTGTCATGTGACAGTCACGTGAACAAGTCCCAGTGTTTAGTCCCTCACAGCAAGCTCACGTATGCCGTTAGGGCGATCCGATTGCCTCACATGTTGATGGGACCTGTTTTAGCTTTCTGGTTTCCATCCACCTATATATCTTCCCAGTCGATCGCGCATTGCCACCGCGACACCAGTTTGAAAAGTGAAGGTATAAAAGATATTGACCCCAATTATGATATACCAAATTCTGGCATAAATTATAAATGATTCACATCAGTGACCTATTATTTGATCATACGTCCTTTAACAGTCAATCTGAATTGATAAATAAACGGCATATTTATTGATAAATATGTAAAACAATACGTAAAAGCCAGAAAAAACCTCACTCGTTCTTCGGTATACGCTCTCTCCCAGAGAAGCAACAATTACAATATCCCCCCTACCCGTAGCACCCGACCACTCACACAATTAATTTGCATGAATAAATATGTTTGTTTCTGACACCGCACGGCAGTACTCGTGCCTGACGACGGGGTCATGTTTTTTTCTGTTTGTTGTTTAACGCCGCACTCAGCAATATTCCAGCTATGTGACGGCGGTCAGTAAATAATCGAGTCTGGACAAAACAATCCAGTGATTGATATCATGAGCATCGATCTACGCAGTTGGGATACAATGACATGCATCAACCAAGTCAGCGGGCCTGACCACCCGATCCTGTTAGTCGCCTCTTACCATAAGCACAGTCGCTTTTTACGGCAAGCATGGGTTGCTGAAGACCTATTCTACCCCGGAAGTATTAGGAGTAAAAGGTTTAGTAGTGACCCGTGAAGATCCGGGATAGAATAGGTCTTCAGCAACCCATGCTTGCCGTAAAAGGCGACACTGGATTGTCTGGTCCAGGCTCGATTATTTACAGACCGTCATATAGCTGGAATGTTGCTGAGTGCGGCGTTAAACAACAAACAAACAAAAACAAACAGTAGTGACTAGTTAAACATACACGTGACCTTGAGGACCATTCTTTGTTCAGTTTCAGTTCAATACTAATGTATCCAATGCGCCGTGAACGCGATGACGCTCCTCCTGTTCAATGTCCAGTATTTATGTGGAATACTTCAAAGCCCTAAGCATTGGAAATCCATGTTTGTTGCACTGCAGACAACAATATGCACCAACAGCTGTTAACAAACATATCAGGTAGCACATCGACAACTATCTGAATGAAATGACATGTACAATTACATCGCGAATCTGCATTACGTATTTACTTTTTCCCAGGTGTAATTGACGTTTACTCAATGTCTATTAACGATAAAAAACAATGATAAGGCACACACCTTCATTTGAAATAAAGCTCGGTAGCACTGAGGGCCGTCAGGATCAGTTCTTCATCCCGTGAAGGTGGATGTCCTTTGCTTAAGTGTCCACGTTTTCATGCCTAGGTTAAGGAGAGTTGTCCTGTGTTTATGTGCTGCCGGACACCTATCAGGTCGAAGGTTGAACTCCTGCATCTGTCGCGATGGCAATCGACATAACCACGTGTCTAATTAATATAGTGAACGCATCGACATACAATGCGAACTGTTATAGCTTGATGTGGCAGAACTCTGTGTAGGGGCTCTCACAGTGCATTCTCTCCAGCTTGCCTGTCTCCGTATCTCGCTCTCTGTATGTGTATTGTCTCCCTCCCGTTCTATATCTCCCTCGCGTTCTGTCGCTCTTTCTGTCTCCCTTTTACTCCCTCTCTCCTTCTCCCTCGACCTCCTCGTCGTTTCTCTCTCTCCGATGTGCACTTTCTCTGCCTCCCACGTGCATTTTCCATCAATCCCTCGTTCTCCTCTATACTGGCTTTTACTGTATCCCCCTCTCTGAAATTCTCTCTATCTTATCCAATATATAAATCTGTGTGTATACGTATATGTGTGTTTGTATATGTATAATGGGCGTGTTTATATATATAATATATATATATATATATATATGTACTCTCACATAGGCCTCAGTCTGCTGGACTAGTACAAGCCGCCGCACAAGCACACGTGCATGCACGTCGTTATATATATATATATATATATATATATATATATATATATATATATATATATATATGTATATTTCTGTATATATCTGTCTGTATATATATATATATATATATATATTATACATATATCTGTCTATATATATATATATATATATATATATATATATATATATATATATATATGGCGAATACTTCAGAGTCTCTGTATATATGCTTTATCATTGATTATTGTAATTATAAATCACGATTATACCGACAGACGTATTAGCTGTAGTGAGTTACCCCGCTTTGATCGGTATTTCAGGGTCATCATGGGGTTGGACATTTAAAATCCAAAACCCCCTTAAATAAAGACTGCCCCTGACAACTTCTCCAATATTAGAAAATAACACAACCTATTGCTTCGACACATATGATAACACACGACACTCCCAAAGGTAAACCCCCGAACATCCGTGCCTGGAATAACGGGTTTCAACTGTAGCAGTTCATATTTGCTCAACATGGACGCTGACAAGGCTGGTTATAGTACCTTGAAGTGATGGTGAAAGGTGGTTCTACTGCATCTAAATTAGTTATATAACAGCTCTTGACTTGCACCCAACAAGCTCATAATGATTCACCTTGAAGCCTTCGTAAACTCTGCCAGCGCTGTTAGCAGTGCAGTAAACGACGCGTACATATTTGTCCCCATATTCTGTTGCTACTTTCGCTATTGACAAGCGTACTGTGTTTGCTTGTTGACATGAAACAATATGGTCAACACTCGTAAACTCGAGTGATACCATTATGACGTGGATTTGAGGCAGTGGGACACTGAAGGAGTGAGTGAGTTGGGTTTAACGCCGCTTTTAACATTATTCCAGTAATATCCCGACGTGTCAGCTTAATCTGGGAGGAAAGCCCGAAGTGATGCAGGTCTTAGACTTCCTTCCAAAATGCAACCATGCCATATTTAAACTACTGAGCATGTATTTACAGGTCCAACGTTGAATCCTGAACGCCCATACAATGAACCATATTTCAAGGTAATTATTGATTTATTATACCTATGTGTATCAATACACTCAAGTGACGTTTTTATTATAACCTACATGTGTAAATTGAGCTCAACACACGTTTTATTGATTATGAATTATTTATAAAAAAATCAATGAGTTTTGTGACGTCATATGTCATATAAAACCACATTACTAGTTGGACCTCAAACCAATCTGGGGGTCAAAAGATAAGCACAACTTGGGATGAGCTTTAACACTGGTTTCCACATGGTTACTACGACATACACTTCTTCATCTCCATCAAGGCCGCCTCCGTGGTCTAGTGGACCAGCGGAAGTTCGGTGGTTCGATCTCCTTCCACGTCACACCAAAAGACGTTATTAGTACTTGCCTGGCGCTCGGCATTGGGGATAAAACAAGGACTGGTGGGCCCAGTGTCAGTAGACTGTATCCATGTTAAAACAGCCGCATGGTATGTAAGTGGGATAACATTTTAAAGTCGGCATTAGTACGAACTGGTACAAGCAGCCACGCACGCACGCACGCACGCACGCACACACATTTCACATCATTTCAATGGAACAATCTGACATACCTGCGGTATGCATACTCCCGTCAACGTCCACAGACAGCACACCATGGGCCAGTGTGGGTGAGGTACAATTTATGTTGCATCAGAAACTTGCGTACGACCTCGAAGTGTTGAAACCATTACGTGGACTTGATATTACGCAGTTGGTGCGCGGAACCCTCGTAAAGTGTTAAGGACAATTTACTTTTAGAGACACACTTTTCACGAATTGAAAACGTCAACTCCAGAGAATATTCAGTGTCGATCATCGCGGGTCTTAAAGGCATTCATTCGTTCGTTCGTTCGTTCGTTCGTTCGTTCGTTCGTTCATTCATTTATTAAATTTATTTTATTTATTCGTTTATTTATTTATTCATTTATTCATCACACAAGAATTAATAGAATAAATGCTGTGATATATGTACTTGTGTACGTAGGTTTTCTTTGGAATGGAATTAACGAAATAATTGTTATGGCGAAATAGATCTAACTTTTCCAAAATATATTAAACCGATGAAACCCTTTTCATATTCATAAGAAATCCCGATGCTCATGATATCAATCACTGGATTGTCTGGTCCAGACTCGATTATTTACAGACCGCTGTCATATAGCTGGAATATTGCTGTGAGCGGCGTTAAACAACAAACAAACAAACAAATCATAAGAAATCTCTGCTCAGTCGATTGTACGGTCCGACTATATAATGAACATTCGTTTATGAATCACTATCAAAAAGTGATGATCCAGGTATACGCGAAAAGGTGAGCGTATCATGTCCCACCGTGGCGCCCGTCATCAACATAGGCAAAGGCAAGTCAATTGATTAGCTGGAATAAATGAATGGATTAACGTTGCCAGAAACAAGAATGGAATACACGTTGTTATACACGGATCCAGGTGTGTGTGTGTGTGTGTGTGTGTGTGTGTGTGTGTGTAAATCAGCATTAGAGTGGGTTTTTTTCTTTAGACAACATAAATATATATGTAAAAAACGATTTCATAGCGAATTCGATAGTCTAGCTCTAGGGCAAATATAATTCAATATACACTGTGGTAGTTATTGGCGAGATTTATTTTAATGTGAAGTTGCCACGATTTACGGCTTTTCCACTGGACGAGAGGTCGGTCACATGACCACGAAACTGACGTTCATAAGTGAAAATTAACCCTTAAATAACTATTGTGTGGTTTAACGACCAAATGAGGGGACATAAGCTGTGATTTCAAATTATGAAATAAAATGGGGGAAAAACGTTATGATAGTTCTACGAAATAAAGATGAAACAAACTATGCGATAGTTTAACGAAATATACAATTGACGTTTTAAACATTTATCTTCCAAACATATTTGTTTTTCATGTATCTTCAGCGGAATCACGCAAAACAACTGTTAACAAAAAAACCCGACTTGGAGAATATAAAAGTGACCTATTTTGTCTTTTTCATTTTACATATGTTTTATGTGTTTGGATCGACACTTACTTGTCTATCTCCCTTTGGCGTCCCAGACACCTACAATGGTGGGTTCAAATTCCAGATTGCTGGTGGATGTCACCAAAGTGGGAAACTTCTAAGACCTGCATCACTTCGGGCTGACACGCAGCCACAGGACTGAAATATTGTTCAAAGCGGCGTTAACCCTAATTCATTCACATAATTACCTAATAAATTGTCATTTCGCTTATCTCATGTTTGTGACAGTTACGATAAGGAATGGTATGGGTATTGTGCTACTATCACACACCATTCCTGATAGTAAAATACCTATAGGCATGGCGCCGGGTGGCCTAGTGGGTAAAGCGTTAACCGGGTTCGATTCCCCACAAAATAGATCTGAGCTAATACTTGTAAACTTGATCCCTCGTACAACCCACTTTTGTAAATATGTGTGTTTGCATTTCTGTGAAAGTGGCTAGAATTAGTTAGACAAACGTTATTTTCTTAGGTGGGTGAGTATGGTTTTACACCGCTTTTAGCAATATTTTAGCAATATTCCAGCAATATTACGGCGGGGGACACCAGAAATGGGCGTCAGACATTGCACCCATGTCGGGAATCGAACCCGGGTCTTCGGCGCGACGAGCGAACGCTTGAACCACTTGGCTACCCGACCGCCCATTTTCTTAGGTACTTTATATTATTATCTATATGTTGCATGTTATATATCTGGCTAAAAATGGTATATGACCATAATATACCCCCCTGCTGAGACTTTGAAACAAATACTCAAAAATATATAAATGAAGTTAAAGAAAACCAGAATTTAGTTCATATGACGATAGTTAATCTGCCATGGAAGGTTGGTATTGCAACACACATCCTTCCAACTCTGGGTGTTCTTTTACTTGTTTAAAGAAGTATACTTTGCACGTTTGGATGAAATATAACAAACGAAAACATTTATAAAAGTGGATAGATTACCTCTTCCACATTTCCACATTGGTTGATCTTTGCTCTGTGGCGTCAACTCACTTGGAAGATCCATGTTGAAACGCAGTACGTGGCTCGCTGTGACATGTTTTATTTCCACGGCGCAAAACAATTGAACATATCTTGATCGAATGATCCAAAATTTGATCACCTTACACCACTGTCCCCTTGGTTCAACACTTGACGAGAGAAACAATAAACGCTGATACGAGCTAAACCACCAGCCTTACATCTACTGCACGATAGCCTTACAACAATGCTCCTATCTATCTATGCGATTTGTATTCTCTCCCTGATACGAACAACTGACTTAATCGCCTCGGTGGACTTTGTATAAGTGCTGATACAACGTGCGCAGCAGCCTGTCCAGTCACGCCCAATGCTAAACCCCTTCAAACCTCCGCCTGGTACAGATGGCCGGGTGGATAAAAGGCGGTCGGAAGGCGTGCGGATAACAAATATGGCCCAGTGGATAAAAGTTTAATGCATTATTCAGTGACATTTAAACTTGGAAAATATTACGTGTTCATAAGCGTGTACAATCATCTCCAAAACATTTTTTATTCATCTGATGGGGAATAATAGAATCGTTGTTGGTGATATTACGGGTCATCAGTTTACTGCAGACGTACTTCTTATTGCTGATGCGGACGTTAAACCGAATGTTATCATAAATAACAGTTTAGTTATCACATGAATAATCTCCTGTATTGTTAAAGTTCAATTAAAATATTTAAATAATTATTCATGAAATAGTGTCTACAGTTTTAAATAGCTCGATCAGCAACTTGATCAATGAAGAAATTGTGTACATTCACTCTTATTATTGCGCTTATTTTGAAAAAATAAATTTTATATAAGAAAATGACACTTATTCATGGAAATATGTGACGACTCCTGTCAAAAAGCGTAATGGATACCTGTGATGTATGTTTAGTATATGGTACTGTTATACGTGTGGTGTAATCAGCTGTATACCACAATAGACGATGACGACCGTTCAAAGAGCAGGGGGCGTAATTGTTGACATGAACTTTGATTGGAAGCTGGTTGCACATAGATAGTATATTATCAATCTGATTGTACTGTTTATGGGCGTGCGTTGCAGTAAGGACGCTCAGTTCCCGTGGATGATGTAGAAGTTTTTGTGTGAAATGTACCCAAATTCGTAGGTGGGTGAAATTGACATTTTGAAATTGACAAGTGTCAATTTCAAACTGAAATGGATCAAACCTCGGATCGTATTTTCAAAGAAGGGAACCTGTCTCCGGTGGTGTACAGTTTCGCGCAGATGAAGGGCGTGACGTCGACGACACTTGTAGATTTTTCATGTCGATTTACATGGAGTGTAACGGATTTCAAAGAAAACGACCAGGACCAAAACATGTCGATTTCAACCCATCCGGAACCGAGATATATTTCATCTCAACGCCATATCCCTTCAAGAGATTCTTTCAGTCACCTTTACAACCAGCCAATGTGCCAAGCCTGCCCGTATCAAGCTGCACCAAACGCTATGTCAAATCCACTGTCAAGCACGATGTCAAGCCCTATGTCAAGCCCACTGTCACATCCTCTTTCACTTCCGCCTCCACATATGCACCTCCCCAACTACGGTCAACATCCGGGTGTGTACCCAAGGGGACATGTGACCCCAAAGACATTTTCTCCGGTCCTGATCTACCACCGGCCGTCCTTGACATTTGGCGATAGATTTAAAGATGCCGAAAATAAGGAAGCTCAAACTTCATATTTTGAGAAAGACCGGTTCAGGCTTGGATTGCATGGACTTGAATACAAACGCATGTTTCAAGGCGATAATGTCAAAGGAGGGGAATGCACAAAAGACGGTCTTGGATTTAATTCAGCTGGATACCAAAATTGTCTATACCCTGAATTCAAAAGACCCGGGTTTGTTGTTCCGCATCAACCAACATTGCAACCGAGCCAATGGCTTCCGCGGGCAGAAAAAGAAGTTTTGAAATTACCTCACGGGGATCATAGTACAACGAGCGCATTTCAAGCATGGAGGCCACAGGAACAAAGGAGGAATCCTAGTTTTCCTTACATCCCAGAGTTTAAACCAAGCAACCAACAAGCTCCGAACACTGACAGTGCAAAATTGAAATTCTTCCTGGACACTAAATACGGACTTGCGGACAGTTCCGAGTTTCCTGTTTCAGTGGAGCCGGAAATGGGGCTAAAACCGGAATTTACATCAGGGTTCCCATCGGAATATCCGTTTGAAGCATCATTCTCGGATCCCTTCCTGGAGATGCTGAATGACCCTCTGCTGTCCCCCAATTCCGAGGAGGGGGATGACAGGAGGGGGAGGAAGTATAAGTGCCCCTACTGTAGCGTCTCCTGCGCCAACAACGGCCAGCTGAAGGGACATCTCCGTGTACACACAGGTAGGACAAGGGCGATGTTTACAAACAAACGACCCGTGAAGATTCCGGGTTAGAATAGTCTTCAGACAACCCATGCTTGCCGTAAAAGGCGACTGTGTTTGTCGTAAAAGGCGACTAACGGGATCGGATGGTCAGGCTCGCTGACTTGGTTGATACATGTCATCGATCCCAATTGCCTGGATCGATGCTCATGATGTCAATCACTGGATTGTCTGGTCCAGACTCGATTAATTTACAGACCGCCGTCATATAGCTGGAATATTGCTGAGTGCGGCGTTAAACAACAAACAAACAAAACAAACAAACAAACAAAACAAAGCTAAGCACGATATCCAGTGCTTGAAAGAGGCGATGGGGATGTGTACCAGGTGGTAACAATGCATGTATAGAAAGGTGTGGGATGAAGCGGTTCGTGACAATTTCTATATGTCGTCATTCTTTCAGCACATGAAACTATTCGACCGTAGTGAGTGAGTGAGTATGGTTTTACGCCGCTTTTAGCAATATTCCAGCAATATCACGGCGGGGTACACCAGAAATGGGTCGACCGTAGTAGTTGTGGTAGTAGTAATGATAATAAGAATAGTAGTTGTAGGTCTAGTAATACTAGTAGTACTAGTAGACGAAGTTGTAGTAGTAGTAGGAGTAGGAGTGTAGTAGTAGGCGTAGTATTGGTAGTAGAAGTAGAAATAAATGTAGCTGTAGTAGTGGTAGTAGAAGTAGAAATAAATGTAGACTTAGTTGTAGTAGTGGTAGTAGAGGTAATAAAGATATTAGTGATAGGAAGAGGTGTAGTCGTCGTCGTAGTAGTGGTAGTAGTAGTGGTGGTAGTAGTAGTAGTAGTAGTCGTAGTAGTAAAAGTAAAAGTAGTTGTGGTGGTAGTTGTAGTAGTAGCAGTGTTAGTGGTAGTGGTAGTGGTGGCGCTAGTGATTAGTGGTGGTACAAGTGCTATTTCTATTTGATGAAATATTTTGAACGTGGAAATCCTCTGGCGGCTTTTACGTCACGTGTGTATGTACCCCGCCACTTGTGTTTAGTCGTACCTGTCAGAATCTGTTCTATCACCTGTTGTTTATGTGATTCAGGTGAGAAGCCATTTCGCTGTGACTTCGTGGACTGTGGCCGAGCATTTGCCAGGAACGAAGAACTGACCCGTCACCGTCGAATCCACTCCGGACTCCGCCCTCACACGTGCAGCACGTGCAGCAAAAAGTTCGGAAGGAAGGATCATCTCAATAAGGTAAAGAATAATTTGAAAATATACGCATACTGTTTTAAATATATAATAGTAGCCCTAATAGTGATATATTTCTTATATAATTGAGGTACCGAAGTGAGTGAGTGAGTTGGGTTTACCACCGCTTTGGCCAATAAATAAGCGTGTTTGTGAATTCAAAAGTGATGCAGGTCCAAGACGAAATACCACTTTTGCTAAATTCGAACCCACGATAATCGGATTCTGGCACAACTAAGGGAAGCAACTCTCCAATTCGAATCGGATCGCCTTAGATAGTCCTCCCGTCAATTTCGATGCAAGTTAGCGCTGGCGCTACCCTCTTGTACATCTTTAGTAGGAGTGACACCAGATGTTTTGACTCTGGGTCAAATTTACAACTTGCATCAACAATTCTGCCGATAACTGGTCAAAGGGTCCCAGGATATGTTCAATCAGCTGTTGATCCGTATCAACATTCTGTTTGTTTGTTGTGTTTACTTGTTGTTTAACGCCGCACTCAGCAATATTCCAGCTATGTGACGGCGGTCTGTAAATAATCGAGTCTGGACCAGACAATTTAGTGATTGACATCATGAGCATCGATCCAGGCAATTGGGATACAATGACACGCATCAACCAAGTCAGCGAGCCTGACCATCCGATCCCGTCAGTCGCCTCTTACGATATGGGTTGCTGTGGTGAAGTCCTATTGTCCCCCATCTTCCCGAGGCTAGAGAGTTAACTGACAATTAAAGTCAAGTTTCCACCCTTGCCAAACTAGGCTTGGATTATGGAGTTATATTTTGGCTCGACTAACGAGTCTATGCCTAGTCCAATCTAAATCGCGCACCGAAATCGAAATCCGGTTCGTAAACTGTCGTGCAGATTTCGGTCGATTGCAGGATTTGCAAAGCATGTGCACCGCCAACTCGTTGTCAGCAGATATTTTCCAAATCTTTTAATGTTCTTAATCAAAGTGCTCACGTGATTTGATGCATTTCGCGATGTAAGACCCGTTTTATCACAATATAGATCATGATTATCGATCAGATCGTCCTGAATCGGCGCCACCATTTTGTGTGAAACAAACGCAAGTGATGCGAGAGGTGGAATCTGATTGGTCCATAGGAGAGGCTCAGAAGGGACATAACTGGTAATAGCCACTGGTGGCGCTACGGCTACGGCCCAGTAATTCCAGCCTAGTTCGGCAAGGTTGGAAACTGGACTTTTAAAGTCAGTTAACTCTCTTGCCTCGGGAAGATGATTGTACCCCGGATTTTCACTCAACATGAACTATACCGATACACAACTGATCCCAGTGTCCGCCACATGTCTAATTGTGATACGTCCGTCAGCCAACAATACCCAGCCTCCCCGTGAGTGTCAGACGTGGTAATTTAAGGGCGAGCTGACATTGAGTCATCGTCTTTGCTACTTCTACCTCGCTTCTTAACCATACTCCATTAAATAACAGTTTAATAGAACAGTCATCCGATAGTGTGCTTTTCATATCTTCGTGTTGTGCTTTGGTAACTAGCCCTTTGTATGAATGTATTAACATTCTCGTTTCTCAGTTGTCTCCCATTTCGCATTTTCTGCTGATGACTTCTCGAAAGCAGACACAGTTGTCAGTGTTAACATGATGTTACTTCTTCCAAGAGGTGATATTCTAAATACACATGTAGAGGTCTCACGTTACACAGAGGAATATCAATGAGGTCACGAAACTTTCGATTTAACAGCGTATAATACTGATCTATGTCTTTTACGTTATTTATATCCATAGAAAAAAGGTTATAACCACTGACTACATACGTCTATATGAACTGAAAAAACATTCCGTGTTTATGTAGTAAGTATTTATGAAGATGATATGGATGCCACATGTTGATATTTCATGGAAGTCATGACAATGTTTGTTTGTTTGCTGTTTAACGCCGCACTCGGCATTATTCGAGGTACATGGCGGTGGTCTATAAATGGACCAGACAATCGGGTGACTGGCGTCATGAGCATCGATCCACGCAATTGGGATACGATGACATGCATCAATTAAGTCAGCGAGTCTGGTGGTGCTTAACTGTTTTGCAGGTGTATTATATACGACTTGGCCTCCGTTGTCTAGTGGTGGAGCGTCCGCCCGGAGAACGGAAGGTCGGGGGTTCGATCTTTCCAAAAGAAGTTAAAAGATGGTACTTGTTGTTCCCTTGCCTGGCGCTCGACATTAAGTGGATAAAACAAGGACTGGTCGGCTCGGAGTCAGTTTACTGTGTCTGAGTGCGGTATTCATGATGCATTGTATCTCAGTAGACTAGCTATGAAATCGGTATTAGTCCGGACTAGTACAAGCAGCCACTCACGTGCATGCACCTCGCTTTATAAGTGCAATAATCTTAGACGCGACGTTATATACATTTCACCTCACCTGATCGAGACTCTGGTCTAATCTCTCGTGTTGATGATGATGTTGTTATTTGCAGCACCAGAAGACGCATCTGAAGACGGCGGAGAAGAAAGTGCACATGTGTAATGTACCCGGATGTGAGCAGAGATACACGAGGTCAGACGCTCTAGCCCGCCATCAGTGGGGAGCGCATGGCATTAAATCAAAGTCTCCAAAATGGCGGACACAAGTCAGAGACAATAAACAAGCATGTGTTTAAGTGGACAAAGTGAAACAGATAACTTATTAAAAAAGGATTCTGCAAGGGAAAGGCTCGACATGTTTTGATATGAGAAATGAACGGTTTATTTAGCAATATTGACCGGGGCGGTTAAGTAATTGAATGTGAATATATTCATACCCCAGTTCGATTCCCAACAGGGATAAACTATATACGTGGTAAACTTATACGTGTGACTCTTTGTTGGAATTCGGAATAAAATCCTATTTATTGATCCCGTATTGAATTGCGTGGTTTCAATTCGACCCTGACCTGCAGCGTGGAGTTATCTTTGTGGGTCATCGTGCCCCGATAGTGTTGGACGTTGATAATTCATCAACCCTGGGTTACGGACTCAAGATCGATTATTTACAGATGTAGATGTAATATAGATAAGAGAGGCGGAAAACACCTACTCACTCTTAGCTGTGTTCTGAATAACCCCATGCTATATATCGCATGCATGGACGAACGCACGCACGCACGCACGCACGCACGCACGCACGCACGCACGCACACACACGCACACACACACACACACCACCCTTACACCGGCCGTCCTGATTTAGCTCTTTCACTTAGACACACACACACACACACACACACACACCACCCTTACACCGGCCGTCCTGATTTAGCTCTTTCACTCTGACACACACACACACACACACACACACCACCCTTACACCGGCCGTCCTGATTTAGCTCTTTCACTCTGACACACACACACACACACACACACACACACCACCCTTACACCGGCCGTCCTGATTTAGCTCTTTCACTCTGACACATATTATCGTGGGTTCGAATCCAAGTCTCACCTTGATTATGTTTCTTGGTTTGTCAGCAAAGCACCCGTATTGATGGTAGTAAACGTCTGAGATCTGCAACACTTCTGTCTTTCCTCCCACATTAAGATGACACGCCGTGATATATAACTGAATCACAGTTTAAGCGACGTTGAACTCCCTCACAAAATGGGTATCTAGAAAACAAGGCATCCCATCGACACATGAACACGAAAGTAGAATAACTGAATAAACTCGTATTAGTTTTAAAAAAAAGCGTGTTGATAAAAACTATACTTATTGATTGAAGCACCCTGAAAATATTGTAAAGTCTTGCGCTGGGCGTGTGGTCATAAAAGTGTCCACTGGCGGATCATTGAGCGCGATGACGTACTATTACAAGTTGTAAGCTTATCCCTCGGAGATTTATTCCCCGAGAGATAAGCCTACAACGAAAGTATGTTACTGCCACGTTTATCATATACCACAGTTTGAAAACAAACGGAGATTGAGATTCGACTCGAAAAAAGAACTGTCGGAAATGCTGGAAAAATGCTTTTTGCCCGTTAAAACAAGATAGACTGTTTCACAGAGTACTGCTAGAGAAATATATGGGAAACTACCAATCTACCTACCTCTGTTTTGAAGTACTTCAGTAACAAGGGGTACTATCGACAATTTTACAGGAGAAAAGTTCGAACGAAAACAGCAAGTTCAGATTAAATAAATATATTTTATTCTAAGTCCAGTGAGGGAATTCTGAAATGGACTGTAGATATATGCTAGTAATAATCATAATAATAAAAACAAACGTACAAAAAACATCTGATTCTCAAAAACATATGTCAAATGGTAACATTCTAGATGTGCATCTTAGAAAAAACCCAAAATGACGCTGCATTTGTTTTGTCAACAGTTCTCCCGCGATGCATGTTGCGTACCAAGTGCACAGTAAAAGCCATTGTACACGACATGGAGTGTAGTAGGAAATGCATACAACTTTTTTACACTTGAGATGCTCACGATATCAATCACTGGATAGTCTGGACAGACTCGATTATTTACAGACCGCCGCCATATAGCTGGAATGTTGCTGAGTGCGGCGTAAAACAACCAACCAACCAACCAACCATGACTATTGCAGTCAGGGCTTCAAGATCATTTACCTTAATGAAACCTGGGTGAATTAGTATCATTCCACTGACTACCATCAGGTACAGGTAATTGTGTTTTCCACGCCGGAACCAGTGATCTTAGGCTTATTGGTGGATGTGAGCTAGTTTTCGATTCGAGGCGAAAAAGAAAACTGGTGATTATCATTTAAGAATTGAACGTCAGTTTGGATGGGTTCATTGAAGTGTGAATGATTTAAAAATGCTGGTTAAACTGTGTGAGGAGGTTCACACGAAAGTTTAACCAGGGTTTTTAAATCGTTCACGCTTCAATGAACCCACCCAAACTGACGTTCAATTCTTATAATTTCATAAACTTTGTAGTTTATTGGTCTCGCTGAATAAGATGGTAACATTGTTCGCTTAAATTTGAAGTTCTCTGGTTTCGCAGAAGAACATTGCAACAATGTTATTTTGTCGGTATTTGCCGGCTCTCGGTCACATACCTTTCCACACTCATACTCAGTTAAGCAACGAAAAATAGTTCTATGAATATATACAACATAATCTGAAAATATGTCAACATCAACATAATTTTATTCTCTGAAAAAATTGACAAACGATATTTTGGATTAATCAAATCTTAAAAATAGCTAACAGGAAAGGGAACAAAAATATAAACATGACTCGATGCACCGAGGCGAGGTCAACCATCAAGTGTGGATTTACATATGACGTCACATAAGATTGTAAAGAGGTGCATTTCGAGACGGAAGGAGCATGAGGATGAAATTTATACTTACTGCTGTTGAAAATAAAGTTTATGGAACAGTTATGAAACAGTTATGGAAAATACCCCGACGCATGAACACTCCCATGGCACTAGCAAATTGGGAATATGACTGAGTTATGAATGTGTTGCTTGTGTTTGGATAATCGCAAACCAACATTCGGACGATGTGGAATGGACTGGTGGGGATTGAACGGAGTGCTCTGAAACTTGTGTGTATTGTGTTAATTTTCAACGTCAGGGTGTGTTATATTTGGAGTTTGTGATTTGTCGTGTGTGTTGTAATATTTTGCTTGGGTGGTGTTTCTTGTCACCTGAGATGCACCTCCTGTATGACCTGGTGCCGGCTTCATTTCTGTGCCCAGTCCTCCCTCATGTGCCGCCGGACCCGTGAAGATAACGGGATAGGGTGGTCATGCTCGCTGACTTGGTTGATGCATGTCATCGATCCCAATTGCGCGGATCGATGCTCATGATATTAATCACTGGATTGTCTGGTCCAGATTCGATTATTTACAGACCGCCGTCATAAAGCTGGAATATGGAGTGCGGCGTAAAACAACACACCAACCAATCAGAACATCGGATACAAAAGTTCAACTCATTGAAAATACTCGCCTGAATATGAAGCCAGTAAAGTACAAGACATATGTCCTGGCCACACAACAAGGTCACGTTGTCCTACGTACGCCAGTTAGACATTGTGAACTCAACCCTATTGAGCTTATCTGGTCTAACTGTAAAGGGTCGTGGCAAGACAAAACAAAACAAAACATCCAAACTCACACATGTTAAAGTGTTGATCAACGCAATCTTTGCTAGAATCACGCAAGCAAAAAGTCTGAAAGATCCCGTTCTTGAAATAGAACGTCATTCCTACCAACGTGTGTAAAAGTACTTGTGTGAGTAAATGGTGTGCATGTAAACGGAGTAAAATAGGCATACATAGCAAGGAGGCCAAAGCAGAGAATTGAACTAAAAGATACCTTAACTATTAAAAACAAAATTCTCATTCTCATTAAAAAACTTTATTGATCTGATAATGTTAAATTACACTTAGACAACGGTTACGAAGTATTTACATAATGAAAAGTACACCAAAACTAAATGTGTACAGGAACACCTGTTGTTAAACATTTTTTGAAGCAAGGACTCTATGAATTTGAATTTGAAATTATTGTGGATTTAGAATTTATTATTTTTTTACATATTTTATCTGAGATATTTCTAACATTCAAATGATAATTATAACATAAATATATATAATATACCATAGAGTATGGTGTTCACAACCCGGGCGCTTCTGTCCACAGTGGCTTCTCCGCGCTACCACACTGGTATTGATGATAAGATACAATAAATATTTTTGATATTGTGTAGTATTCTTTTTTTAATTTTATTTTTATATTTATACATTCACGTTATAAACCTATTGTAACTACGTTTCCTTTGCATTTATATGACAACTCATATGACAACATGGTCACATCAGAGATGCAATGTGTTCATAAAGCGGGCTATCCTCACTACCGAGGCGCCTGCCCGCCCCCACTTCTCCCTCATTCTTCCTCTACTTCTTGACAGGCGAATTCTTTATTACTGCCTCATCATTCTTCCTTGCAGACTTTGCCTTCTTCTTGGCCGCCTTCTCCTCCTCCTTCGATGCCTTCTCCTCCGCAAAGTGCTGAAGACGTTTATCCCTCTCACATAGCTTCTGATGCGCCATCATCTTCTTCATGAGGTTTTGCCTCTCCTTCTCGAGAACCACCGTCTTTCTTTTAATGTCTCGATCCAGGGCTCGCCTCTGAACTTGTTCCACAAACCTGCAGCGGACAGTGGCACGTACTTAGACTGGTAAATAAATGTTTCAAGTGTTAAGAGAAGATTCTTTGTTTTGAAATAAGAATAGGTACGTACCTGTCGAAGCGAGTGACATCAGCAATTATCTGTCGCTCTTCTGAGGTGTAATGGCCTTTGATAGGCATACGCTCCAGGCGTCGTGGTGGTTTACCACGTGGGCCGGTGACGCCATCCTTGGCAGCAACCGAGAAAGCAACTCCACCTGATCGGTGGCGGTCGGGGACGATACCATCTTCTCGCAGCTGATTCAATATCTCCTCACCGGATAGCCGGGGTGTGGGCTGACTCTTGGCGAAGAACAGCTCACGGGGACAGTTGATCTTGCCCTCCAGAGCTTCTTTGGCCGACGTCTGGTTTAGAGACCGCGTCTTTGTCTGCTTGCATCCCATTGTGGTACTAAATATGACAGAGCTTCTAAAGCACGAGCGACTCCGACAGATATCAGCGAGACAATGCTGTGACGACACAGAACGACAACGTCACTTTATTATGACGTCACATACTGTGCCAAATTCCACCCCAGTGTCGTGGCGTTCGTCCACGGCGTTGTTAGTTATTAGTGAGGTGCGACCGACACCTGCATATATATATATATATTGATGGAAACGATTAAGGGAGCAACGAAACATAGGGAAATATGCTTTACAGTCAGCACATTTGAAAAATTCAACACATGTCAGAATCAAATGTTGACATGTCTTTGTGTGCATTGTTTTCAACGCGTATTTGGTAGTCAAGGTTGGGAACCCATGACAGCATATAATTTTACTGTGTCTAAAACTAAGTGTTTTCTTATTCATTTTCATCAGTTGAGAGCGTGTCTTCCCCCTAATTATAAGTCTAATTTAATAATAAACACTTAATAAGCTGACATTTTCATATAGTATACTACAGATACAACTACTCATTTACATTGAGAAGACATAATACACCCATTTTCATGGAGGAGATTGCCGTAAAAGGCGACTATGCTTGTCGTAAGACGCGACTATAATGGGGTCGGGTGGTCGGGCTCGTTGACTTGGTGGATGCATGTCATCGTATCCCACATTGGGTTGTTCGATGCTCATGGTATCAATCACTGGATTGCCTGGTCCAGACTCGATTGTATACAGACCGCCACGTATAGCTTGAAAATATTGTTGACTGCCGCGTTAAACAACAAACAAACAAAGAGAAGATAGCGATAGCATGAACACACATACTATGAATTTAAGTAATTAATGTTAAACATACTTTGACATAAATGTCCATGTGTTGTGGAGGTTCCAGTGAAAAGATCTTATTACGTCAGTTAAAATATTATTGTGTCTCGTGGTTTCTTTTCAAAATTGACTGGCGAGAGAGGGGGTGGGCGGGGGTGTCGTTTAATCATATGGAAGGCTTTTTGTTTGTTTGTTAGTTCTTTCATGTCGGACTCGGCAATATTCCAGCTATATGATGAAGGCATGTAATTATTCAAGTCAGGGCCACGTGTACACAATCCAGTGATTGAATTAGTGAGCAACGATCCACGCCGTCGGGGTAGCTGACACACCATCAATGAGGTCCCCGAGCCTGACCACCCAATCCATTTGGCCGCCTCTGCTGTCTATACACAAAGCTGTCTTAACTAAGACTAATCTTACGCCCAGAATAACGACTGCCATAAGAGTGATTCTTGAAGCTGCCTTCAGCCTACCCCAACGATATATCACTTTTGGCACAAATCTCAGCTACGACAGGAAGCTCTTTTGTGACGGAGGTAAATTAAACTGGGTATTTCCCAGTGACGTCATCGAATATTCAGGGAGTTCCCTAGATTGAAAATATGAATAAGTTTTTTATTAAATGTTATATAAGTTTTAAAGATGAACAACTATTGAAGATAAATGTTAATGTTATGTAATGTTGATGCGTCCTGTTATTGTTATGTACTAGATCTATATTGATCAATGAAGGGTATTATCGTAAAGCTGTTGTCCTTTATGGATAGATATCGCAAGCATTGAAGAATATTTATATATTGGTTGACAACATCAGCATCGATCCACGCAATTGGGTTACAATGGGATACATCAACCAAGTCAGCGAGTCTGACCACCCGATCCCGTTAGTCGCCTTTTACGACAAGCAGGGGTTGCTGAAGACCTTTTAATAGCAAGTAAAAACACTGCCAGTTTATCAACCGAAATATTCGAAAAAGGTATGTTGTTTCACGTAACATTTTGTATGGAATGATTGTCAAGATATATCATCTGTTATCAACTCGCTTTTAGGCATCAGTCATAATCGGTAAATACTATGTTCAACGGTGTTTGCTAGGATCTGTTGTTCGTGTTGTGAAAGTGATAGTGGAGAGCACTCGGTTTTATGGTCAGAAATGACACAGTAGTCCCATACGAAGAAAACGTACAAGTTAATGGATAACGACTTCTGGTTTATTGCATGTGGCGACGTTTCGATGTAGATTGTCACACAGTTATCTTACCTAGACTCACCATCTTCTAGAATGCCAATCAAACAGGTAGTCCCATGCTGTCGATTCGCTTTCTTCCTCCCTGTCTTCATTTTTGTCGTTAACTTGAGATCATTTAGCGCTAAGGCAGCTTCGAGAACAGACTCAAGTATTTATAGTTCACCCTTCGACCGTAAGACAGTTTGAATATTTCTGAATGGACCATAAGAAAATATACACGGTTTTAACATCGATAACGTTTGACCACGTGACTTTTATATGATATCTCGACAAGTCATTAGTTACACACTTTCAACTACTGCTTTGCCTGGCTGATGGATCTACTCGAGTATAACAGGTTTCCGTGGAACAGCTGGACTATTTGCTGACTTCAAATGTGAAGGAAATTCACTCACTGCAATATCAGATTGCGCCTTAAAACTGAAGGAAAAAGAATTGATTTTTTTGTAACAGCTTTGTATTACCATAATGTGTGCCAAGTCCTTGGTAACGGATGTAATGTTACCGTATTTTAAGTAACAAAGATAGTTGCTTTTAACACAATGACATCACAAAGAGAAGACAGTTACAGAGTGACAGTAAATAGGGAAATTGAAAAATTCTGCCATGTAACAAATATTTCTTTTCTCTTTTTATTTGATATCATTGAAATTCTTTTCAACGCGCTGGCCCGGTTTCTTTGCAAAGAGTCACAATTATCTGTTTGGAGTTGCGACCCTTTTACGTGCCAAGATCCGCTGTTCGTAGGTTCCAATAAATCTTCGTCTGTCGGCACCAAGCGCTCGTGTGGGTGTCATCACAGTGGGAAACGTACGTGCCATTCGCTGACATAGTAATGAACGTCTTTAAACCAACTCACTCACTCATTCACTTCCAGCGCCGTTCTGAGTATTTGACATACTACACAGGAAATCAGAGCAGAGAATTAAATTTTAAGGATACGCTAAACTTAAAGACAAACATTCTGAATCGCATTTCAAACCTTTATTGATTTGACAATTTCAATACACTCAGAAGACGGTAATGAAGTAATCACAAAATCAAGTACACCAATTAAACGTGGCACCTGTTTTTTGTTAATCACATTATGAAGCAAGGACTTCCATATGAAAGACGTTGCCGCACTCTTGATGACTTATTTTGTGTTTAGAATGTATTATTTTTTTATAGATATTTTATCTGAGATATTCTAACATTGAAATGATAATTTTGACATAAGGATATACAATGTACCATCAGAGTATGGTGTTCACAACACGGGCGCTTCTCTCCATTAGGGTTCCTTCCCGCCACCATAATTATTACACTGGTATTGATGATAAGAATATAGAATAAATATTTTTGATATTGTATAGTTTTTCTTCTTTTTTCTTTTGTTTTGTTATTTATACATTATCGTTATAAACCTATTGTAACTAAGTTTCCTTTGCATTCATATAACAACTCATATGACAACATAGTCACATCAGAGATGCAAAGTGTTTATAAAGTGGGCTGTCCTCACTACCGAGGCGCCTGCCCGCCCCACCTTCTCCCTCATTCTTCCTCTACTTCTTGACAGGCGAATTCTTTATAACGACCTTATCATTCTTCCTTGCAGACTTTGCCTTCTTCTTGGCCGCCTTCTCCTCCTCCTTTAATGCCTTCTCCTCCTCCTTTAATGCCTTCTCCTCCGCAAAGTGCTGAAGACGTTTTTCCCTCTCACATAGCTTCTGATGCGCCATCATCTTCTTCATGAGGTTTTGCCTCTCCTTCTCGAGAACCACCGTCTTTCTTTTAATGTCTCGATCCAGGGCTCGCCTCTGAACCTGTTCCACAAACCTGCAGTGGACAGTGGCGGGTACTTAGACTGGTAAATATATGTTTCAAGTGTTAAGAGAAGACTTTTTGTTTTGAAATAAGAATAGGTACGTACCTGTCGAAGCGAGTGACGTCAGCAATTATCTGGCGTTCTTCTGAGGTGTAATGGACTTTGATAGGCATGCGCTCCAGGCGTCTGGGTGGTTTACCACGTGGGCCGGTGACGCCATCCTTGACAGCAACCGAGAAAGCAACTCCACCTGATCGGTGGCGGTCGGGGACGATACCATCTTCTCGCAGCTGATTCAATATCTCCTCACCGGATAGCCGGGGTGTGGGCTGACTCTTGGCGAAGAACAGCTCACGGGGACAGTTGATCTTGCCTTCTAGAGCTTCTTTGGCCGACGTCTGGTTTAGAGACCGCGTCTTTGTCTGCTTGCATCCCATTGTGGTACTAAATATGACAGAGCTTCTAAAGCACGAGCGACTCCGACAGATATCAGCGAGACAATGCTGTGACGACACAGAACGACAACGTCACTTTATTATGACGTCACAGAATGCCACAGACTGTGTCAATCAACCACAGTGTCGATGGCGCACGTATACGGTGATGTTAGTGAGGTGAGGTGCGAGAGTTGGATACTATTGTTGAGAGTGTCTTCCCTTTCATTATTAGTCTTATTTAATAATAATAAATATTTTATATAATACTACAGATATAACTACCCGTTTTTATGGAGAAGATAGTGATATCTTCAACACACATAAAATGAATTAAAGTAATTAAGATTAAAACAAACAAAATATAACCCTGAATTCCAACGGGGTCTCTGGAGGCACAATTATTAATCAAAACTAAACAAAACAAAAACATACACCTTTATTCTAATGGACAACCTGTCAGATATTTCGGCCACGAACCCCACGATTCGGTGTACGATGAGGCAGACCCAAGGCCACGGCGACCACGGCTATAGTTATTCATGTGAATCTGACACGCTATATGTTTGTTTGTTGTTTCACCCATCTTTAGCATGCTACATCTTGTCTCCAAATATAATTTATCTGACGAGGTTAATGATTATATAATGTGTTCAAATTTCATCAAGAAACGATTATGGTCAAAACTGGTGAAAGAAAAGATTCACCTACACGAAAAACAATTACTAAACAATGCGTTTCTGAGCAGATTATCTCTGTCAAGATATCTAACAATACGATCTGGACGAGAACATAGATTATGGAAACTTGCTCTCGATAGACCAGAATATTTTACTTCCTTAGCTAGACTAGTTCGCTTAGGTTCAATGCCAATAGAATCAAAGGAATGTATTTGTGGAACAGTTGCGAATGATATAGTGAAACACGTTTTCATGTCATGTCAAAAGATTTTTGAAGAAAGAAATATCATATCTGATAAAATCATTGATTTGCTTGATGTTAAAATATTTGTGAGAATCTGGGCAGACGATGACACCTTTCTGACTTTTTTGCTTGGCGGGTTACCTGAACAACTTGAAGTAGAATTAGACTACAATGTATGGGCAGAGAGCATGATAAATATTGGTGGTGCAGTAAAAAAGTGGGATGAAGTCATCCGAAGCTGCTTATACTGAACAATGTATGTATTGTAATCAAGTGTACATTTGTAAATAACACATGCGAATTGTCCATCTAATAACACAAATAATCAATACGATACATATGTATATGAACTACTTCTGACATAAATGTAATATATATATATGTATGTGTGTGTGCACATTTATACTATAGATGTTGTCCTTTCACTGTATACCTTGTACTCTTCATGAAATGGAGGAAATAAAGAAGATCTATCTATCTATCTATCTATGTTTGTTTGTTGTTTCACGCCGCACTCACCAGTCGATCTACGCAATTGGGACACAGGCCCGTGAAGATACGGGGTAGAATAGGTCTTCAGCAACCCATGCCTGTCGTAAAAGGCGACTGACGGGATCGGGTGGTCAGGCTTGCTGACTTGGTTGATGCATGTCACCGTATCGTGGATCGGTGCTCATGATGTCACTCACTGGATTAATTGCCTGGTCCAGACTCGATGAATTACAGATCGCCGTCATATAGTTGTAATATTGCTGAGTGCGGCGTTAAACAACAAAACAAAACAAACCAAAAATCCAACTGGGATATGGATCCGCTTATTAAGTCAGCGAACCTGACCATCCGATCTCTTACGACATGCATATATACTAGTAGTCGCCTTTTACGGCAAACTTTAAATTTATGAGGTCACACAATGAGGTCATTATGTTATCGGTAAGGATCGAACACACACACGCGCACACACACACCCTGATTGATAATATTAAAATACCCTATTTTGTACTCGCTAAACACGATGAATTCTGTGACGTCATAAGGTGACATCAAGTGTGTGTCGCCACGTCACTTCCTGCTTATTTCGACCGAGTCAGTCGTGCTTATAGAAAAAACTGCTATATGTAGTCCCATAATGGGATGCAAGCGCGGTCGCTAAAGAAGCTCTAGAGGGCAAGGTCAACTGTACTGGTGAGACGATGCCAAGAGTCAGCCCACACCCCGATATATCCGGCGAGGAGACACTGAATCAGCCGAGAGAGGATGGGACCTTGTTCGACCGCCACCGCTCGAGGTGCCTTGCCGGTTGCTGTCATGGATGGCGTCACTGGCCCTCTTGGTAACCACCCTGCCGCCTGCCCGTCAAAGGCCTTAGATCTCAGAAAAGCTCCAGTTAATTGCCGATGTCACTCATTTTGATAGGTCCGTAGAAATTTACATTCATAAAAAATTTGTAGAGCGAATCGTTTGTTACCATTTGAAACATTTATTTACCATTATCAAGTATTCCACTGTCCACAGGTTTGTGGAGCAAGTTCAGAGGCGAGCCCTTGATCCAGACATCAAGAGAAAGATAGTTCTTCTTGAGATGCAAACCCACATGCATAAGATGGCAAATCAGAAGCTATGAAGAACGGCTTCAGCAATGTGCAGAGGAGAAGCAAGACCTTTAAAGGAATTAAGAGAAAGTGGCCAAGAAGAATGTGAAGGCTGCTTGGAAGAAGGATAAGGCTGCAAAAAAGGAATCAGAAGTAGAGGAAGAAGGAGGGAGAGGTGCTGGGGAGGCGCTTTGAAGATATCTCAGATTATGAACACAAGTTTTTGTATCTTTGATGTGATTATATGTTTAGTTTCAAAAGAATACAAAGAACATGTCAGTTACAAATGTTTTTTACCCTTATGTATTGATATAAAAATAAATAAGACATACAAAATAACCTAAAATAAATATTCATAATCAATTCCAGTTTATTACTTTAAGACTCCTACAAGTAGCTTTCTCTATGGCACCAATAATATTCCCTTTCTATACATTAATGAATGTGTATGCTATGTGTTGTCCAAGCTGTAACATTGGCAAAAATAAATATAAATATATGTCGCAATCTTGCTGTACATATATTTTTCTTATCAATAAACCTCTAATGAGGTTTAGTAAAACCAGATGCAGGGGAATGGTGCTTAGAAACTCTGAGTGAGTGAGGGAGTTGGGTTTTAACAAACTTTTTAACAGTACTCCAGTAATATCTCTGCGTGTCAGCTTAATGTAGGAGGAAAGCCTGAATGATGCAATTTCGGACGTTTACCACTTTGGTGAAAATCAAGAACATTGGTATGGTGCTTACAAAACTAGAAACATAATCGGGGCGAACTATTATTCGAACCCATGACCATAGCTCCCTGATTGTGGTGGCTTTTACAACTGGGTCACCCGTATCCTCTAATAATCAGACACCATGTTTGCGACCTAGAGGACAAGTGTATCCTGAAACAGCTAAGGGATGCAACTCTGCATAGCAAATTGCAGTCCCTCGGGTCACTGGGAAAGAGTGCAAAAAGAGAGAAATTTGGCCATTACATTTTGTCGTCAACAATTTAAGCTACTATTGAACCAGTAATTCCTGACAGTATCAAAGTGAGTGAGTTGGGTTTAACACCGCTTTTAACAGTATTCCAGTTATATTGCGGCGTGTCAGCTTAATGTGGGAGGAAAGCCCGAAGTGATGCAGGTCTCAGACGCTTACCACTTCGGTGAAGCCCACGAGCACAGGTATGGTGCTCACAAACCTAGATACATAATCGGGGCGAACCGGGATTCGAACCCACAATCATAGGTTTCTGGCGTGCCCAAGGGACACAACTCTGCACAGCGAATTGCGGCACCTTAGACGACTAGGCCACCCGTGCCCCCCAGTATCAAAGAGTATTGTTATGTTTCTGATGTCACAGGGATGTGGACGCCCTGCAGAAATTTCACATTCACACTTTGGAATGTCCCAATTTCAGCAGCAGTATCCTATAGATCTTAGTTTAATTAGATTGTGCAATTTGGAATCTACCCAAATGGTATGGATAATTGCCAATTACTAACTGGTTTTATATGAACAGGTTGACATACACCTGGACTAAACAACATTCAGTCACTTAAGATGATGAACACTATAATAAACTACTAAATACACTTTGGCATAAAACACTCCCTCTCAAACTCATACAGAGCAGTCTCCATTTATTATGATTTGTCTCACACAGGCTTAAACAATGTTAAAGAAATGAAATTAAACAAAATCAATTTGAAACAGTAATCCAAAAAAGTTATAAAATAGCTTTTAAAGCTTTCAAAACACAAGTGACTTGGAAAAAATGTATCTTTGAATTTTTACAAACCCATTCTTGAAAGCTCTTCTTAAGAGAGAGAGAGTGCTGTAATATGGCAGAGTATTTTATTTTCGAACAATTATTGTAACATTGTTTCTGTTGAGAATTGGTAGAGGCTCATTACATTGTATTTGGGGGGTGATTAGTCGTCAGGAATATTGTACTATTGAATGTAAGCAGTCATCAGGAAGTTACTATATTTAGATGCCAGTGTGATATGTAAACTTCCGGTATACCGGTACTCTTGCAGAATATCCTGTAATGTTCTAGTGCTGCGAGACTGGTGAGGGAGGGCACTATGTAGAAATTTCCAGTAGCTAGTTAACTGTATACACAGTGGGGCAAGAGTGTGTTTCGGCATATCTCATGCATTTCATTGCTTCTGGACCAACTTTCATGTGAGGATCACTCAGCATCCCTGATTCCCTGCCCAGCCCATCTCGGAAGCTTGACCAGTTGCCATTGGGTGAATATACTTGTATATAATTATCACTGACTTTTACTATCACCACTGTAATTTTGTATCTGACCACTGCCATCATATTATATATTACCATTGATTATTGTACTTTACTACTACCACTTGTACTGCCATTGTAATTGCTGTGCAGTAATTTGTATTGATTTGTAAACTTGGTGGATTATTGTAATACATATGTTGATTGTATGTACCACTAACTTCTTTTACGTACAGGTTTCTGGGTTGTTATTTCAATTTTGGAATCGACACATAATTGTGTGAGTGAGTGAGTGAGTGAGTACAGTTTTTACGCCGCTTCTAGCAATATTGCACAATATCATGGTGGGGTACACCAGAAATGGGCTTCTTACATTGTACCTAGTCGGGAATCGAGACCGGGTCTTCGGCGACTAGGCTACCATACCACCTCATAACAGTGTGAGTGAGAGACATCTAATGCACCTTCAGTGAGTCAGTGAGTATGGTTTTACGCTGCTGTTAGCAATATTCCAGCAATATCACAGCGGGGGACACCAGAAATGGGTTTCACACATTGTACCCATGTCGGGAATCGAACCCAGGTCTTCGGCAACTAGGCTACCAAACCGCCCCAGTAACAGTGTGAATGAGAGACATCTAATAAACCTTCAGTGAGTGAGTGAGTATGGTTTTATGCAGCTTTTAGCAATATTCCAGCAATATCACAGCGGGGGACACCAGAAATGGGCTTCACATATTGTACCTAGTCGGGAATCGAACCCGGGTCTTCAGCAACTGGGCTACCAAACCGCCCCAGTAACAGTGTGAATGAGAGACATCTAATGCACCTTCAAACTACTTCAGTTTGGGGTGAAACGATATATTGGTGTACAGGTGCATCCTGAGTTTTCATGCCACAACATGATACATGATACATATTTTTCTGTATCGATACAAGACGATACACTTAGTAACATAAATTACTCAATACTCGCTTAAGAAGTTTCCACACGATTTGAGGTAAATGTGCGTATAGCGATAAATATCTTATCGTGACCTTGCTGTATCTTTTCACCCCTAATCATGCTAATTTCAGTTATATCATGGTGTGTCGGCTTGATGTGGGAGGAAAGCCTGAAGTGATGCAGGTCTTAAAGCTCCTCTATACAAAAGTCAATAATTACGCAGCACGAACCAATCAAATTGATTTTAATTTATTCATACAACTGTAAATAATGTAACAACGCTGATGAACAAGATGGTTTGACCTCCAATTAATAAACATGAGACACCAAAAACTACAGCCATGTTCACAAAGACTTGATCTCAAATGGGAGTCTCTTCATCAGCGTGTCAACATATCACTGCACAATTCATGTACACAAATATTCATCCTAAATGGCTAAATGGTTATTTCTTGGCTGCAACTGGTGCCTTGGGTTTTCGTAACTTGCTGAATAAATAATAGCCGAAGAGGGTTCCGTATGTAGCCATGACCCACTGAAAATATGAAGAAAGCAAATATTTTTCAATTATCAGGATTATGGTTATCTTTACAATCAGAGACTGACATGATTCGTTCTGTCAATAGTTCTCATTAATCTGAACATGCTCAAGGGCATATTTATAAATCTGTAAATGTTTTACAAATTTCAAAACTAACTATTGCCATTTAAGTCAATACAATACCCACTTTTGAAACAATTAATAATCTAAGTTACTTTGAATGGACCTTTCTTTTCATCATGTGCAATCTGTGACTCTAGCCACTTGAGCTGGAATATTGCTGAGTGCGGTCTTACAAACAAACAAAACTTGTCCAAAGCCTGAGTTGGCTCAGCAATAGTAGTCCATGTGAAAGAAGATGTTAAGCCTAATACGGGCTAGCAGACTGAAAGGTCTTTTCCACAGACTGGAGTGTTCCGTTAAAATGTTTTGTTTTTTAGTCTTTTCAGCTTATTCAAGTCCATTTTAAGTTAACAATTGTCAAGTCTAATCATATTGACTATGACAAGCAAATGTAACACGTCTCTTTTGTCAACGTGCTTAGGTTTGTAGGATTCAGTTGTTAGAAAGTGAGGTATCATTTGTCTCACGTTTAGCCTGCCTCTCTTTGTGTAGGAGTTGAAGTAGAACTGCAGTCCCTTGTAGTTGGCTACTCTCTCATCAACAAAGTCCCCCGACATGACTGTAGGCTGAAACAACACACCAGGAATACAGGAAACATCACATAATCACTAGCAGAGATGAGTTTCAGAGAGTGAGTGAGTGAGTGAGTTGGGTTTTAATGCCGCTTTTAACAGTATTCCAGTTATATCACGGCGTGAGATGAGTTTCAGAAGCACACTGTAAAACCAAATATGAACAAAGGCAAACTTATCTTCCATCCCACGGCTACCCATGGTCCCTGGTAGTGACAGATCATGTAAATGACAGAAAACCACTGAGTGAGTGAGTGAGTGAGAGGGATGGAGGGAGGGAGGGAGATTTATTGCTGCTTTGAACAGTATTCCAGTTATATCACGGCGTGTCAGCTTGATGGGGGAGGTGAGGCCGAAGTGATGCAGGTCCTAGATGTTTACCACTTTGGTGAAACCCACAAGCACAGCGCTGACAAACCTTGAAACATAATCGGGGTGAATCGGGATTCGAACCCACAATCATAGGTTTCTGACGTGCCCAAGGGACACAACTCTTACACAACTCTTAGACAACTAAGACAACTGGGCCATCTGTGCCTCCACTGAACTTATGAAGGCTATGCAGCAAGTAACTGTGGATGCATGTGATTCATATGAAGCATGAATGTTTGGTGAGACAATGTAAGTGGTGTATTTCATGACACAAAGAAAGAAAGGGAACATATGTAGAGATTTTCTGTTTGTTGGAATTTGGGGGAGAATAAAATAATATATGAGTTGGACATGTTGGATGGGGAAGAAACTCAAATAACTAAATTGTGTAATCAAAATGTGTGTCACTGAACATCATGTCCATGGTGAAGGGACATGAGATGTTAAAACATGCAATCAGATATTAGAGGTTTTAACTGGTAGTTGGAAATACAAAATCAAAATCTGCTAAGCAATCCATCAGGAACAGCTGTGACATCGTACATGTGGTAATAATATACAAGTAGTGTATCAATCTGGTTGCACAATATTGTATCCCGATACGAGGCCCACCTTACAATACACCGATTTAAAACCCCTGAATAGCGACATAACATGTTATATTGACATGAACACTCATGTAATATCCTCGATGTATTGTTATAGAAACATCTGAATAATAACTGATAATGTTCAACAACCAGCTATACGCAGATTCTCTAGTATTGGTTATAAACAACATATTCCAGTGCCAACTTGCCTATATGTTACTGCCCACAATATCCCATCTTAGATCTCTGAAACAAATGATCCAGGGTTGTGAAACGAAAGTGCTGGGAGTAGTACACTTTACCGGGCACACTTTTTCAGACCCAATTAGCATGATTAGCGCTGTGGGGGCACGAACGCGCTTCGCCAGCTTGCCGGCTTGGCTAATTAGTGCATTAATTAACCGATGCTCTACCACTGGAACAAGAGCGCCATAACATGCAAATAGTGCCCGTTAAACGGGTCATTTGAACTTCATTAACGCGTATGCGCAGTTAAGTAAACATGATTGCGCATGCATGTTACTGACATCTCCATTTATCTTCTTGAGGAAGCCAAGCCTGCCATTGTCCATCAAAATGAGTAACCAATCCAGCAACGAAACGTGTTAAAACTGACTATACTCTCATAGGATTACCCTCATTGTATTATTGGAGAAAACTGTAAAAAGGCAAGAAATTATGGCAAACCCTAGCCCTTACCAGACCAACCCTAAGAATTAAAAAGGGGTGTTGGATCGGAAAGGCATGACTGCTCCCTGAGATGGAAAAGGTGTGATTGCCAAGGCGTGTCAGGTCCCTTTGATCGAAAACGGGTGTTGGATCGCCAAGGCGTGTCAGTGCCCTGAGACGAATGCGAGTGCATACAGGAGCCACAGTAACGGTATAGCAAGACAGTGGTTGCACAATAGCAAGATATTTGAGCTGTTGGTAGAGGGCGAAGTTGCGCCCGGTAAACTGCATTATTGACAAAGTAGCGTATCAGGAAACAAAGCCTATCGCACCCACTGTATCTTTACTAAACAGATTATTTTCACTATCAGACATCAGTTGGTCACTGGAAACATCTAGTGTGAACATATTTTATAAAAATATTTTTCTAAAATTAGAACCTACACCGAAATGTTGCTCCTAATTGTTATAAAGAAGTTGTTCATCCATATATCTTATCCTAACTTAGTACTCCAACTACTAAATGCCTCTCAAGACATGACTTGTTCACTTAACATGCCAACGCAAAGTAGGGCCTAATGCATATTTATTTCAGTCTTGGCTTACAGTCTGTCTGTCATTCTCCCCCCAAAATACTTTTGGGCACTTTTGCAACCTAATTTAGCATTTTTTTAGGACACGCATATAAACATGAATACATGTGGAACATAGACTATTCAAGGTTATATATTAGGATTCTTTGTCGTCCATGCCGCAGATTGGAACATTAGTAACACAAAATCAAAACACACATTTTAAACACCTCATCTACATTCGATTCTTGACGTATCGGGACACTATTCAGCCCTTTTAGCCGTCACATTAAAAGTACACTGCCTCGTTCTCTCAGACAGTGCACATGATAGGGCTGGAAACTTTGGAGACCTCCAACAGGCTTACGAATTATTTGTTGTTTTTGGGATTAGTACAACTACAAATGTGTTGTTTCAAATATCTTGTCGAATTCGTGGCATATAAAATAAACGCACTGTCTCTTTTTTTGCGACATAACTGCTGAAAGCATCAGTAAATTCAAAAATACCTGATGTGCAGGATTTCAATGTCACAGTGTCTCCGGAAACTATGGTGGCCAAGGAAAGTAGGTTCGGGGAGAATGTGCGTAAGAATATATTTCAAATAAATGTCTGAATGAACAAAATACCTATATGACATTAAACCTAAAGTATGGTGTTATGAGGATCTACCATAAAGTCTTAATGGGAACATTTATGATTTATTACGTTAATTTATGACTGGGTACTGTCTACATGTAATCACATAACGTGCAAAGGTTGAAAATACAGTTTGAACTTGTAATAGTTTTGGGGTGAATATATTTTAGGTTTTGTAATATAAATATAAGTAGAATATTCACTAGGCATGCCTGTTTGTTAGATTTTCATGCTGATGAAAACATGGACGATACCGACAAAAATATTATTTACTGCGGAACTTCAAATATGGCGACCCCCATGAAAACGTGGATTTGAAGAATCGTGCCAGGGACAGGACTAATAACATTCAAGGAAATCTGCAGGTAAAGCAAGGTTAGTATCACATCAGTGTGCCTTTAGGGGTACAACCAGGCATATGTTCCATGATTGTCGTCAATCTGTCTCACTTGAGTTTACTGTTAGGTATTTAGTTATATTTAACAGTGACAATTTGAATATAACCATGATAACGACCAAGTTTCTTTACCATGTTTTCTGACACAATCTAAATGTTGCTAGGAACTAAATCCAATGTCAACTTGATTATCATGTAACTCATTCTTTGGAATGACATGATTTGAATTAATCTGCAAATCATGAGGTAATTCTCTCGGGACAAGATGTTACCTTTGTTATCATGGTTATGCGTATAAATATTAGGCATATTCCTTCTTTGAGGAATGCATCAGTCAATATCCCATACATCTGCAGCTGTGCTAAAAAACTTTTTGGGAGTAGTGCACTTTACCGGGCGCACTTTTTCAGATCCAAATAGCGCTGTGGGGGTTCGACCGCGTTTCGCCGGCTCATCGGATTAACGGATTAACGCTTGAAAGGTAAGAATTGGTGGCTAACCCTAACCCTTAAACCCTAACCCTAAGGACCTCCAAGGGGTGTTTGACCCTAAAGACGTGTAAGTTTCCCTAAGGACCTCCAAGGGGTGTTTGACCCTTAAGACGTGTAAGTTTCCCTAAGGACCTCCAAGGGGTGTAAGTTTCCCTAAGGACCCCCAAGGGGTGTTTGACCCTAAAGACGTGTAAGTTTCCCTAAGGACCCCCAAGGGTGGCTAACCCTAACCCTAACCCAACCCTAACCCTAAGGACCCCCAAGGGGTGTTGGACTCTAAAGACGTGTAAGTTTCCCTAAGGACCCCCAAGGGGTGTTGGACCGGCAAGGGGTGTTGGAGTCACTGGAGCGTGAGCCACGGTCATGGTATAGCGAGACACCGGCCGCGCTAAAGCGCGGTAATTGAGCGGATGGTAGAGGCCGGGCTGCGCCCGGTAAACTGCATTGTTGCCAACTTTTTGATATTTGGTGTCACATGTCTGTGTAACAATGGTAAGAATCTGATTATATATTATCGACTCGTGTTTGTTTCTCAAATGATCAAGTAAGTTAGTTTCAGCACAGACTTGTATAACCGTTATATAGGTCCGTGGTTTCACATTGGTGTCAAGTTTCATTGGTCAGCTGAGAAAGCAGACATGACAACTATTTTCATGATGTCCCCAGTCCTTTAAAAAAATCCAAGAGTTCGATAACAATGATCAATCAATCAACATATTGTCGGCTAATCCTTAGGCACTTTGCGCCCAGGTATTGTTGTATTCCCCCTGCTTTAGAAAACCTACATATATGAATACTTCCTCTTGACAAATAAACAGTGCAGGATAGCAGTGATTAATGAATCAAGTTTCAATGTATTATGGGTTAATCCTGTGATCACTGTTTTTTGCAACTCAACTCACATTCCTCCCTTGCTGCACTCCCTCGTGCATATTACATAACATGTACTCCGGTAATACATTCACCACTGGACTTGGATTTGAAACTCGATCTTGGATTGCTATATATCCAAGACATATCCTCAGAGGCATGGATTTGTAAATAAGTCAGACTGAGGTTCAATTGAGGGTTTCAGTTTGTAGTTAAGCCATCTGTCATAATGTCAGTTGTACTCACAAAGTTAGGATTCATCTTGGAACCATGAGGTATGTGACATGTTCATTGTTTGATTTATGCACATGTGTGAAAGGACTGGGGATGTTGTCATCTTCTTGTTCAGTTAGGGGACATTTTTTTTTATTTCTTGGTTTACAGATTTTAAACTCATTTCAAAAGAGTGGGCATGGGTGGCCCAGCCGTTGCGGGTGCCGCGATTCGCTGTGCAAAGTTGTGTCCCTAGGATACGCCAGAAAACTGTGATTGTGGGTTTGAATCCCGGTTCGCTCCAATAATGTTTCTAGGTTTGTCAGCACCATACCCATGGTTGGTTTCACCGAGGTGGTAAACGTCTGAGACCTGCATCACTTCGGGCTTTCCTCCCACATTTAGCTGGCATGCTGTGATATAACTGGAATAATGTTAAAAGCTGTGTTAAATCCAACTCACTCACTCACTCACACATTTCAAAAGAAAGGTAGGAAAATTAAAAATAAACAAAAAGAAACACCTCATTATATTAACTTGATTTGTTAGGTATAGCAAAATATATTCTGGAGTAACAAAAGTAAAACAACTCAATTTTTTTAAGAACATTTTATTATATCCCTGGCACACAGCTTGTGCACAAGTGGCAAAATAACAATATTCATGTCATGGTGAAATGCATGAAAGACGCCGCCATTTTGGCAGCATGGGCGACGATTAAACTGGTCACCACTGCGCTTTGCGTTGACAAGCTTTGATGGTGGTATAAGAGAAGGTTCCCAATGAGAAATATCAGAGTGACTTCCCTTTGCTTTATACTCGAAGAGGAAACGAAATTGAACTTTTTATGCATTTTTTAAAGCAAGGATTGGCGGTTATAAAAAAAGGAGTTTTATTTATTTATTTTTAGACATTTGGAATTTGAAAGAGCAGAGCATTCTTAACCAAGAATTAAAAGAAATGTCTCTTTACCAAGCTTACATGATAGTCAATATTATGCAATAATCATGCAATGACAAAATGGGGTTTCATATTTGGCCTCAAATAAATCAAATGTTTATTTTTAATATTATTGGTCTGTTGTCATGACATTGTAACATGAAATGATTAAATATGAAGCTATGAAACACAGAAATGGGATCCAAATCAATCTCAATTAATCTTAACCATACAATCAGAAATCCAAACACACTTTCACCGGATGCTACTTGTCTTGTCACCATTCTCTAATGGTACTGGACGATGCTGACAGTAAGGCAGTGTTTGCACTGGCTTTTGAAACTGCCAGTCCTTGTGGACTGGCAACTCTAAAAATTACCAGTCCCCCCTAATTTTTGCCAGTCCCAACTTTCAACAAATATGAAACGTATGAAAATTATTTGGTTTTAATTATCCCCAGCCCCTACAAATGGTGGTAACAGACAAGCTGACTTTGTTCGAAAAATGTACTTATAAGAATATCACCAATGTTTTTTTCAACAACAAAGATTTATAAGGTACTTTATTTGCCGGTTCACAGTGACTGGCAGTCACATGAATTACAGGTTCAAGCCTAATTTTACTGGTAAAAAACTGCTAATTACCAGTAAACGGGAACGCTGTAATGTCAACCTGTCTCAGTTACTTACATGCTGCTCAGAGACAGCTGGAATATTGCTGACTGCAGCATTAAGAGCAAAGTAACTAAACTGGAAATTTGCACCAGGTGATATTTGCAGGTGTTAGTCCTGACTACACCTACACTGTCACCTGAATAAAACACTCCACACTGTCACCTGTATAAAACACTCCACACTGTCACCTGAATCACACTCCACCATGTCAACAGACAAGTTGCTTGATTTTAATCAATGAAATTGGGGTCTGGTGGTTAATCATTATGATCTTGGTAGATATTACAAGAATGAGCAGCTGTGGGATCTGACTGTAAAAAAACCCACTCATTCCAGTCACTAGTCATTATTGTATAAATCAATATGACATGTAGGAGAGAGATCTTATATGTATGTCTCTCTCCACAAAGGGAAGGGAGACATTTTTTTGTGCTCGGTTGGTGTTGGGAGTTATGAGCCATAACTTTCGATGTTTTTAATGTGACTTTGCATATGCATTGCTCATCATTATTACTTGTGCCTTTTTTCTATTTTTTTATGTTTTCATGCAACGGAACTTGGCATATGTGTTGCTCATCAGCTTAACTGGTGCCTTTTGCTACTTTAATTTGTTCTAAATTTTATTTTGTTGCGTTGTCCGTGGAAACAAATTGGACTTTGTCTCAAACAACTGTAGGCTTTGTTTCCAAGCCATAACACTCAATCTAAGGAACATTTTTGCATGAAACAATTCATTTGCAATGACCACATGCTCATCTATTGCCTTTTCATATTTTTCAATTTTAATTTATAAAAAAAAATTAATTCTTGTGTTTCCATTTAAAAACAACTTAAACTTAGTCTCAAACGAGTAGCATTTGTTTCCCTGCCAAAACTCTACAGCTAATGAATATTTTTAAATGATACCATTATCTTTCCAGGCTATAATTTGCTATTATTGTTTTTCGGATTTGCATACACATTTATAGTGAAGACGTGAACTCATGTATCAAAAAAAGGAAGATGGAGACAAAAACATGTTCTAGTTTCTACTTATCTTATGGGAACCTCATACATATTGTTTGGGACCTCAGTACTACCCTGGCAAAACATGGTGTGTGAAATCAACTGAATATCCTGTTTGGATATATTCACAGAGTTATCGAAATTCAAAAGACGCATTAACAAGAGGTCACCCTGACTGCTCAAATTATGATGTTCTTGAATGTTAAAGGCTGCAATTGCCGTAATCAAAATGTTACTAGTTTAAAGCTTTCCTATTTTCCTTATCATTTTCATAGAAATGCTATAATCACTTATGTTTTGTATGAATATACATTTCTTTATTTTAATGTTTTTATTTGAATTGTGAATAAGTATTATATTAAAGCACAAGGAAGCCGATAGCAACATGAGTACAAACGATTTGACTTTAGTTACATTAAAGTATCAACTTGATCAGTCCTATTCTTAAAGTCAGATCTTATGACTTCTCATGTAAAAAAAACAAAACAATGTTCGAATTTAAGCATAAAAGTTAAGGTGTCATTGTCATTGCCCTAATGAAAAAAGTTGAAGATTTAGGGGGACACTAGATTCAAGTACTATTGGAGAAGGCATCAAGGTTCCCAGGATTCCCCTTAATGTTAATGCCAAACTTTAAAAAATGTATCAGTAAATGTTACGATAACCTGGATGAAATAATCCAACAAAGCTGAGTTTCTGTTACATCTTCCTGGGGCAAGGGGGGCGGTTGGGTAGCCTAGTGGTTAAAGCTTTCGCTCGTCATGCCGAAGACCCATGTTCGATTCCCGACATGGGTACAATGTGTGAAGCCCATTTCTGGTGTCCCTCGCCATGATATTGCTGGAATATTGCTTAAAGCGGCGTAAAACCATACTCAATCACTCCTGATACCCGTGAAGATTCCGGGGTAGAATAGGTCTTCAGCTACCCATACCTGCCGTAAAAGGCGACTATGCTTGTTGTAAAAGGCGACTAATGGGACCGGGTGGTCAGGCTCGCTGACTTGGTTGATGCATGTCATCGATCCCAATTGAGTGGATTGATGCTCATGATATTAATCACTGGATTGTCTGGTCCATACTCGATTATTTACAGACCACTGCATATTGCTGGAATATTGCTGAGTGCGGCGTTAAACAACAAACCAACCAACCAACCAACCTGAGGCTAGGGAGTTAACTGACTGTAAAAGTCCAGTTTCCACCTTTACTGAACTAGGCTGGAATTATTGAGTTATATTTTGGCTGGACTAATGAGTCTATGCACAGTCCAATCAAAATCACATAACAAAATTGACATTCTTCAATCGCAGAATTTGCAAAGTATGTGTACTGTCAACTGGGCGTTGACAGATATTTTCCAAATCTTTTCATGTGTTTAATCAAGGTGCTCATGTGTTTTGATGCACTTTGCGAATAAGACCTGTTTTATTACAATATAGATCTTGGTTATCGATCAGATCTTCTTCACTGAGTGATGCCATTTTATTTGAAGCAAATGCAAGTGATGTGAGAGGTTGAATCTGATTGGTGAATAGGATAGACATAGAAGGACCATAAATCATAATAGCAACGGGGGACACTACGATTGAGTCCAGGAATTCCAGCCTAGTTTTGGCAAGAGTGGAAAGTGGACTTTTACACTCAGTTAACTCCCTTGCCTCTGGAGGATGCCCCGTTACATGTTAGTTCTGGGTTTATTGGTTCCTGTTGAAGCAAATATATCAGGCGACTAGCAAGGAATATGTGGTCAGGCTCACTGACTTGGTTGATGCATGTCATTGTATCCTAATTGCATAGATCGATGCTCATGATGTCAACCCGGGGATTGTCTGGTCCAGGCTCCATTATTTACAGACCGCCATCATATAGCAGGATTAGTGCTGAGAGTGGCGTTAAATAAAATAACAAACAAATCATTTCTGAAGATTAAGAATTTCCTGAATATTGTTTACAGTAATATATTTTCCAAGAAATATTCACACATAAATGTATAAGAGCATGGATTTTCACACCAATACCAGAAATGTATGGGGTATTTTCATTGACATTTACAGGTTACAGTAGAAAATGTCGAAACCTTCCAAGAAAAAGCTGACCCTCATGGAGGACTTCCCAAGAGGAGGTGTCAAGAAGATGCCCAAGAAAAGAAAGACAAAGGAACCGGTTCAAGATCTGTTCAAGGTAATTTGCATCCTTGTGTTTGTTTGCTTGTTTGTTGTAACACCACACTCAGCAATATTACAGCTATGTGACAGCGGTCTGTAAATAATCGAGTCTGGACCAGGCAATCCAGTGATTGATATCATAAGCATTTATTCACTCAATTGAGATACTATGACATGCATCAACCAAGTCAGCGAGCCTGACCACCCGATCCTGTTAGTCGCCTCTTACAACAAGCATTGTCGCCTATTATGGCAAGCATGAGTTGCTGAAGACCTATTGTACCCCGGATCTTCACGGGCCTCGCCCTAGTAACTAGTGTTTATCATGTTTATGCTCATGCCAGTCTTTTTCTGGGATCAGGCTTTAAGTAACACAGAAATTGCATTGTGAACATGGTGAACACGTAGCTGAATTGGTGAAAACAACACATTTTTGTTTTGTGAAAACAGTGCCATATGTTTTTAGATACCCAAGCAAACATAAGGAGAGCGAACATTGATTTGCCATTGTTTACCAAACACAATATGTTTTTGAAATACTTCTCAAAGGTCCACTATAAAGGACCACCCAATTGTTTCAAATTACTATTGTTAATCTGTTGTGGCTTGACAGATTAACTGTAGTAATATAAATGGATTGGGTGGTTTACACTTTTTGAGGAGTATATCTACACACTTTTCAGATTTGAACCAGTTTTATATGTTTGCATTTTACATCACATTATTATGAAGTGACTTCCACATGAAATATCTTCCCATGTAGTCACAAGTGAACATCTCAGCATTCACATCTATTTTCTCTCTCAACATTAACACTTGATTTTATTGTGGTATATTTCTTCAGACAAATGATGGTGAGAAGAAGCCAGATCATCATCAAAGTGGGCCGAAGAAGAAGAAGTTCAAGCCTGGAAATCAGAAACAACAGCTCAGTCACTATCCTCCGCCACAGAAGGGTTCGTCCAAGTTGGAGAGTCTCCGGTTTAATGTAAGCAAGACAATAATGACAAGAATTACTGCATTACGTTCTGATATCATGATAATATCAGAGCTCCAGATAAGCTTTTGGTGTTGTGGGTATTTTACCCATGCATTTTAAAATCATTGGGTATCAGTAATTCTATCTGGGTATTCAAATTTCTGTTACCCACTAGTTTTTACACATGTGAGTATTTAAGTTAAATATTTAAAAACACTATTCATCTAGTCCCTGCAAACTGGTGTCGTGTGGGTTCCAGAGCTTTATAGGACTCAAAAATACCACGATACTTCCACAAGAAAGTGTGATGGCAAATGATCATGATGTAACTGTCATCTTAGAGTTTGGCAAGGTTGACGGATTGCCCGTTTATAATTTCAAAATAAGTTGCTGATTTGCTAATCGAATATGCAGGGTTACTTCACAATATTTTGATGATACGCACAAGTTTTATTTTTGTAGCGTATCTGTAATGTTCATTGCATATTTGATATGCTTGGATTTTATTTTACTGCATATTTCTGCATTTCTGATGCGTATTTTACGCAGATACGCAGCTTATCTGGAGCTCTGTAATATACTACTCAAAAGATGTTAAAGAACACCCGATTCTTCCATATTGCTATGATTAATCTGTCATGCCATGACTTCATTTGAGTGGAATATTGTTATTTCTATTGATTTCATTGTCAAGGAGAGTCAACTGCAGATGCTAAATATTGTCAGGTCTAACTGGAGATCATTGCAAAGAAACAAATCTTTAACAGAAAATTGCTAATCTAAGAATTTGAAATGCTCATTTTTGAAATTCCTACATGTAGATTTTTGTTGAATTATCCCTCTCTTGACAGTTGAATAAAACAGCAATAATTTGTGCGATTATGTTGGAAATAGGCCACCTTTCAATCAAACTTCCTTTACCAAACTTTTATAAACAACATACGACCACGTGTATTTATTTTGATTTAATTAACATGATTAAAAGGCAAGTAAAGTGAAAAAAATTATCAGGATTTTGTTGCAGATATCAATTTTCCTAGATACATTAGTCAATTTCCGAAAGAGAAAAACTGATAATATTTGTAGAAAGTATTTAAATGTCCAAGTGAAACTGCTGAAATCACACGCTCCGTAATAGGCTCCAAAACAAACCTGTTTGGGGGCATGGCTTAAAGCTACAGGCAAAGCGGTGACAACTGTTTTCATTGGTGATATGTTTTTTCATTAGGTGATATTACATTAAGTAATACGTTACCACTGTTATACCGAGGCTGTTGTCTCCCACAACTGCTGCTATAGCGAAATCTACCACAGAGATCTCAATTACCTCATGCAGCACGTGCGTAGCCACCTAGCTGCCATGTGACACCCTTCACTCTTGTCTCCTTCGTCTGCTTAGCAAGACGTGTTTTCTCCTGCTGAAGCGTTCCTTGAAGATTTGGTGATATTTATTATAGTTTATTCTCTAATAAACTGTGCTTTTATGGGGCGTTGCGGTAGCTACGCTTGGTTATAATTTTCCCGCCAAACGGAAAATTTTTCCCGCCCTTTTTTTCTATATACTTGCGGGGTTCGCGTATGCACGTTGTGTTTTACGTTTCCCCTGTTCTTGTATGTTTTGGGGGTTAACATAACTTATTTCTTTAATAAAAGTTATATGTGTATGTTATATGTTCACATTGCTCGTTTATTTTCTTGTGAAAATGTTCGTTTGTGAATCATTGTGGTGCGTGCTTTGTAACCATGTTTTGTTCTTTGTTTATAGCAAACAATCAATGTCTGACATGGATCTGTCCCCAGTATCCACCCCCTCTACCCCTGCTCCTCGGAGTTATGGGGTGTGCAGAAAGTTTTTGTCGTCCCGGGATCCCCACGATCGTTGCCCGCGGTGCAGGGTTCCTTGCGGGGACGCCCGGTGCATCCTGTGCGAAGGTCTGGGGCCTGCGGATTTTGAGCGGTACCGGCTGTACGTACAGTCCGTCTCCACCCCTGTGGTGGCCGGTTCGTCCGGTCGGGGTCCCCGTGCGGGTACCACCTCCTCGGCTGCGGCGGATCCCCTTGCGGCCCTCGGGCTGTCTGGGGAATCCGTCGCCGCATTGTTGTCGAAACTTGTGGATTCCAAGCTGGCGGCCTTATCGCAAGATAGGCCGCTGGCTGTTCCGTCCCCGGCCTCTTCGGTGGCCGCGGGGTCGGACGCGGGGTCCACCGGTAAAGCGGCGGATCTCTTGGCGGCCCGTGTGCTGTCCGGGGATTCCGTCGCTGCATTACTTGCATAACTTGTGGACTCCAAGCTGGCGGCCTTATCTCAGGATAGGCCGCTGGCTGTTCCGTCCCCGGCCACTTCGGTGGCCGCGGGGTCGGACGCGGGGTCCACCGGTACGGCGGCGGCTCCCGTGGTCACCGGTCCTTCCCCCGAACCGTTGCTCCCGCTATCGGTTTAGGACCGCGTGGCCATGGTTTATGACCTCTTTGAGGACATGCCCCGGCCGGTACCGCGGGGAATCCACGACTGTGGGTTCCTCCGAGGTATACGATGAGTCTTCCGACACGGCTTTCCCCGCATCAACCTTGCTGCGCGGTTTCAAGCCTTCCTTGGAGAACGCCTTCGCGGCGGCCTCCGGTCGGGGTCTCCCGTTGCCTCCGACGTCGTGGAGAAAGGGTTTATTCCCGGTACATGACCTTGCCTTTCCCGAGGCTGGTCCTACCGCGGAGGCCCATGTTGAGCGGTTGGGTGTCCGTGCCCCACCGGCTGCTACGGTAACGCAAGCTACGTTGCACCAGCTGGACGCCCTCGCTCGGCACTCCATGTCTCACGGAGACACTTACTTGGCTGCAGCGGCCCGTCTGGTCGAAGGTTCTCCCACGGACCGTGACCAGCGCATTTACAACTGCCTGCTCAGTTTAAATGCTTCCCTGGAGTACGTTGCCGAGGACTCTCGGCACACACTTGCTCTTGTTGGGTCCCTGCATAGGCGCCTGGGTGCCGCTCCTAACCGGAGTGCGCCCCAGGCTGCTGCGGCCGGTAGGTCTCAGGGGTCGGGTTCTTCTTCCTCTGGGAAGTAGCCCCGCCCTGAGGGCTCCGGTATGGGCAATCTGCTGCCCTTTCGCGGGAAGACGGGGAACTGGGGGAAGCCCAAGTCGTCGACGGACGGCAAGGGCCCCTCCAGGTGACTCTCATTGGAGGGGTTCGTATGCCGACAGCGCCAACTTCGGTTGGCCCTTAGGCGAACCCGAGTCACTTGGCCCTGGACAGTTGCGCCTGTCGCAACCTGTCAGGGCCCCCTCTCCTTACCCAGTGGGAGCCAGACTCCAGACTTACTGGGAGAATTGGGAACAAGTGTTCGACGACCCGTGGGTGGTCAACACGATTCGGTACGGCTATCGGCTTGATCTCAAAGCGAATCCGCCGCTCACCGTTGCCCCGTTGGCAGGTTTCGATTCGGAAACCGATCTTCCCATCCTCGCCGATGCCATCGGCAGGTTGGTGGAGAAGGGGCAGTACGGGAGTTAGCTCTACCAGAAATAACACCGGGGTTTTACTCCAGGATATTTCTCGTTCCCAAGTAGGACAGTGCCGAACTCAGAATGATTCACACGTCCGCTCCCTGGCTGTTCACCCGGTTAACCACCCCCATAGTGGGGTTCCTCCACAGGAGGGGTGTCCGGTACTTCGCGTACCTGGACGACTCGCTAGTAGCAAATCGAATGACGGACACCCTGTCACGCCATCTCGATTTCGCACGTCGGCTCTTGGAGCAATTTGGGTGGATTATCAATCTCCCCAAGAGCGAGTTAACCCCTTCTCAGAACTTGCTGTTCATCGGAGGTCGGTTCAACACGGTGTCCCATCGCCTCTTTGTCCCCCCAGACCGGTGGCACAAAATTCAGGCGATGATTGCCAAAGTCTTAGCGGTGCAACAGACTGTTCACTTTTGGGAACAGCTGTTAGGGCTACTTGTATCAGCCCAGGACTGCACCGCACGGGGTCGTCTCCAACTCCGCCCGCTGCAACGGTTTTTAATCCAGTTGTTAGCAACGGAGGTGAACAGTGCGACCGTCGCCCTCCCGGATCGGCTCCGACCGCATCTGGAGTGGTGGACGGTCCCTTACATTGTCTTATCAGGAGTCTCTATGCGGCCCTACCGGGCCACGTTGACCCTGTATACAGACGCCTCTCTAGTGGGCTGGGGCGCCCATCTAAAGGGGGAGGTGAGCTCGGGGCTGTGGTGCTTAGACGAACTAGGTCTTCACATCACTTGTCTCGAGTTCAAGGCAGTGATCAACGCAGTCAATCACTGGAAGCATCGTCTCGTCGACGCCCGGCTCATGCTGGCGACCGACAACACGACGGTAGTGTCCTATGTGAACAAACTGGGGGGAACCCACAGTCACTCGCTACTCGATCTCACGTTCGAGTTTTACGCTCTGGTGGACAGTGTCCCGTGCCAGATACGCGCCCGTCACATCCCAGGTGTGCGGAACGTACTGGCCGATGCTCTATCGAGGCCTCAGGATCCGAGCCCCACAGAGTGGATGCTGAACCCAGTAGTGTTTCAGTGGCTGTGCGAACGTTTGGGTCGTCCGATGGTCGACCTGTTCGCAACGCGGTTCAACAATCAACTCCCGTTGTTTGTATCACCAGTCCCGGTCCCGAGGGCCATCGATCACGATGCTCTCGCGTTAGACTGGACGGGCTTGGTCGCTTATGCTTACCCGCCGACAGCGTTGATACCACACATTCTAAGCCGGCTCCGAGGAGTTCGCTGTCGAATGTTACTGATCGCGCCCATGTGGCCGAACAGATCGTGGTACCCCGACTTGCTGACCCAGGTCACGCAGTCGCCACTTCCACTGCCTGTGAGACCGGATCTCTTGATCCACCCTCACACCCGTCAGCTTCATCCAAACGCAGGGCAGTTCAATCTGCACGCGTGGATGTTGTCACCGAGCGTCTGAGGAGTAAAGTTTTTTCTCGCCGGGCGTCTCGGGCATACGTTAGTATGCATCGTGATTCTACCCAGAAGGTGTATAATGCACGTTGGGTTATTTTCACGAAGTGGTGTTGTAAACATCACATTCATTCGCCAGATAAGGTATCTGTGCAGGATATTGCTCGTTTCATGTCTCACTTGCGAGAGACCCGGAAACTCTCCGGGGGTTCCATTGCCATCTATGTCTCGTCCGTTGCTACGGTACGGGACGTTGCTATGGGTACCAGTCTCTCCAAAGAGCCGGTGATACGGGGCATTATCAAGGGTTTCAAACAGCACGATCTTAAGAAGGGCCGCCTTCGGGCACCGGCCTGGGATCTTTCCCTAGTGTTGCAATCACTTACGGAAGCTCCGTATGAACCCTTGCATAGTGCTTCGTTCCGGCATGTGACTTTGAAAACAGCATTTCTCCTCTCCTTTGCCACGGCGGCACGTGTATCCGAAATTCATGCACTCGATGTCGCCAAGGTACGATTCGATAGGGGTGACGAAGGAGCGGTCCGCCTGGGCCTGCTCATGGGCTTCGTCGCCAAGAATCAGAGAGTCGGGCAAACGGAGAGAGAATTCACTGTAAGATCACTCAAAGAAATCTTACATCCTGCTGATACTGAGGACAGAGCGCTGTGTCCGGTTAGGGCCCTTAAGTATTATCTTAAGGCTTCGAATGAACGTAGACAAGGGCGTGACCGTCTGTTCATATCGTGTAACCCTAATCGCACGGTTGACATAACTCGCAACTCGATTGCGTTGTGGCTTCGTTCTGTCATCAATCTGGCGTACCGGTCTCGGGGGTTACCGGTAGCGGGGTCAAACCCGCACGAGATCAGGGCGCTAGCGGCAACATTTGCCCTACACTCGAATATCTCTGTTCGCAGAATATTACGAGGTTGTTACTGGCGTTCTGACTCGGTTTTTGCCAATCATTACCTCAAACAGGTCGCTGATGCCGTCGTGGAGAGTGTGCACCGTCTTGGCCCGCGGATCGCGGCGCAAGCGGGCACCTAAGGGGTGTGCCCAGCGCAATTCCGAACTCCTCAGGCGTCTGACCTTGCACGGTGGTCAATCTGGGTCGACTCCATTGTTCCCACTGCCGTGGGTACAGGAGTTGGGGTCCCGCAAACCAGCGCACTCACACCACAGGTGAGGGCGGCTTTTTGTGTGCTTTGTCCTTATTTGTATTTTGACAATTATGTCTTTAATTGTCTGTCGTGTATCCCAACCTTGTGATGCATGCTTACAAATACTGGAATTAGGTCACGCGCCTAATGCATACTTTAAGTAGGCTTGCTCTGGGATATACGGTCTGAATGAAATTAATTTCCCTCTTTTCGACTGTTTAACCTGATCTAAGATTAAGCTCACGCGGATACAGTGTTCTCATCCGCTGCGGCGATGAAATACCTATCCAGTGGGGCCGTTTGGAGTCACCAATCGTTTTGGCAATGACGATTGAGCCTTACGGTATGCGCTTGACAGTGCTTTGGTATTCCTATAGGGTAACGCCTAGCTAGGTGCATGCGCATCGAGTGCTTCCGCCTTGGTGTTTACTTCCGCTGGTCGGAAGGAACGCTAGCAGTCAGGATTCGGGTTGTAGGTGCTCCCCACCGCCTACTGTGGTAGTCAGCCTCGGTATAACAGTGGTAACGTATTACTTAATGTAATTTGTAGAATTTTCCTATTCGGAATATTCTATAAGTAATACGTTACCACTGGGCTGCTGCCCGCCCGTCCGTCCCCCGAGCACTTGCTCTCGCAGGAGACAAGAGTGAAGGGTGTCACATGGCAGCTAGGTGGCTACGCACGTGCTGCATGAGGTAATTGAGATCTCTGTGGTAGATTTCGCTATAGCAGCAGTTGTGGGAGACAACAGCCTCGGTATAACAGTGGTAACGTATTACTTATAGAATATTCCGAATAGGAAAATTCTACAAATTTTCAGCACGTCAAACACTGCGAACCCGTTTTTACCCCAGCAAGGGGAATCCCCTTTGTCTTTTCTGGGGATGTTTTCGTCTGCCCTTTTTTTATTGCCTGTTTTACGCTATTCCGGTTGTCAAATATAATTTTGGTCAAGCATTGGTGATTGGGTGTACCTTGAGGAATTAAAATCTGCAAAGTTGCCATGTTGACTTTTCTTGCCCTTTATCAGTAGAGGACGTAACAAGTACGCAAGACGGCTCTCTCTTTTCAGAAACATAATTTCAGTATTTTCTTAAAACTTATTCGTCGAAGTGTAACAACATATATATACTTTTTCGGGCACACGAACCATACCTGTGTGCCAGCGCGTTTAAACATGTCTACTTTCCTGGTAAACAAGTTGTCCCACAGCCCCGTTACGCGTACAAGAGACGGCTCTCCGAACAAGGCAACTAACGGGATTGGGTGGTCAGGCTCGCTGACTTGCTTCATAATATCATCGTATCCCAGTTGTGTAGATCGATACTCTTGATGTCAATCACTGGATTTGATTTTTGATAGATCGCCGCCATGTAGCTGAAAAATTGCTGAGTGCGGTTTTAAACAGTTGTTAAACAGATTAGCCTTGCTGTTAATGTGTATGACTGTTTTCTTCAGCACATTGAGGTTGGGATGCACATCTTGTGTTGTGTGGCCAAAGTGGGAAACTACAGCTTGACCATGGACCTGCCTGGGGGCCTGCAGGGGGAGGTGGCCATCACAGCCATCTCGGACACCTACACTGACCAGCTCAGCAGACTGACCAGCGACGACTATGAAGAGGACCAGGAAGAGGTACTGCAGTAACCATGGCAACAGTTAATGTCACATTGATAACATGTTATGACACTGACGAGACCCTAATAAAATCTGAAATAACCTGTGAAGATCCGGGTCAGAAATTGTCTTCTTGTACCCGTTTAGATCCAGGGTAGAATAGGTCTTCAGCAATTCATGCTTGCCGTAAAAGGTGACTATTCTTTATCGTAAGAGGCAACTAACAGGATTGTCTGGTCCAGACTCGATTATTTACATACTGACGTCATATAGCTGGAATATTGCTAAGTGCGGAGTTAAACAACAAACAAACAACAACAAAAAACAACAGAATTTGCCTTCAGCAATCCCATGTTTATCATGATGGGCGATGAACAGGATTGGGTGGTCAGGCTCGCTGACTTTGTTGATACATGTCACTGTATCCAAGTTGTGTAAATTCATGCTTATGTTGTCAATGACTGGATTGTCTGGTCCAGACTTGATTATTTACAAACCACCATCATATAGCAGGAATAATGCTGTGTGCTGCATTAAACAACAAAGAAAGTAATTATTCTGTAATAGCAATAACTACATGCATGTGTGACTAATGCAACCAGTTTGTCAATTCATGATCAGCTCAAGACCTTGTTGAATGTAATTGTATTGTGTCAACATTGTGGCCCTGTATCTTGTGAATATATAAAACTGTATCTACAGGAAATCGCCCACCTCAAGGACATGTTCAGGCCAGGACTGATCCTACCGTGTGAAGTGACGGCTATCAAGATACGCTCGGGGTCCAAGAAGAAGATCTTCCTCAGCATGAACCCCAAGCTGGTCAACCGACACCTGGAGGTGGAGCACCTCGTGGAGGGCATGGTAAGGTGTTTTGTAATATCAAGATATACCCATACCCTCAGATAGAGGTGAAACAGTCTTCACATGATGAGCAGACCCGTGAAGATTCCGGGGTACAATAGGTGTTCAGCAACCCATTCTTTCCGTAAAAGGCGACTATGCTTGTCGTAAGAATCAACTAATGGGATCAGGTTGTCAGGCTCGCTGACTTTGTTGATGCATGTCATCATATCCCAATTGTGTGGATCGATGCTTATGATGTCAATTACTGGAATCTCTGGTCAAGACTCGATTATTTACATACCGCTGTCGTATAGCTGGAATATTGCTGAGTGCGGTGTTAAACAAAAAACAAGCAAACAAGATGATGAGTGAATTGTTCATGACAATTGTTTCTTTGTTTCCACTGTTTGCTGATCGGCCTATTGTAGTAAAGCTGGGTATCAAGACATTGACTTAAGTACCCGAAGACATTCAAGAGACATCATTCTCACAATAGGCTTTTCATTTTTTCAGAATTTTTTTTTGTAAGATACGTAGTAGCCTTCTTCAGGGGGAATAGAAATGGCCACTAAAGTACTCATGGAAATGAAAAGAAACTGTTTTGCTGGATTTAATAATCGACACAAAGCATTACGTAGATGTAAATACGAAATAACAAAACAACTGGAAAAGTACTAGTCTGGATTTGCTAGTTTTATCTCAGTGCTCAATACAAAATGTACTTTACAGGAGGTAATTTGTAGGCACTTTCAACATTCAAAAATAAAACTAAGTCCAAATTGACATGGCAGAAACAGGCTATAGGCATTATGCAAATTAGCCTGGGAAAAAGTTATCAAAACAACAATAAAAATAACAGCTATGTTTATGTACATAATAATAATAACATGTAAGTTGTTGTTTGAGAAGGGAATATGTTACTTTTACGTTCTGATATTTTGACGATGATTCACTATCCCACAATGCCACTCACAAATCACTAACCACTGACAAATCACATGGACGTGGGTTTCAAGCACCTGTTTTCACCTGTCGTCAAGGTGTCATAGGTCATGGACATTCACCTTGATCTACTCACACCTGGTTATGCTCAGTTTTACAATAGTCTGTTTTGTTCATATTTTTACACACTTTTACGTGTAAAAAGACATAAAAACCTTTGATACGCTGTATTTGTGCCAAGGCCGAAAGTCCGAAATAAGCTGTAGACTTGTTTAATATGAACAATGGTGTCTACCCCTGTACTTCCAACTCGGAGTAATGTTTTATCCGTCTTGCATGAAGTCATTTTAACCCCCAGCAAATGCCAGACCCTTTCCAAAGTACTGTCTTCGAATGTAATTAAAAAATAGTAATTATGAAGTACACAAATGATAACCAGCATTTGTTGAAATGTGATGGTAGGTAATCTTTCATTTCTTCCTTGTTCTGGGGGCATGGGTGGCCTAGTTGTCTAAGTGGCAGCGATTCGCTGTGCAGAGTTGCGTTTCTTGGGCACGGCAGAAACCTATGACTATGGGTTGAATCCCGGTTCACCCCGATTATATTTCTAGGTTTGTCAGCACCTAACCCTGCTCGTGGATTTCACCGAAGTGGTAAATGTCTGAGACCTGCATCACTTCGGGCTTTCCTCCCACATTAAACTGGCACGCTGTGATTTAACTGGAATACTGTTTATATTTGCATTAAACACTACAGTGTGAAATGTCAAACAAACAATCCTTTGGGGGTCAAATAAAATTGACTAATTGTAAAAGAAGTTTGCAAGCGTTCAACATTTTTTACTCGTAACTATATTACAGTGTTTTGTTAATGTGTTCATCTCATGTGATTCTGATTGTTTTATTGCAGATACTGTTTGGCAGTGTGAGGTCCCGGGAAGATCATGGCTATGTTTTGGATGTTGGTGTGGAAGGAGTGACAGCATTTCTGGCTGACAGTCGGGCAGACAAATACATCACCAGTGTGAATGAAGGTAGAAAGCCTCTGCACATGAATCATGCCTCCATTTCGTCTGGATCCTGTGTCTTGTTAATGTCTCTGTTTCCCAAGGTTTCCCAAGGTTTCCCAAGGTTCTATATGTTGCCCAGTGATACACTGTGATACACTTCCGTAAGAGGCCACTAACGGGATTGGGAGGTCAGGCTTGCTGACTTGGTTGATGCATGTCATCGTATCCCAATTGCGTGATGTCAATCACTGGATTGTCTGGTCCAGACTTGATTACTTACAGACCGCCGTCATTTAGCTGGAATATTGCTGAGTGCGGCGTTGAACAACAAACCTACCAACCAACTGTGCTTCAATTCACTGTGCACATTTGAACCTTATGAAAATACAGGCAAGAATTGGTCTTCAGCAACCCATGCTTGTCATAAGAGGTGACTAACGGGATCAGATCAATCTTTGGTCTGGCCCTGACTTGATAATTTACTGATGGTTGTCATATAGCTGGAATGTTTTTGAGAGAGGAGTTAAACAAAAAAACAAACAAACAAAACTGTGTACATTTGCACACCTTGACCATTCCATACACATCTTTTCTCCCACATATGCCGTTATATGAATGATGCACTGTTCAAAGTGGCATTAAACCAAACTCACTCACTCACTCTTGTGTTTATTGCAGGTGAATCCCCGAAACTAGGTCAGGTTGTCATGTGCACCATCTTGTCCAGCAAGAACAAAAACATCAAAGTGTCAATCAACCCGAAACAGGTTGACAACGCTCAGGTAAGAAGAATCTTAAAGTTTATAAGCAAACATGATTCATGAAGCAAAAAGTTAAGTATAGAGAACACATTTTCAGGTAAGGGAAAAAAAATAATAGTCTGGGTTCTCAGGCACCGCCATTTTAAAAAAAATAAAAGTCTAAAAGTCTAATGGTAATCAAATACTGTATTCCATATTTTACTCATCAAGGAATACATTTATATAGGGAGGTTATTTGCCCCAGTTGATTGTACACAACTGTTTATTTGGTTACATACCAATTTTTGAACATCCAAAAAAAAGAAAGAAAAAGAGACTGCACTATATTTTCAAAAATGATTGCCTGAAAACCTATTCTTTCATTTTTTTAAGCCTAATATAACGCACAGATATCTTCTCATTAGATGGATTAGATAAATAAGGAAAGCAGTATTTGGCAGAGTGAAAGAGACCATGGTATGTTTCCAAGTACCGGTAGCTGTGTGACCATTATTCTTTGACTAGTAATATTTTTGGCTTGGCCAGTATTCTTTTCTGTCCTGTCTGGCCATTTGCAGATTTGACACTGGACAATGCTGCCTTGACTGGCGCTCTACATTTTGTGTTAAGTTACTTGTTTAGAATTCAGACATCGTCTAGTTTTTGTAAGGGTGATTATTTCTTGTTTGTTTGATTAAGGTTGTAAATTTTGAGTCTCTGGAATTGTAAAGAGGTGCAAATGACCTGAAACCAACCTAATAGGATTGCTAATAGGCAGGAGTTAAAATGCGTGTATATGCACAAGGGAAGTAACTCTTCCTGGCTTATTACGCTCTTGTCTTGCAGGTGACAAAGAGTGTGATGGTTGTCCCTGGGATGAAGGTGTCTGGCACCATTCAGCAGGTTTGTTGTTAATTGATGATTGAGTCAGTGAAGAGGTGGGGATGTCACAAATAACTTTCTCACTGTAATAAGGCTGTGATGCAACTTCGTGCAAAATATACTACTCACCTTTGATAGGGATAGGGCATATCCAGGTGAGGTCTGAATGTTACTGATTGCTCGGATATGTTGCCATTCGAATAGTATTTCGTTTTTTAACCATTTTATTACAAGCTACACATATGGTTCATATCTGTTGTGAAGATGTACGATTTTCGGTCACAAACGTTGATAATTCCTAATTTTGTTTATCCGACATTTTCCATACAGCGTGATTTTTAAGAAGCAGATGCTAGCAGCCTTTATCAAGCTGTTGTGTTTGACTGACATGATTGGTTGTTCTATGGCTGTAATATTGCTGAACGCAGTGTGAAATTACACTCACTTAGTGATGACTTTGGGCCTGAAAAGGAAGCATTCTATTACTCTAGACTGGTATAACATAACTTCAGTATTATGACCAGCCTCATTCAAATGCTATAATAATGCTATAAATTATAGAGGGCCTCTAGGTTTGTATGCAATACCTGAAGACCTATAAAAACATACTTTCTAACACACACACTGTTAAGTCAATGCTAATAGTGAGACTTGTCTTTAGTAGTGAGCATCATTATGAGTTGTCAACCAGTCTCAACACGGGTTCATGTACCCTCTATGCTTGTCGTAAAAGGCGACTAACGGGATTGGATGGTCAGGCTCGCTTACTTGGTTGATGCATGTTATTGTATCCTAATTGCATGGATTGATGCGCATGATGTCAATCATTGGATTATCTGGAAATAAAAAAATATGTCAGCCCAACAAGCTTGATGAGCATTAACTAACACAGAGGGTTCATTAGCCCATGAGGGGCGGTCGGGTAGCCTAGTGGTTAAAGCGTTCGCTCGTCACGCCGAAGACCCGGGTTCGATTCCCGACATGGGTACAATGTGTGAAGCCCATTTCTGGTGTCCCCCGCCTTGATATTGCTGGAATATTGCTAAAAGCGGCGTAAAATCAAACTCACTCACTCACTCATTAGCCCATGTCATCCGAGGGAGCTGTTGACAACAAATTTATCTTACTGCACACGCAACTATGTTGCAGGTATGTTTCATGAATACCACATTAGGCATTTATCCACTTTGTATTTTTTTCACATTCAATGAAGCAATCGACAACAGAAAACAAACTTAGAGTTATTTCCCTTCGCTCTATTTCATTCAGAAAATATCCGGAGAATGGAGTCAAACATCTTGTTGCAAATGTAATGCCAACCGTTTGGCAATTCAAGTGTGGACCATTAGAAATGTACCTTACATGTTAGCAGGGTACATTGAAAATAGACCTGTGAAGATCCGGTGTAGAATAGATCTTCAGCAACCCATGCTTGCCGTAAAAGGCGACTATGCTTGTCGTAAGAGGTGACTAACGGGATTGGGTGGTCAGGCTCGCTGACTTGGCTGATGCATGTCATCGATCCCAATTGAATGGACCTCGGCCAATCAGAATCCATCATTCATGTGCAAGGGTAGATAATTATGTATGACTTTGAGTGACATTGTAAATAGTCAGCAGCTTGCTCGAACAGTCGTCAGTATTCCGGTTGTTGCAGCAGCTTGAACAGCAGACAGTAAACAGCTTTGTGTTTTATTGCCAGGTACTTAAAGAAGGTCTGGTTGTCGAGTTTGATGGACAGACCTGCCTTGTGCATCAGACACACACCCCGGCCTACACCCTGGAGAAGTACACCCAGGGGAGCAAGGTGAGTGAGGGAGTGGGGTGAGGTGAGGGGGTGGGTGGGGTGAGGTGGGGTGGGATGAGGGGTGGGGTGGGGTGAGGTAGTGAGGTGAGGTGAGGTGAGGTGAGGTGAGGGGGTGGGATGAGAGGTGAGGTGGTGGGGTGTGGTGGGATGAGGGGTGAGGGAGGAGGTGGGATGAGGGGTGAGGTGGTGGGGTGAGGTGAGGTGGTGGGGTGTGGTGGGATGAGGGGTGAGGTGAGGAGGTGGGATGAGGGGTGAGGTGGTGGGGTGAGGTGAGGTGGTGGGGATGGGTGGGATGAGGGTGAGGGTTGGGATGAGGTGAGGGTGAGGGGTTTGGTGAGGTGTGGGATGGGGTGAGTGGGTGGGTGAGGTAAAGGGGTGTGGTGGATGGGTTGGGGAAACAGGGGGATGATATTGAAACCTGGACATATGCTTTGTTACAATGTTAGCCAACATATAAGTTGTCAATCTCAGTGGGGGAGGATGTATATGGTGTGATGTACCCTGTGTGTGAGTCAGTGTTCCCTGAGCCGTCGGGCAAGTGGTACGTAGGCTCACATACAGGGTACATCACACCATGTGCCCCGAGGTATCGGTTGACAATGAATTTATCTTTCTGTCCTCATATAGGTCCCTAATATATGTCTGCAGTTTAACTCGGCAAAACTCCCCAATGGCAGAGGTTGTCTGTCATGCTTTCAGTGGCTGGTTCACCTGTCCAGACTTGGTTATTCAAATGCCAAATGATATGGCTGGAATATTTTTGACGGCAGAGTTACACAACATTCACTCACACACCATCAGTTACAGAGTTTTGAGTAATGACTGTTTTACCAGGTGAAAGGAACAGTGTTGTACAGACTGTTGAAGAATCGGACGACCCATCTGTCCCTCCTCCCCCACCTGTCCGGTGCCACATGTGGAGGTCTCAGTGACAAGTTCACCACCCTAACAGACAGGACCACGCCACACAAAGCCAGGGTCCTTGACGCCATGGACAGGATAGTTTGGTTCACCTTGGACAATGGAGTCAGAGCATTAGCAACGGTTTGTAGAAATTAAATGTCGATTACCAACAATACCCCAAAAGATGTGAAGTAGATAACTTCAACAAATTTATAAACAGAGGCATAAACTGAGACATTGTCTTATTGTAGGAGTTAGTAGACAAACAAAGTGCATTTGGAGACTTGAATCAAAATTACTCAGAAATGTGCCAAAATCAAAATTAATTCAAATATAATGGAATACAGTTCAGCCACATGTGCGTCTATCTGATCCATGTACTGCATCTATCCATCTATCCACATATCTGATCCATGTACTGTATCTATCCATCTATCCACATGTCTGATCCATGTACTGTATCTATATATCTATCTACATATCTGATCCATGTACTGTATCTATACATCTATCCACATGTCTGATCCATGTACTGTATCTAATCTATACATCTATCCACATGTCTGATCCATGTACTGTATCTAATCTATACATCTATCCACATATCTGATCCATGTACTGTATCTAATCTATACATCTATCCACATATCTGATCCATGTACTGTATCTATACATCTATCCACATGTCTGATCCATGTACTGTATCTAATCTATACATCTATCCACATGTCTGATCCATGTACTGTATCTATACATCTATCTACATATCTGATCCATGTACTGCATCTATACATCTATCCACATGTCTGATCCATGTACTGTATCTATACATCTATCTACATATCTGATCCATGTACTGTATCTATATATCTATCCACATGTCTGATCCATGTACTGTATCTATACATCTATCTACATGTCTGATCCATGTACTGTATCTATACATCTATCCACATATCTGATCCATGTACTGTATCTATACATCTATCTACATATCTGATCCATGTACTGTATCTATACATCTATCTACATGTCTGATCCATGTACTGTATCTATCCATCTATCTACATGTCTGATCCATGTACTGTATCTATATATCTATCTACATATCTGATCCATGTACTGTATCTATACATCTATCTACATGTCTGATCCATGTACTGTATCTATACATCTATCTACATGTCTGATCCATGTACTGTATCTATACATCTATCCACATGTCTGATCCATGTACTGTATCTAATCTATACATCTATCCACATGTCTGATCCATGTACTGTATCTAATCTATACATCTATCCACATATCTGATCCATGTACTGTATCTAATCTATACATCTATCCACATATCTGATCCATGTACTGTATCTATACATCTATCCACATGTCTGATCCATGTACTGTATCTAATCTATACATCTATCCACATGTCTGATCCATGTACTGTATCTATACATCTATCTACATATCTGATCCATGTACTGCATCTATACATCTATCCACATGTCTGATCCATGTACTGTATCTATACATCTATCTACATATCTGATCCATGTACTGTATCTATATATCTATCCACATGTCTGATCCATGTACTGTATCTATACATCTATCTACATGTCTGATCCATGTACTGTATCTATACATCTATCCACATATCTGATCCATGTACTGTATCTATACATCTATCTACATATCTGATCCATGTACTGTATCTATACATCTATCCACATGTCTGATCCATGTACTGTATCTAATCTATACATCTATCCACATGTCTGATCCATGTACTGCATCTATACATCTATACATCTATCCACATGTCTGATCCATGTACTGTATCTAATCTATACATCTATCCACATGTCTGATCCATGTACTGCATCTATACATCTATACATCTATCCACATGTCTGATCCATGTACTGTATCTATACATCTATCCACATATCTGATCCATGTACTGTATTGTGTTCACTAGCGACCACACCTGAGGGCTGTAGCTACCGACATGAAGACACCATTGCAGAAAACATTCCGGGTCGGAGAGAAACACAGGTAGGCAATCTCATTGTGTGGAAATACCAAGTTAGCAGGATCCTTTATGATGAATACTAGTAGTGATATTTTCCTTCTCGATACAGGTATTGATCATGATCGCACACTTAGTAAAAAGTATCGATTCTCACCTTAAATGTATTCTTTAATAAATGTTACACCAAACACTTATTACTGGTGAAAATAAGTAGTGAAAACATAAATATTTTCATCCATTGCACCATGCTTGATACTGCCAACTGTTAATCGTTAGTGTGCCAGGTATTTGGCCATCCTGTCTATGAAAAAGATGGCTTACGAACCACAGATAAGAGCACATGCTACAAGTTTCGTGCTACATATCAGATTGTGAGCAAGGTATTGTGATATGTATCGGATGGCACAGTTGGTGTAGCCCTACTAAATACCTTGGACACATTCACCAGTAAAATTTTGATTGTATTTTGAATGCCATGACAAGAATGAAAGACACGCAATCAAATAACACTGTAAATTCATGAGTGATATTACCAGTACTTGAATAGGCTTTTGTGTGCCATCACAAATACAGCCGGATCTCCTTGTAGTATAAGGACTTTCTCCCCTTGTATTAGCATGGTGGGAGCACTGTGCAGAGTTGCGTCCCTTAGGTATGCCAGAAACCTATGATCATGGGTTCGAATGCCAGTTCGCCCTGAATATGTTTCAAGGTTTGTCAGCACCATACTTATGCTCATTGGTTACACCAAAGTGGGAAACGTCTGAGACCTGCATCACCTGGGGCTTTACTCCCTTTACCTTAAGCTGACACACTGTGATATAACTGGAATACTGTTCATGCCGCGATGTTGCTGGAATATTGCTAAAAGCGGCGTAAAACCACACTCACTCTCTCACTCACTTCCGCACTCACTCAGAGCTCATAAGCATAATCATGACTTATAACCATTGACAAGCTTGTGATGAAACTGTTGTCGTTTTGCCAGCTGCACAGTTGTTGGCCACAACCTGATGGAGAATGTGGTGCATGTTCACTTGTCAGGGTAAGTTGTTTGTCACTCCCATGTTGAGTACCGGTACCAGGCTAGATTTGTTTGTTGTTAAATGCATCATTCAGCAACAGTCCAGCTCTATGACAGCGGTCTGGACCAGACAATCCATTGATTGCTAAAAGCAGCATAAAACCATACTCACTCACACACTCACTCCAGGGTTTTACACGATGCAGAGATGTGCGTCCAGTATGCACAAAAGTATTAAATGGATGCAGAAAATAATATAGACTGTGTCCTTAGGGACATACAATAATATCCATTGTACCAAATTCTTAGCAAAAAATATAAAGTTCCTGTAATTAAAGTAATTATTTAATCTTACAGTACAGTACACTGACCATTTCTTTACTTTACAGGACCCTCATATGAGGGTCCTCTGGGCCCCTAGTTTTGTAGGTCTGAGACCTGCATCACTTCGGGCTTTCCTCCCACATTAAGCTGACACGCTGTGATATGACTGTAATACTGTTAACGGCGGTGTTAAACCCAACTCACTCACTCAAGGGAAAGCCCTGCACTCATACCACAGGGTGGGACGTTGCTGGAAAATCAACCACTGTTAAGTCAGGCCCAGGGGCCAGACTTGATTATTGACAGATCCCTGTGTTGTGGATGAAATATTGCCTAACTGTGGCCTCAGACAACAAACAAACAAATGTCTATATATTTCATAATGCAAACAATGATTGCACTTTTAGTATCATTAAGTTTACAATAACGTAGAAACCATTCTGAGGAAAGAGATTTTATTTTACTTATGTACAGAGTACATTGTTTCATGAACCTCTCTGAAAAGAGAAATCACAAAAGCATGTTATATTTTATTATAAAACTGTCCACGTTTTCATGACCCTGCCCGAATATGTGTACTGTTTTTTTATGACCCTCCCATGTCATATTTGTTTGTCACCCATATGTGATTCCCTCTGACCCCCTCCCCTTCCCATCATCATGACCATGACCAACAACAACCAGTAGAATGTTTTGATGGTTATTATCAACTTAATTTCCCAGTTAATGAATTTCTTTGATATGTCTTACAGGAAGACTGAAACAAACAAACCCTCTTCTGGAGAAAAAAATGAGGAATCGCTCATCCAGAAGCGAAAGTTGGAAAATATGAAATCTGAATCATCCATTTCTAAATTGAAATCTGATGCAGAATCAGAACCAAAGTCAAAAAAGAAGAAATCAGAAAAGGGGGAAAAATTTTCTAAAGATGAACGAAATTTGAAAAATGTAAACGGCACTTATGAAACCGAAAATTTGAGTGAAAAAAAGAAAAAGAAGAAATCAAAATCAATAAGTGACATTAAATGTGAAACTGGCGATTCTGAGGACACAGACAATGTGAAAAGTGCAAAGAAAAAGAAATTAAAAGAAATAAGGAAAAGCGCAGTAGACTTTGCTGAGAGTGAAAGTGATGAGAGTGAAAGTGATGATAGTGATGATAGTGATGATGAGGTAACAGGTACAAAGAAAACAAAACTTGAAACTGACTACTTGAAGATACAGGAAACGAAGACAAAGTTAAAAAAGAAAGATAAGACCAATATGGAGCCATCGGTCAAAGAAACACCTTCGAAGAAAGTGAAAGCTGTTAAAGAGGAATTGATGAAAGAGACCCCGGGTAAGAAAGACAAGACCACTAAGAAGACATCCGTGAAAGAGACGCCATTGAAGAAAGCAAAGGCTGATAAAGAGGAATCAGTTAAAAAAACACCGGCTAAGAAAGGAACAGCTGGTCAAGAGGAATCAGTGAAAGACACACCAGCTAAGAAAACAAAAGCTGATAAATTAATCAAAGAAACACCGTCAAGGAAAGAAAAGGCTGCAAAAGAGAAATCGTCAAGAGAAACGCCAGGAAAGAAAGACAAATCGGTGAAAGAAACGCCATCAAAGAAAGGAAAGACAAAGTCAACAGAGGAAAGCGACAGTGGGGTTGAAGTTAACAAGGCTTCTGATTCTGATGATGATGAAGACATGAAGGTAGTCTACTTGATTTTCCAATTGTTTGTAGCAGCATGGCTAGACATCCTGTAATTGTCTTGTCAGAATCTCAGTGAATATCATGAAGGTAGTCCAGTTGATATTCCAATTGTTTGTAGCAGCATGGCTAGACATCCTGTAATAGTCTTGTCAAAATCTCAGTAAATCTCAGTGTTGATAGGAACTTTTTTTCTGTTAAGTGGCTGTCTGACCTGTGCAGATTCTGGGTGAGACAAAGTCACCAGCAATTGATGCTTTAATTCGAAGCAGAGAAACGAAAATCATTTGGTTTAGTTTTAACATTAATCTTTCCGAATTTTTCGAACTATCAATATGAAGTTTATATACATTACTGTGGTCTTATAATGGTTTCGATTTCAGGAGGATTAGCTATTGTCAGGTTTTCTAATATGTGTCTATTTAAGCATGAAGTGAACAGGGTCACATTTTGGTGTTGATGTATTCCCATAGTATTGACTTAATCATGACATGTTTTACTATTTACAGACGTTTTCTAACAGCATGTAACATTTTTTGTCTCGCAGGTACCAACAGTTGGTGCCAATCCTCCAAGACTCACAATGTCAGCAGGGTTCTCCTTCAGTGAAGACTTCTCTATAGCACCATCTGGTGTCAATGATGTCAGCAGCGATGATGAGGTTGAAGAAAAAGTAAGTTGATTGACAGTACGGGTATAGGTCCCAGTACCCCTTGTTTGTGACGACCCTGTGGGGATTCCATGTTGGAATAGGTCCCCAGTACCCCTTGTTTGTGACGACCCTGTGGGAATTCCAGAATGGATTAGGTCGCTAGTACCCCTTGTTTGTGACGAACCTGTGGGGATTCCATGTTGGAATAGGTCCCCAGTACGCCTTGATAGTGCTGACCCTTTGGGGATTCCATGTTGGAATAGGTCCCAGTATTCCTTGTTTGGGACGATCCTGTGGGGATTCCAGGTTGGTATGGGTCCCAGTACCCCTTGTTAGTGACGACCCTGTGGGGATTCCAGGTTGGTATGGGTCCCAGTACCCCTTGTTAGTGACAACCCTGTGGGGATTCCATGTTGGTATAGGTCCCAGTACCCCTTGTTAGTGACGACCCTGTGGGGATTCCATGTTGGTATAGGTCCCTAGTATCCCTTGTTAGTGACGACCCTGTGGGAATTCCAGGTTGGTATAGGTCCCAGTACCCCTTGTTAGTGACGACCCTGTGGGGATTCCAGGTTGGTATAGGTCCCAGTACCCCTTGTTAGTGACGACCCTGTGGGGATTCCATGTTGGTATAGGTCCCAGTACCCCTTGTTAGTGACGACCCTGTGGGAATTCCATGTTGGTATAGGTCCCAGTACCCCTTGTTAGTGACGACCCTGTGGGAATTCCATGTTGGTATAGGTCCCAGTACCCCTTGTTAGTGACGACCCTGTGGGGATTCCATGTTGGTATAGGTCCCAGTACCCCTTGTTAGTGACGACCCTGTGGGAATTCCATGTTGGTATAGGTCCCTGTACCTCTTGTTAGTGACGACCCTGTGGGAATTCCATGTTGGTATAGGTCCCAGTACCTCTTGTTAGTGACGATCCTGTGGGAATTCCATGTTGGTATAGGTCCCAGTACCCCTTGTTAGTGACGACCCTGTGGGGATTCCATGTTGGTATAGGTCCCAGTACCCCTTGTTAGTGACGACCCTGTGAGGATTCCAGGTTGGTATAGGTCCCCAGTACCCGTTGTTAGTGACGACCCTGTGGGGATTCCAGGTTGGTATAGGTCCCCAGTACCCCTTGTTAGTGACGACCCTGTGGGGATTCCATGTTGGTATAGGTCCCAGTACCCCTTGTTAGTGACGACCCTGTGGGAATTCCATGTTGGTATAGGTCCCTGTACCTCTTGTTAGTGACGACCCTGTGGGAATTCCATGTTGGTATAGGTCCCAGTACCTCTTGTTAGTGACGATCCTGTGGGAATTCCATGTTGGTATAGGTCCCAGTACCTCTTGTTAGTGACGATCCTGTGGGAATTCCATGTTGGTATAGGTCCCAGTACCCCTTGTTGGTGACGACCCTGTGGGGATTCCAGGTTGGTATAGGTCCCAGTACCCCTTGTTGGTGACGACCCTGTGGGAATTCCATGTTGGTATAGGTTCCTAGTACCCCTTGTTGGTGACGACCCTGTGGGGATTCCAGGTTGGTATAGGTCCCAGTACCCCTTGTTAGTGACGACCCTGTGAGGATTCCAGGTTGGTATAGGTCCCCAGTACCCGTTGTTAGTGACGACCCTGTGGGGATTCCAGGTTGGTATAGGTCCCCAGCAACCTATTCTAGTCGATAGAGCTACTAAATGAACTGGGTGGCCAGATTAACTGATTTGGTTGCTTGTGTGTCATCGTAGCCTGATGGAGTGGAATGTTGCTCATAATATCAGACTTGATTATTGACAGGATACTGTGATAGAGCTGGAATATTGTTGTTTAACACTATAAACAGCAAGCATCAATAGGGCTGACTAAAGTTGGTATCTGTTTGTGACAATGGGGGATCTAACTCGTCTGTGGATTGTTACTCATGCTATCAACCAGTGTTTTGTCGGTTCCAACTTTGATTTAAGTAGAATCACAATCTTGAGACATGTGTTTGTTTTGATGAAAGCACTTTGTTTTCTCAGAAGTATGTGAAGAAGACCCCTCATGAACTAAGGCAAGAGAGGATTGACGAAGAAAAGAAAATCTATGCTGTGAGATTATGTTTTATTACATTTCATGATCATATTCAGTCAGACAGACAAGTAGTGTCGTCATTGGTTAAACTTTGCTTACGTTTGTCTTCATGTTACATCTTGATAGGTTGTATGTTACAGTTCAAATGAGTAAATGTTATTACAGTACAAATTGTACCATGTTATTGCAGAACAAATCTCTCCATATTATTACAATATACATGGCTCCACATCATTACAATACAAATCGTTCCATATAATTACAATACAAATGGCTCCATTTGATTATAATACAAATGGCTTCTTTATATTACAGTACAAATGCCTCCATGTTATTGCAATATAAATGGCTCCATATCATTATAATACAAATGGCTCCTTAATATTACAGTACAAATGGATCCATGTTCTTGCAATTCAAAAGGTTCCATATAATTAAAATAGAAATGGCCCCTTAATATTACAGTACTAATGGATCCATGTTATTACATTACAAATTGCTCCATATAATTATAATACAAATGGCTCCTTAATATTACATTACAAATGCCTCCATGTTATTGCAATATAAATGGCTCCATATCATTATAATACAAATGGCCCCTTAATATTACAGTACTAATGGATCCATGTTATTACAATACAAATTGCTCCATATAATTAAAATAGAAATGGCCCCTTAATATTACAGTACTAATGCCTCCAAGTTATTACAGTACAGATGCATTTTGTGAAGCCCACTTCTGGTGTCCCCTGCCGTGATATTGCTGGAATATTTTGTTAAAAGCGGCATAAAACCGTACTCACTAACTCACAGTACAAATGGCTCCATGTTACAGTATGAGCGCCAGCAGTTGGAAGGGGATCAGATCCCAGTGTGCAGCAACGACTTCGACCGCCTGGTACTGCAGTCGCCTGACAGCTCCCTGCTGTGGACCCGGTACATGGCCTTCCATCTGGAGACAGCCGAGATTGACAAGGCAAGAACTGTGGCAGAGAGGGCGCTCAAGACAATATCTTTCAGGTAGTCTTGTCCTCCATCGCTGTGACCTCACAGGCATTCTGGGGCGGTCGGGGAGCCTAGTGGTTAAAGCTTTCGTTCGTCACGCCGAAGACCCGGGTTCGATTCCCGACATGGGTACACTGTGTGAAGCCTATTTCTGGTGTCCCCCGCCGTAATATTGCTATAAAAGCGGCGTAAAACCATACTCACTCCTACTCACAGGCATTCTGGGCAGAATAGGCCCCATGCTACCATTGCTTAATGGATCAAGTGGTCAGCTTGGGATGGGTCTTTGCTCATAGTATCAATCACTGGTTTGTCTAGTCTAGATTTGACTTTTTCGTTATGGCATGACAGATTAACTATAGTAATATGTAACAATCGGGTGGTCCTTCATTTCTTTTGAGTTGTATAGGTGGAATATTACTGTGTGTAAGAACACGAAACAAATCACTGCAGAAGAGGATTTCAGGGATTCCAAGGGCTGCTGCAAATAACCTGGTGTTAATTTAACCCCAGCACGAGTGCATGTATATGGCTTGTGTCTGCAGTTTATGGTTGCCAACCAACAGAAGGGGAAAAGCCCACAAATTTGTAAATTCAAATGATTCCTTCAGAAATGCTAACATTCAGATTGATGGGTTCACTGTATATGCTACTGTTTGAGGCTCTATTGGCATTTTGAAGTTGGATTTAAACATGACAAGTAGTATTTTGGAATAAATGTACTTACAAATGAAACCAGTTATAATTAGGTATAAGTGCAGCCAGTTGTGACAAGATTGTGACAGTTAGGAAGGAATTGATGGACATGCCAGTTGTTCTAGGAGACTAGTTACAAGGTTATGTGTTTATACGATAGATTAAATGAGTAGATAAGTAGATTAAGTTTAAAATCAAATGCCATCAATCAAACGTGATCAGGGAGTTTTCCTCCCCAGAGCATGGAACATTTAATTTTTACCTTCTTATCGACTCATTTTGTCTGTTGCTTCTGCTTCTTCTTCTGCTGTTGCTGTTGTTGAAAGTGATGAGTGTTGTGTCAGGAAGAGCTGTTGCTGTTACTGGAAGTGATGAGTGTTTGTGTCAGGAAGAGCTGTTGCTGTTACTGGAAGTGATGAGTGTTTGTGTCAGGAAGAGCTGTTGCTATTACTGGAAGTGATGAGTGTTTGTGTCAGGAGATGCTGTTGCTGTTGCTGGAAGTGATGAGTGTTTGTGTCAGGAGCTGTTGCTGGAAGTGATGAGTGTTTGTGTCAGGAGATGTTGTTGCTGTTGCTGGAAGTGATGAGTGTTTGTTTGTGTCAGGGAGGAGCAGGAGAAGCTGAATGTGTGGCTGGCCTACATGAACCTGGAGAACATGTATGGGGCAGAGGCCCAGCTCACCGCGGTGTTTGACCGAGCCCTGCAGCAGAACGACCCCGTCAAGGTGTACAGGCAGATGGTGCAAGTGTACTCCAACAGTGGCAAGATGGAGGTGAGAGATTGTGCAGCACACATCCAGTATCAGAACACTCAACATTCACTAGCTCACCACTTGTTTGCCCTAAACTCACTCACACACTCACCCGCCTCTTACTCAAACTTCTGTTAGGCTAAAAAAATAATAGTCTTGGTTCTCAGGCACCACCTGCATCATCACAAATTCCACAGCAGGTTTTGTTTTTATTTTCATTTTCAAAAATAAAAGTCCTTAAAAATTGAACACAGGACCCTGGCAGTGAAATGCTACATTATTTAAAAACAGTGTGATCCAATACAGGAAGGTATATACAAGGAATACATTTATGTAGGGAGGACCTTTCCCAGGTTGATTGTACACAACTTTTTATTTGGTCTCATTCTAGTTTGAACAAACACAAAAAGACAAAAACACTGCCCTCCCGCACTATATTTTTAAAAGCCATTGCCTGAGAACCAATTCTTTTTTTTTAACGCCATATATGTTGAAAGTTGCATGCGATGCATGGAGTTTGCATTGTGTGTAAGGAGCTGGTTTAGGATCACATGGCTAACATTGCGACTTCCATGGATTCTCGAGCTGTAATTCATTATAGTGTAAGCTTTGTATGTTCTAGGTACTAGTAACTATGGTGAGGTAGTTGATGACATAAGTGAAGATAGCCGTTGGAGGCGGCAGTTGTAATATGGCGATGTTGTAGTAAAGATGTATGGATTGATACGAAGTGTTTGTTGAAGTCAAGAAGTGATCACAATGCCAGGCGGACATATAACCCTACCATCAATCATCATCCAATGATTCCTCATGTATCACCTACTCACTCACCATGTAATGAAACATGTACCACCAACTCATCATTTAACAAACAAAACATCATTTGATCATCATCACTCGCCACCATCCACGGCTTTTTCAAAGCCAACCCATTCACCATTTAATTTTCCACCAACAACCCTCCCGAGGCCAGGGATTTAACTGACTTTAAAAGGCATATTTCCACCCTTCCCGAACTAGGCTGGAATTTCTTGGCTCGATCGTAGCACCAACAGTGGCTATTACAAATTATGTCCCTTCTATGTCCCCCTGCTGACCAATCAGATGCCACCTCTCATATCGCTTGCATTTGCTTTGAATGAAATGGCGGCGTCGAGTCAAGATGATCTCATTGATTATTAATTAATTAATTGTAATAAAATGGGTTTTACCTCATGAAGTGCATCAAATCACTTGAACACCTTGATTAAGAACATGAAAAGATTTGGAAAATATCTGTCGACGCCCAGTCCTGCAATCCTGCAAATCGAACGAAATCGGCGCGGCAGTTGCCATGTTGTTTATGAACCGGATACCGTTATCGTTACAGGATTTTGATTGGACTATGCATAGACTCGTTACTCCAGCGAAAATATAACTTCATAATTTCAGCCTGGTTTGGCAAGGGTGGAAACTGAACTTTTAAAGTCAGTTAACTCCCTTGCCTCGGGAAGATGTCCACCACCCATCCACCCACCATTCATCCATCCATCCATCCATCCCATCCATCCATCCATCCATCCATCCATCCATCCATCCATCCATCATCCATCCTTCCATCCATCCTTCCATCCATCCATCCATCCATCCATCCATCCATCCATCCATCCCATCCAACCTTCCATCCATCCATCCATCCTTCCATCTATCCAATCCAACCATCCATCCATCCATCCCATCCATCCATCCATCCCATCCATCCTTCCATCCATCCATCCATCCATCCATCCACCCTCTCACTATTTCTCCCAGTCACACTGTGAGACCACTGCACTTCAGAGTATTACCTCTTTAAGTATTAACACATGTCCTTCAAGCTTGGCCTGTCTCCACTGTTTGCAGGAAGCGGAGAAGATGTACAATACTATGACAAAGAAGTTCACTCAGGACAAAACAGTTTGGACAGGGTTTGGCTTGTTCTTCTTCAAAAATGGTCGCCCTGAAGCTGCAAGAAAACTTCTGCAAAGGTGTCTGAAAAGTTTGGACAAGAAAGATCGTAAGTCATTCAGATATGCCAAGACAATGTACCATGGGCGGATGCAGAGTGGGGGTGCGGGGGTGCGCAATAAATATATCTTAATTGTGCACCCCCCCTTTTAAAAAAAGCTGTATCCCCCCATGTGTACTATCTGTTCACCATGGTGAAGTTGATCAAATGCAGCTGCTTCAGTGTTGCCAGTGATGAGAGATGCTCCACCAAAGACCTCTTTATCAGCACTTTGCTTCAAATGTTAAATGTGAAAAAGAAACTCATGATCTTAAATAATTTCTGCAAGCCATGCTAACATGACATGTCTTATTCTGGACCATCATTTGTACTAAGAAACATTATTGGAATGGATACTATTTCGCTGAGAGTTACTTTTGTTCTATAAGATCAGGAATCAGATTGCATGAAACAGAGGACTAAAATAATCTGAAAAAATTCTTTGTATGGCTTAAAATAATAAAGAATTGGTGTTAAGGCAATGACTTTTGAAAATATTGTGCCAGCGGGCAGTGTTTTTTTGTGGGGGCTTGTTCAATCTAGTATGTAACCAAATAAACAGTTGTGTACCTCTAACCTGGGAAATGGCCTACCTACATAAAGAAACATACAAACTCCTATTGTCGCCATGACCATAACAAGATGTGCTGTAAAGCAGTGCGAATGCAAAGGGAAGTAACTGTGTTATGTTGGATGGCATTGTTGTTAAGTATTAGAATGTCTTTGATTTTTAAAAAAATGGAAATAAAAATGAAATGTGCGACGGACTTTATGATGACGCAGGTGGTGCCTGAGAACCAAGACTGTTATTCTTTTTAGCCTATAGTTGTGGCAGGTGATGCTATCCTTCTTGAAAGCTAATGCAACATGAAATATAAAATCACTCTACTCTTGTACATAAGTCTGTAAGGTGACACACACCCCGCCGTGATATTGCTGGAATATTGCTAAAAGCGGCGTAAAACCAAACTCATTCACTCACTGTAAGGTGACCCACATCCCGCCGTGATATTGCTGGAATATTGCTAAAAGCGGCGTAAAACCAAACTCACTCACTCACTGTAAGGTGACATGAATTAAATCATGGTCTAAAGTCATGCCGATATGTCATTCGCTGGATTTGAGTTTTTCTATTCATAATTTTTTCTCTCAGATGTTGAGCTGATCTCCAAGTTTGCCCAGATGGAGTACAAGCAGGGGGAGCCCCAGCGTGGCTGCACCATGTTTGAAAACGTCCTCACCAACTACCCCAAGCGTACTGACCTGTGGTCAGTGTATCTGGACATGGTCATCAAGACAGGCAACCTGGATGATGTCAGGTGAGATATCAAACTACATTCGGCTCAGCTCAGTCTAAGTGGGACCCGTGAAGATTCCGGGGTAGAATAGGTCTTCAGCAACCCATGCTTGCCGTAAAAGGTGACTATGCTTGTCGTAAAAGGCGACTAACGGGATCGGATGGTCAGCCTCACTGACTTGGTTGATGCATGTCATCGATCCCAATTGCATGGGTCGATGCTCATGATATTAATCACTGGATTGTCTGGTTCGGACTCGATTATTTACAGACTGCCGTCATATAGCTGGGATATTGCTGAGTGCGGCGTTAAACAACAAACCAACAACCAACAGGCTAATTGGATTTTGGCCATATTGGAACTAGTTCCATCCCGTTATAGGAGGGTGGTCAGACTGGCTGACTTGGTTAATGCATGTCATTGTATCCCAATTGCGTGGATCGATGCTTATGATGTGAGTTTGGGGGCACAGGTGGCCCACTTGTCAAAGGCCCCCAATTTGCGTCCCTCGGGCACGCCAGAAACCAATTATTGTCCCGCCTGATTCCAGTCCTGGTTCACTCTGATTATATTTTCTCAGCTTGTCAGCACTATACCTGTGCTTGTGGGTTTCACCAATGCCCAAGGCCTGCATCACGTCAGGCTTTCCTCCCACATAAAGCTGACACGCAGTGATACCACTGGAATACTGTTCAAAGCTGCATTAAACCTCACTCACTCACTCACTCACTCACTCACTCACTCACTCACTCACTCACTCACTCACTCACTCTCACTCACTCACTCACTCACTCACTCACTCACTCACTCACTCACTCACTCACTCACTCACTCACTCACTCACTCACTCTCTCACTCACTCTGAGAAGCCCATTTCTGGTGTCTCCCGCCGTGATATTGCTGGAATATTGCTAAAAGCGGAGTAAAACCATACTCTCACTCACTCACTCACTCACTCACTCACTCACTCACTCACTCACTCACTCATGTCAATCATTGAATTTCAATCATTGAATTGTCTGGTCCAGACAGACTGCTGTCATATAGATTGAATACTGCTTATAAACAAACAAACAAACAAGTAAATGCTGATATTTGCAATGAAAAGATTAGCATTAAATTTAATCAATGTTTGTTGTGAAACTTTCTTAAGATGCTTGAGTGTGTGGATGAAATATTTCTCAATTAGAATATGAGAAGAGAACATTTTGCACTTTTTTGTATTTGTCTTGAGTAGATGAGTCAATAAAATACATATTGTATAAACATCATATTTGCAGGCATCTGTTCGAGAGGGTTATCCACATGAAAATGTCATCAAAGAAGATGCAGTTTTTCTTTAAGAAATATATGGACTTTGAGAAGAAATATGGCGATTCCAAGTCTATGGAGAAAGTGAAACAGAAGGCTTTGGAGTATGTGGAGTCTCAGGGCTTTACTGAGGCCAGCTGATGCTGACACGTGTCAAAGTGAAATGTACCTGAATCGTCTGTATCCACATGATCTTATATGGAATAAAAATGAAATCTACACTGCAATGTACGCTATTGTGGAGGTGTTGCTGGTTTTGTTCAGCGAATCACAGTGAAATCAACACTGATGTTGACTGTGGGGGATGCTGGGTAGAATAGGTCTTCAGCAACCCATACTTGCCCTAAAAGGCTACTATGCTTGTCGTAAGAGGCGACTAACGGGATCGGGTGGTCAGGCTCGCTGACTTGGTTGATGCATGTCATCGATCCCAAATGCGTGGATTGATGCTCATGATATCAATCACTGGATTGTCTGGTCCAGACTCGATTATTTACAGACCGCAGCCATATAGCTGGAATATCGCTGAGTGCGGTGTTGAACAACAAACCAACAATGATTTGGCATGACTGATGTTATGGGTGCAATGGAGCTTCCAGCTGCCAAGGTGAGATATGAATAAGGGGCTCAGTAGCCCCAGTCGTCTAGGTGCCCACTGTGCAGGGCTGTGTCCCTTTGGACTCGCAGAAACCTATGATCATGGGTTTGAATCCTGGTTCACCTTGATTATGTTACTTGATTTGTTAGCACCTTAGCCGTGCTTGCCACACCGAAAACGTCTGAGACCTGAATCACTTCTCTCCCACATTGAGCTGACACACAGGAATGTAATTGAAATACTGTTCAAAGTTGTGTTAAACCCAACTCACTCACTGACTCATTCATGAAATCAATTACGATGGAAATAAACATGTCAACAATCATGATGATTTCTCGTCATTCTGTGCGATTGTTTTTAATAAATGAATAAAGATACTCTTATTGTCTGACAAATTTGTCAATTTGTGTGTTGCTTCTTGAGACTTGGGGGAATGGGTGTCCCAGTCATCTAAGGAGCCGCGATTCGCTGTGTAGAGTTGCCTACGTCCCTTGGGCATGCAAGAAACCTATGATTGTTGGTTTGAATACTGGTTCGCCCCGATTATGTTTCTAGGTTTGTCACCACACCCGTGCTCGTGGGTTTCATCAAAGTGGTAAACGTCAGAGACCTGCATCACTTCGGGCTTTCCTCCCACATTAAGCTGACACACTGTGATATAACTGGAATACTGTTAAAATCGGCGTTAAACCCTACTCACTCATTCTTGAGACTTAATTATTTTGAGATATTGAAGTAACTACACAAGTATCTGTGGAGACCTTTTCGAACCAAGAATCCTTTGGGTAAAATTGATATGTGAAGCAGTGCAATAATACTTATTACATAAGTACACACTAATTACAACAATGATGTGGAAAATCACAAGGCATACGTTTCATACCCCATTTACAAGGAACAACCGACAATTCAATTGCAATCTCCCATACAGAAGGGATATGTTAAAAAAATGATGCTTGGTGAGCTTACTAGAAACATAAGGTATGAGTAATTGGGAAACATTGAACAAAGGCAAAATCAACAAGTTCAAGCAAAATGTGTGTATCCATGACATGTTCCTGTGTTTTGTTCCAGGTGAAAAATTGACTTGCCTTTGCATGTGTTTGTAACGGGTTCCATGGGTGGGGCAGGATAGCTCACCTTTTTGCGAACACCTGCTATCATCATTGGGTGTATTATAATTGAATCACCGGTAGACTGGGAGAATCACTGTATTTGATAGTGATTCATGATGATTTATTGTGATTATGGAAATGGATTGTCTATTTATTTTCAATTCCAGTGACTGTGGATCAAGACCAGAACCAAACGGTCCCGGAACTGAACATGAGCGCTGCAAGCAGGAGAAGACAGTTCCAATTCCGATAAACGTTTATCAGAAACCCATATTAGCCCTGCATATACGCTACTGACGTCCTTTGAATTAAAAGACAGAGCGGGATGCATTTCATCTTGAAGTTTGTTTCTTTAATGTTGTATATGTCGGATCCATTCGTTTGTTGATTAATCTGCTCAGTATCCTTGAGAATTAAACTTATGGGATCGAAGGTTATCGGTGTAAGCAGACGTGGACGTTTTTCATTTCCTCAAAAGCTTTTGAGAACCACATTCCGTATCAAAGGTCGTCCACTACTGACGCCTGATGAATTAAATGATAGAGCTGGATGCATGTTATCGTTGGTATGAAATGAATTCTAAAAAGCATAACTTGGAACTAGAAACTGGTCTCTAAGCAATATATCTAATGTGATAGACACCATATTGGACGTTTCGTCTTGTATTCAGTGTGGGTTGTTGAATGGTGAGATGGTTCATTTTCTTTGTCGTCATTTTGTCTGGGCCGCAAAACGGTTCATTTAGCTTATCGAAGTTATGCGAGCAGACACAATCATCAGTTATATTTTTTGAAAAGTTGCATGACGTATATCATTGTTACCGATAGAGGCAACGATTTCAGGAATAATTGATTTCTAAAGATTTTGAATGAAACATTGCGTATTGAACGGCATGTCGTTCTTATATGCTCAAGTTTTGCTTGGTCCGTCAAGAGGGAGATTACGCATTTAAATTGACCCCGGGATATTTGATATCAGCAGATTTAAACTTAAAGCATGAAGGACGTGAAATACACTTGACCGGGAATATTTGTAATTAAATGCCCTTTCAATAGACTTACATTTAGCTCCGGAAATATAGTTATCTTATTTCAAGATTTATATCTACAAAATAAGCAGTAAAATCCAAATGAAGCACTGAATAATGCTAAATGTCTGGCAATCTAGATTCTCCCAATTATTCTAGACGTGATTTTGATTCAATTTTATTTTATTCTCTATGGTCTGGGAGACAGACTACGAGACTACGAAATGTGAACAGGTATTGTGTGTTCACAAGAAGACTTTATAGATTTTGATGGGGCGGTCGGGTAGCCTAGTGGTTAAAGCGTTCGCTCGTCACGCCGAAAACCCGGGTTCGATTCCCGACATGGGTACAATGTGTGAAGCCCATTTCTGGTGTCCCCCGCCGTGACATTGCGGGAATATTGCTAAAAGCGGCCTAAACCCATACTCACTCACTATAGATATTGATGATTCGACGCATTTTCCGATTGATGATGTTACTAATTATACAGAAGATGATAATTCCTTACCTGGAACATCACAGGATCATGTTACAAACACTAGAGGGTTAACACTGCTTTACTTTTGTAAAAATACAGGACTTAGGATTTGTAATTGAAGGGTTGGGGAAGATGCTGAGATTAGAAGATTCACATGCTTTACAAATGAAGGCCAAAGCGTAATGGATTATGTCCTCACAATGCAACATTCACTTCCATGTTTCGCATCAATTGACAATCGATGAAGTAAGAGTCAAGTCACCTTCCAGTAACATGTTCATATGTAGCTAATAAATCTAAAAAACCCAGATAACGTTTTAACCCCAAAACCCTGTTCACTTGGAAAGAAGAGCTTCAGTTAGATTTTGTACAGAACTGGATGAAGCAACCAGTTTAAGTTCACTGAATTCTCCGATCTTTCAGCCAATTGTGCCCCCAGATATAACAAAGACCTGTGTTGTTTAAAGAAAAGATAGAAACAGCATTAAAGTCTAATGATAATAAAATGTTTTGGTCACTTAGTAATATTTCTGATTGGATTCACCATTTTCAAACTTTGTTCATGGGAAACCAAGGTTGTGAAGAATTTCTTGATTTTTATATGTTTTGATGACTTTGTAAATCTTAAGTGCTAAACTGATAGACACTACCATGGATGAAGTTGGTGATCTTGATCACATTATTACATAAGATGAACTTACTAGAGCTATTTCTGATACGAAGGCTGATAAACGCTGGACCTTTCCAAACAAATGCACCACACATTTGTATTAATATGTTACTTCAGTTGTTTCATGCAGTTTTAGTATCCGGTCATTATCCAAAGCAGTGGACATGCGGTGATATATTACCAACATTTAAGAAGGGCAACAATAAAGATCAAATGATGGGACTTTAAATCTCCTAGATGTTGTAGGAAAATTATTTGCTGAAATAATGTGTAACAGATTAGTAAGTGGTCTCAGGTAGAGCGGTGTATTATTGATGAACAGGCTGGTTTCAGAAAAGGCTTTTAAACTGTGGACAACATATTTGTTATTAATGCAGCATAAAGAAGTATCTGTCGCAGAAGCGAGGTAGACTGCACTGTTCCTTCATAGACCTAAAGGCTGCCTTTGATCATGTGTATCGGAATGGGCTCGTGGACTGGGGTTGTTAAAGGTAGAACATATAAGTTAATCAGAAATATGTATGAATTTGTGAAATCATGTGTGTCTTTGGAATATGGGTCTATTGAGATGTTTTTATGCAAGTCGGGCGTTCAGGGGTGTCAAATGTCGCCATTTTTATTTTCATTTTTCATGAATGATGTTGCAGAGTTTCTTTCCGCCGAAGACCACCATGGTATCACGTCAAATGCCCTTGAGATTTTCATATTGTTCTTTGCTGACGACATTATTCTCATGGATGTCACTGTTGTAGGCTTACAAAAGCGGCTTGCTAAGTTTTATTCTTATTGCAAGATGATCGTGTTTAGAAATGGTGGCCATTTGAGGAAATATGAAAAGTTTAGGGTTGGAGATTCTGTACTCGGGCCGTAAACAGTCATAAATATCTGGGAGTACAACTTTCTTGCTCAGGCTGTTTTCATTTAACTCATATAAAGTTGTTCGAATACGACAGTCTTCATTGAAGCTCAATACCTTAAATTCTGTCTGATCTGTTCTGTATTTAATATACTTTTTATTATTGTTAAATTATTGAGGTTGTCATCATGCTGTCTTATATTAGACTGCAACCCTATCAATGCGCTCTGTAAGAAAACTGTTTTACATGCTTTGAAACGGTATCATTAGCCGGTGGCCCCTTTACGCAATAAACAACAATACTATTCATGTGAACCGGCTGTTTTTGTCCATGAAGACGTAAACCTTTTCACATTCTTGGGAGATTGTAATATTGGCTTTTACAGCAGAAATTAGGATGCGTTGCGTGGAAATTCCAATTTCGTTTGGCCACACTTTCTTGATTTAACGGTTAACGGATATTTATTAACCCAATAAGCTGTGGTCTGTCGA